GGGGGGGGGGCATAATGGCGGAGCGAATACGTGCGAGGAGACGACAAGAACTGCTCGCCAATGTCGTTAGTCGTGTGTACAGAAGCATGGACGAAAGGAAGAGACGAACCTTGGGCGAACTGCCCTCGAATCTACCAGGCAGAGCGGTAAAAGTCGGCGTACTCGTATTTGGACTTGACCTGCTCGAGGAGGTACCACGCCGGGGTGGCGTAGGTAAGATAGTTTCCAGCCCTGACTCCCTTGTTGCGACCCGAGTGCAGCTGTCCGACCATATGAGCCTTACCGTCGCGCATATGCCAGACGATGGAGCCGGAATCACCCTTCTTGGAGAAGGGCTCGACCGCCTTGAGGCCTGTGTTGTAGATACCGAGCTCGCGGGACACGACACCAACCTCGTTCTCGAGGAAGGACACCATTCCGGCATAGCGCCCGACCGTCAGCCCGGTGGTGTTACCGTCCTTGCCGACGATGAGGCAAGGTTGGCCGTCAGCGTCGAACTCAGCGGGGTGGGCGAGGTCGTCCTCCGTCGCGCAAGCAACGATGCGCAACTTACGCTGTGTGGGGAACTTGAAGGTGTTGCGACCGCCAGCCATCGGACAGAACATGGCAGTGAGCTCCTGAGGAGTGTACTTGGAGCCTGAACAAAGGAAGCGTTGGTCAAAGATGGAAGATGCGAGAAATAGAAAAGCACCGACCAAGGTCAACGACATTGCCTTCAAAGTGTGGCTTGACGATCGCCTCGGCCGCGACGAAAACACCCCAGTCAGCCGTATAGCGAGTGTCGTCGGCGACAGAGATAGCGGGTGCGTATTCGACGTAGCCAATGTTGCGCTGAAGCCTGAGATTGAACCAGGAATCAATGACTTCTTTGTAGAGAGCCTCGAGAGCGGTGACAGCTTCCTTCTCCTCCACCAACTTCTGCCAAATCTTCTCGCTCTCACTCGTCGTCTTGTCGTCCTGCTCATTCGCCTGAAGTTCGGCGTATTCGCGGGTAAGGTAGTTAGCTACAAGGCTGTGATCCGCGATAGCCTCAGTGATACCGTCCAGCCCCTGCTGGAAGCGACTCATCCCGCCGACTCGTACCAAGTTTTGGTCGCCTCCACCTCTGAACTCGTATGTCGTAGTCGTCTTGGGCCGGAGCACATGGCAGCAGGTAAGCCCCAACACCCGGTTGCTCTGTTCGCCATTCTTGTCGCGGTTTTCATGAAACCAGAGCGTCAGCGTGCCCTGCACGTCCTCGTCCTCGCATTCCTTCGTTGTGAGTGGGATGCCGAGGAGAGCAGTTAGGAAGCGGCGAACGTGGTGGGTGGCGTTTGTGGTACCGACGTGGCGTAGGAGAGGAGGGCCGACCAGCTGCTCGGTCTCAGACTCTCTAAATTCCACGACCACGTCCTGGATGTCGTTATCGCGGAGGAGCGCGAGAATCGTCTGCGAGATGTCATGGGCGGTCTCGGTCGAGGTAGAGCCGGGCAACACCCCGATCCAGACAACAACGGGACCAAGAGTGCCCTGAGCTTCGTCCCCCTCCAGGCCATGGGTGTAGAAACGAGCCGGGTCGATGGACCAGCGACGCAGGTGGAACGCCTTGAGGATGTCGCAAATAGCAGGACCGACGACGGGCCAGGCAGCATTGAGCGGCGTGTTGAAGACACCGCGAATGGACTTGACAGGGAGGTGGGCGTATCGGCCCGACGGCTTGGGGAACGGGGTGGACTGGTAGTCGGAGCGGTAGACCAGGATGGGATGGTCGCCGTCCGTAGTGATGCCGTGGCCCTAGTAAGCCTTTGTCTCGTAGTCGTCCGGAATGTGCGGGGCAGCGGCGGTCGTGTCGCTCGCCAACGAGAGAGCACTGACGTGGGACATCTGGGCAGAAGGTGGTAAGAGCGGTATAGACACGGGTAGGAACGACGCGGTCAGTTTGCCGTCGCGACGCCGTTAGTTTGGCCCCGTTCCAAGTTGGTTTGGAAGAAAGAAGTTTGAACCAGTCCGCGCCGTGGGCCAGCGTGGCGGCACCCTGCCGGAAACGTCCGGTGTCTGGAAATCAGGCACCTGACGCCACTCTGCCATTGTATTGCCACAACATTGCCACCTCCGAGTCCTTTGCGTACTCTCATCGTGATTATTATAAATAGTTTTGGAAACGGGAGTAGACGATTCCTCAAATTTGGAAGAATAAAGAAGCTAAAGCAAGCCAGAGTTGTCCCTCAAGCTGCCATTCCTATCACCCGAGCAGGCTCATGTCACCAACCACCATATGCGACACATTACAGCCGAGGAGAATAATGTTATATACGCAAGGATATGTAAGGTACCTGAATACGAATACGAAGCTGCGAGAAGGCCGAGTAGAACCATACGTATACAAGGAGTAGCGGGGTAACTCAGAAAGAAGGAATGGACCCAGACGTAGGATATACGGGCGTATGTGTGCATATGTACGCGTTTCGAAGCGAGCGACGATGGGGCTGATATATGTGTAGAAGTTTAATTATAACAGTAGCGGGGAGTATCCTGGGGCAAACAACAAGACCGGCGGGCACGCAGAGGATGGACGTGGATCAAGAACATAAATACGGCGGCAACGACAACAATGGAAGGTTTGGCAAGAGTGACATCGAGAACGTTCATTCGGCCTTGCGGACTTTTTCTCTGCGAGTGACGATATCTTGCCTTGTCATCCGTGTGCCGAGAATGACATCCCAATGTATGAAGAACGGCTGGGAGAAATTCGACTTGATGCCGATGACCTGGAAACAATGCCCCACCGAGTTAGCAGTTCGTTCGACCGGATAGGGAGAGGATAATGCAAGATAAGCAGGAAAATATATGCGAACCTGATGATGAATGTCGTGATAGTCCGCCGTATTCCCGCTGATCATCTGCAACGGGTCCCAGGGCAAATTGTACCCGCAATGGTCATCGACGGTTTTGCATGTCGAGAAGAGGAAGAAGAGTGCGGCTTGGCGAATAGTCAGACCGGCGAGGGCCTCGGCGAGCGCAGCACCCAGAGAGTCGAGGAGGAAGCCCTCGAGGGGGTGGTTGTAGAGTGCGCCGAACGCGTACGGGACGTAGAGTCGGTGGTGTACAGAGTGAAGGTGCTTGTAGAGGAATTTGTTGACGTGCATGGCACGATGGAGGAAGTATTGCCATGTGTCCATGATGAAGCTGTAGGAACGAACCACGGAAACACCGAAGAGACAGTAAAACTCCTGTCAGAAAGACTCCAAAGTATGTTGATGGGAAAGTATGGACACGTACGCAGCAAATAAGAATTGGGCAATGGGAATGAACCACCAGTACGCATAGTATGCGAATTCACCTCCAGCAGTGTCCAAGAAGCCCTGTACCGTGTTTGTGTCTGCGAACGACGACAGCACCTTTGCCATGCCCACCGCCAACTTCTGCATCTCTGCTGCGTGGTCTATTTTACTGCCATGGTCCGTCATCCAAAACACACCGAGCAGCGTCTGGATAGCCTGCTGGAAGATGACCGCCTTGATCACCTGCGCCCTCGTCACCAAATTCCTCGTCTTCACCTCCGCGCTCTCGTGCAGCCTGTGCTTATCGAGCCACTTCCATTCGGATATATCAAGCACGTGGAAAAAGAGCGACGAGACCCAGTATGCGATGACTGGAGCAGCAAGGGAGGTCGTCTGGTCTGAGATGCCTGGAAACACGGTGGGACGCGTCGTATAGTAGAACGGGTAGGACGTGATCAGTGAAGGCGGCGTAAAGGAGAGCGCAGTGCCATTTGGGTGTACCGTTGGGTTGTAGGCCATGAAGGGTGGGATGTCTGTCGAGCCCATGATGAACGAGCGAGGCAGCGTTGGAAAACGAGGGCCTCTGAGGATAATAAGGAGGTCGGTGATGGCCTGAAGAGAAAAGCTTTCGCTCCGTTCGGCGCTTGACTTACCGCGCGCCACTCAGCGCTCCAACATCTCGGCCCGCCGCGAACGCTCCGAATCATGAGATTCTGGGTGGCACAGCAGCATCTTTTCGCCATACCTCGACCTGAAGACCTGGACAAATATCCTGATGGACTGCATCTAGAAGAGCTTCACAACAAACTAGGACAGGCAAAGGTATCAAAGACTTGGTCCCGGGTGAGGGCCTGGTCAAACTGGCCTTGACAAATGTTGCGCCGTCGAACCCAACATTCAAGCAATGTGAAGATGCACATGCAATTATATGGCATATATACGTGGTATGGAGCGGTGGTGGGAGGTGAACGGGGATCTCGTAAGCAAATGCGGTGTAAAATACAGATGATGCAGCGAAGACGAGGCTGAGTGGGTGCATGAGAGATCGAAGCTGTACTTTTGAGGGGGTGATGATCATAATGGCGCAGTAGTCGGAGAGAGAGCATGGGGATGTGCAACGATATCAGAAGACCCAGAGGAGAGCATGCAAAAAGTATGGTAAGTAGAATAAAGGTGGAAAGGTTGAAAGATAAGAATACGGTCTATGCTCCTCTATGATAGAAATACGAGGGAACGATTCTGATCCGAGACAAAGAACGAACAAAGAGGCGGATGAGGACTGGGAAGGGTCCGATCACTGATTCCAGCGGAGAACACCCTCATATATCGAGTACATTACCGCAGCATTCGGTACCACTCGCATAAGATGGGCAGTCAGGCCACCGTATAACGAATGGGCTCCCTCTTCCGCGATGACTATCTGGAGCGTCCGCCAAAGACCGGTATACTTAACCTTCCCATTCACGACCGGTTGTCTCAGTCGTGTCCGGAGGACCTATTCGCACAAACCGAGGAAGTTGATCAGCGTTCTGCCACTGTGGCCCAGAAAATATCATAGCGCACCTCATGTGGATAGGTGATCAAGCTAGCCACACATTTTGCCGTCCCTGCACTCCCAAGCATACCCAACCACTCTGCAACACCTCCCTTCCCCTCCGTATTCGCTGATAGCTTCTTCAGCCTCTCATATAAGACCCACTGGATCGTTCCTTCAGTAACCCCGAGATAACTGGCGCTCAGCCCCTTGTAGAACCCTCTAATCCCAGCCTCCTTCCAGATTTCCTTAATCATACTCAAACTTCCTCCAAAAAACGACGCTCGCTGTATCGGGACCACGCCAGACAGGGCTGCTGGGGATGGAATTGGCGGTCGATGGTGTTGTGCGAGTTGAAGACGGGTCTTTACGACCCAAATGGGATTCGTCACGGTTCCGGTGGCGATACCTGCAACGGCAGCAGCACATAGGTGGACATAGGAGTTCTCTACGCCGTTATTGAAATTATTGGCAATAACTTGTTTGCCGTTGCCGTAGGTGAAGAAGTTGATGGAACGAGCGGGGACGACGCCAACCAGTGTTGGTCCAAGACCTTTGAACAAGGCTCGTGCTGACTCGTCTCGTGCAATATCCCTGTAGTCATCGCGGTCGAGGTGAAATGTGAGGACTGGATGTGGGTCGATGAGTAAACATATATGAGTACGCACCGGATGATGTGTGCTGTCTCAACAAAATGCCATAGGAGCCCTACTGATCGTCGTGCAACCAAGACACCAGAGTCACCGACCACATTTACTGCTGTGTGCTTTTGCTTGAACAGATCAGACTGCAGTCGAGTCTTTACGACGTCGAACGGACTGGTGACGATGGCTCCACACATTCCCCCAAGCCTATATCAGAGGTATACCGTTTAGTGTTTGCGCGACGCATATGTAATGAGGACGCACCCTCCAGCCAGAAAGTGCGTGGCCGATTTCGCAGGCAACCAACCACTGTTCGTAGACGAAGTAGCTTGCGGGGGTGGGGAAGCAGCAGTAGACGTTGACGCAGACATCTTGGATTGTGTCAAATTCAACAGTATACCTTGTCTGTACGCGTCGGATTTGATTAGAGATACGAAGTTCCGCTTTGCACACGGACTTTGGAAGTGAGGGGGAGGGCGACGAGGAGAGGGGAAACGAATGGAGCGCGTTCGATTTGGCCGCGAGTCGCGACGGCTGCAATTTTGGACTGCAATTTCTTGACCTGACGTAAAATCACGTGGCCCCGAAGATTAGATAGTCCGTAAAGGGGAAGATCTTTGAAGGTTGACTGCTTTCCCTCACCCACCCACCACTTAAAGTTTGCCATCCCTTAGTTCTGTGTGGCTAGACGAACGAGTCAGTCAGATCCTAAAGTACTGGTCTCCATTCAGTGTCCATATGTTTGTCCTTTCCATCATCAAGGTTTGTCGTAATCTTATTCATGTGTGGCGAGCATGAACTGAAATCTGTTCTTACTTTCCTCGTACAGGACACCATCCCAATCCAACCCTCTCACTTCGGCCTTCCACCAGAACAAGCTCTCATAACTGAACTCAACAAAAAATACGCCAACAAAGTTCTCCATGATGTTGGTCTGTGTATATGTGTCTTTGACATAGCCGAGGCTGGGGAGGGGAAGGTCCGGTACGGGGATGGGTTTCTCTGGTATGCAGGTACGTTGTTGTCCGGTCTTGTTGCAGTAGCAGTGGTTATGGCCCACATATTCGCCTAGGATGGCAGTGTGCTGAGGTATGCAGAGTGTAGTTGTGTTTAGGTTGACCGTCTTTCGACCGTTTCCCTCGGAGGTGATCCTAGCGAAGGTCAAGTCTTCAGACGAGGACGGGATCCATCGTGCGTACTCCTTATTTCAATTCTGCAGTCGCAAGTACTCAAGTGCTACTCGTTCATCCTTCTAGTATCCGTGGGCTTTTTCGAAGACATGTGGATTCCACTGAATTACCTCCCGCAACCATCTGCTTTGTATGTTCCTTCCACTATGTTCCTCCTACTCACTTCATCACTACATCGGCCCTTTCTCTGTTCTATCTTTTGCTCACACTATCCCATCACATATCTAGCGACGTAAACGAACGCGCTCATTTCTGGCTACCCAGCGCCGAGGCCACCGCCACAACTCACGAGCTCCTCGACTCTCCAACTTCCGAACGTATGTACATCGACCAGGGCGAGATCGTACGCGTGCGAGTAGAGACAGACGAGTTCTACGACGATGAGCCTGGACCACCGAAGGCGCAGGAGGGGATACAAGTCGTAAGGGAGGCGAGGAGACCGCCATATAATGTCACGGTATGCGTCTATCCATCTTTTCTGAGTCCAAGAGCTATCTTCCGTTTGGGAATGAGACATGGAACACCGTGACTTGATATTGACTTCTTGCTCTGGGGGTGCAGTGCTCGATAGCGGAGCAGGGGTTGGGACCTGTGGCGTGGTGGAAAGCGACAGAGGAAGCGATGGATGAGGGCTGATCGCTTGAAGACAATATATTCAGTGTTCACATATGATTATGACCGCCCTCTAAACACTCATAGGCCACAGTTCAACGCGCCAACAAGCACTCCATCTACACATTCGCCAACACGCTTAAACACCGAATGTGATGCCTAAAGAGTGGCCCACCCCGAATTGGCAGATGATTGAGCATTGTGTCCATCACAAGAGAGACGGTTGAAATTAGGTTGAAACAAGGACTCGGACTCGGTTCCAGTACCCTCCAATATGATATGATATGATCTCTGCAAGAAGTGACCTTTTACTTTCCGCCCATACATCCGTTCTGTCCGTACAGAGATCGCTATGGCTAGGCGGTGTATCTTAAGCATAATTTAGAGCATGCCCAGCATAAGATCATTGCTCATATCTCCCCCATCGTCTCCTTAGGCGACGTACCTCTGACAATTATCGCTGAAGCTTGATCCACTTTCTCCGTCAAAACATCGGCATGACCAGAAAATAGCTATTCATAGCATGAACGACCCAAGCATAATTCAATGCTACCTTGATGCCCCTGAGGGTATAGCTCCCTCCGTCTCTACTTTCTGCACGCTCTCATACACCGCCCTCTTCCTCTGCGACTCCTCAAACTCCAACTGTCTCTGCTTCATCTTCTCCTTTCTCCGCTCGTCATCGCGTAGCACGCCCTTGTACATCGTCTGCATGTCGAAAGACCCACAGGACCATAGTAGCGAGTTGTGGATGATCAGTATGGTGAAGCACCGGCATAAGTAGTAAGGATAAACGCACCTCATGTTCTTGCTGCTGTTGATAGTGCACGAACCAGACAGTGAAAGTTGTAGCCACAATAGACGCAGCTAGGGTCGCTTTTGCCGCACGAGACATGGTTGGCCCGAAATTATGATAAACCAATACAGGGGGAGCAGCGAGGAAGTCTCCCGAACGGAGCGGACCAAGGCAAGAAAGTGTTGTCAAAAGGCCCGGTGCGAGTCAGTCGTCAATGACCGTAGTGCTATGGCCTGAAAGATAGGACCGAAGAGGATAGGCTCTGAAACGAGTGGTTGATCTGGCCAAATCGTTCGTCAAACGTTCAGGAGGTGCCAGAACGAGTAGTAATCCTGAGATGAAGTGGAAGTTTGAGACGAGTCGCGTCGACGTGCGCTTGTAATTTACGCGCTGGTCCACCAGAAATCACACCACATAAAGCCGCATATCATTATGGATGAAGCACGCTCAAAAACCACACAGGATGCGTGTAAAACCCGGTATAAGAGTGTACGTTACGATATGACTTCACAATTCGAGAGGCTCCAATAAATACAGCAAAGTATAATACGATGAACAAGTCACAAGGTATACGTATGTTATATCCCAAGACACCAAAAGCCCCCAAAAAATACAGGACCCGAACACAGGGAAAGCATAAAACAAATTGCAGGCAGGCAAAGACCCAAAATCAGCGGAGTGTCCTTGATCCCCTTGTTCGTATCCGTGTGCATTATATGTCATCTCAAGATACTTACTCGTCCAAAGACCACCAAAGGTATATCCATCCCCTCTTCGTCCCCTTCGTCCAATGCTCGAACTATCAAGTCGACTGTCCCTGCCCGTCGTCCCCACCCTGATTCCCGCCCTGGTCCTGCATCTGGAACTGAGCCACTCCCTGACCCTGACTTTGACCCTGCGCCTGCGTCTGCATCTCATGCTGCAACAACGCCTGCGCCAACTGTTGGGCGTGCTGATTCGGTTGGAACGGCTGCGGCATCAGCTGCTGAGTCTGCTGATGCTGCTGGACATGCTGTTGAACCTGGTGCTGGACCTGGTGCTGAACCTGGTGCTGAATTTGCTGCTGAATTTGCTGCTGAAGTTGCTGCTGCTGTTGCATCTGTTGCTGATGCTGCTGCACATGCGCGAGCTGGGCCAATTGCTGCTGTTGAGCCTGCGCGACCTGCTGCTGGTGCTGTTGCATCGCCTGGACATACTGCTGCAGATATTGCTGCTGCTGAGTCTGCGCCGGAGCGGGTGCATGCGGGTGCTGAACGTGGTGGATGAGCGGATGCTGAGGGTGTTGGTGGACGTGCTGCAATTGGAGATGCTGTTGTGGGTGGTGATGTTGTTGTTGTTGGGGCGGATGCGGGTGTGGATGCTGTTGCTGCTGCTGCTGTGAAAGCGGATGCGTAAGAGGATGCTGCTGCTGCTGAACCTGAAGTGCCTGGGGATGAGGATGAGGTTGTTGATTGAGAAGAGGATGGGCCTGTGCGTGATGCGGATGAGGGTGCGTATGTAAATGTCCATGCCCGTGGTGCTGATGCTGCACATGAATCGTCAAGTTCACCCCCGGATGCGAGACCGTGACCGACATCCCCTGCTGCACCGTCACCGGAATAACGGGCACGCTCGCCAGTTGGATGACATGCCCACCGCCAGCACCTCCAGCACCTCCTGCGGCTCCACCGCCAGCGGCACCTCCCGCTGCTGCTGCTGCTGCTCCGCCAGTACCACCGGCACCTACGACTCCACCTCCGCCAACGCCAACTCCGTGGCCGTGTGGGTGCGTATGCGGATGCACGAAATGATGTGTATGTCCGTGTCCATGCGCATACCCCGCCCACTGATCCCAAATAACATTCATCCCCAGCCCCTCAGCCCCAGCCCCGCCGCCCTGACCAGAACTCGAACCCGACGCGAGACTCGCGCTCGCATCCTTCAGCGCCTGCACCGTCGCCTGATCGACCACACACTTCGTGAACTTCAACTCCCTGAGCACGCCCCCGTTCGCCTTCCTCAACCTCAACCGCGCAGGCGAGAGGATCGAGTCCGAGCCGGTGTTTGTGGTGGCGTTGGAATTGGTACTGTGAGCCATGGCGGGACAGCGAGTGATTCCGGGGAGGTGCGCGGAGAAGTCGACTTCTTGGAGCCAGAGACGTTGCAAGTTCGGGAGGAAGAGGTTTTCGCGGTTGATCGAGTCGGAAGAGGACTGTGCCGATGGGCTCCCAGTATTCGCGTTAGGTGCAAGGGACGTGAATCCTGAAAGCGCATCATCCGAGTTGTCCACTGAAATGAAGGCGTCCATCGCAGCGTCCATTGCATTCGACTGAAGTCCCCCTTGATCGTTCTCCTCGCCCATATCCATACTCACACCTCCACCCGAAGCCCCTTCCAACGCCATAGCCAGCGTCATATCGGTCCTCTGCGGTAGCTGCACCGGGGGCGGTACCATTCCCAACTTCCTCACGAACCCAGGCGCGCTCGGCCCACTCAACTCACAGCTCACCAACTTCCTCGCCCTCCCCAACGCCTGTCCCCACAACTCCGGCCCAAACGCGACCTGATCGAAAAACACCCTCAAGACCTGCATTTCATCGAGATAGAGCGAGTGGCAGAGGTTAAGGAACATCTCGGAGATGAAGTCAGGGAGGAAACGGGAGGTCGGGTTGAGTGTGACTTGGATTTTCGGCTCGTCGATATCTTTGAGCGCGCTCGAGGAGGTGGCGTTGCTGTTGCCAATAGATGTGGCGCCACCAGAAACAGAGATGGGCAATCCGCGCGTGTCGTCCCAGTCCCAACCCCTGATATTGATACACCTACAATCCGCCCCTCTCACCGCCAACGCCCTCATCGGCCTCGTCATCGCGCCATTTCCTCCCTCCACCTCATAAACTCCGGAATGCGGCGCCAGATACCTGAAGAATTCCAAGAGATACGGTTCCGCGGGTCCGTCCAGGCAACCGAGTTCATACGTCACCGCCGCGGCGGGTGGGATTCCCAGGTGCCTTAGGAGGTAAGCGCAGGTGTGCAACCAACCCGCGAACAGGAATTTGTGAAGGTGTGGGAGACTGACGCGGCGAGGATCGGCGACGTGGAATGCTGAGCCTGGCGGATGCATTACGGATTGGAGGATTAAGGTTTCGAGAGCAGGTTGTGAGGCGAGGAGATCGAGAAGGCCATGGAGTTCCAGTCGTGGACCGGGTGGTTTACGGATTTCGAGGTAGGTCAGCTTCGTGAGGCTCATTATGGAAGTGAACGGGGGTGCGATGCCGTGAAGGGAAATTTCTCTGAGTCTCGGGGCGACGAGAGCCTCAGGATAGGTGTACATCGGTGCTCCGAGGACGCCATTGAACTTGAGCTTCAGGCTTTCCAAAATGGGGGCCTCCTGCTTCAGTCCCCGATCGAGTAATGTCACGGCGTGATGGTCAAGGGTGCCGGACAGGTCGAGGTTCCGTACACGATAGAGTTCGGAGAACGCAACGGCGAGCGGTTCGTCCTTGTCCCAAGCCTGAGACTCTTCCTCCCTCTCAAACTTCGCCTTCACAGTGAGCGGACACTTCTTACTCCTCCTCAACGCCTCGCTCGCCCATTCGTCGCTCTCCGCAAACGGTATGATCGTCCACAACGCAGGGTTGCCTACCGCGACCTCCCTCCATGCCCTACAAACGTGCGTGACATGGATCCAGCCCAACGTACTGGAGTCCGAGGAAGCGCTTCCCGCTGGAGGGTCGATGAGGACGAGATAGGAGAAGATGTGAGAGAGGAGTTCGGCGGGGAGGCGAGAGATGGAAGACAGTGCGTTCCGGCGGGAGCGGATCAGGGAGAGAGATATGGCAGCAGACTTTGCATGGGCGTCGAGTTGCTCTTGAGCGAGGCTTATGGTCGCCAGGTCGCTGAAGGCGGAAGTGCCAGACCAGGGTACGAGGGCTTCATGCGTGGCAGACGACCATGCATCTCGTGGAGGGCTGAGGACGGCGTTGGATGGGAACGTGAGTAGGGTCCAGGGAAAAAGATGGGATAAAACGCACTAGACAGTCGTGTTCACATACGTCTCCATGATTCAGGTAGTACGCTCACAAAGAGGTGTCAGAAAAGACGTTTTTATGCTCGTCGAGTCGGAGTTCAAGAGTCAAGACACGTCGCACAGACAAGCGAATTGTGGAAGCAGCCGTAGACCCTTAATAAACGCCCCGGCACTAGGTCGGCCCAGGACCGTTCCAGGATGTCGAGAGAATGGCGTCTGAGAAACGGAAGAGTCGCCTAACGTCGTGGGGGAAGAGAAGAGTCGCAAGGCAACCCCGACGTCGCCTTTATATATCACAAATCGATCCATTGATGACCTGATTCAGCATGCTGTCCGGTTTCAGCAAGACAAGCACGAAACGGGTCTTACCTGGAAAGATGTGGTACGAGCGACTTGCCGTGTGAGTTCGAGCAGAGCGCGCAGGCCGCACCGCTGACGAACGGCCGCATTTGACCGGACAATGATGGCCACATCCGGTCCCATTAACTTCAGGCAACGTGGGAACGTATTCTGGGGCACCCTCATCCCGGACTCAGGTCTGCTCACCAAGATGTTTCATCAGAGAATGCAGTCCTGGCATTCATTATTGTTGTACAGCAGCATCTCTCTTTGTTTACTACACGTAAGTCGGGAGCAAATTAAACTACATTGTCCGCTGCCCAAACCCACTTCTGGATCTCAAGAAACAATTATAAAGCTCGACACTGCTGAGAATGTCCAACGAACTACGCCTGCAGGTACGCGTTCTCAGCAAGCGTGACAGCGCTTTGGCAATCCGCTTTGGCTTGCACAAGCCCCTTGATGAGTACAATCAAATACGGCTATCGAGGAGAGAAACATAGCCAAGATATGAGCCTGCAGATCGATCACGGACAATCGCCACGAAGGAGAAAATAAAACGTACGTCCAAATCCCCTACCACAGCGTCCACCAATTCATCGAGAGAATTCCCGAGCGCGACGGTGGACTTCTCAATGTCATTCAACTCTGGCCCTGCGACGGTATTGGCGACAACCTTAGCATCGCCCACGAGGGCGTTGAGAGTAGATACAACTATGCCGAAGATGGCTTCGAGTTGGCCGACAATGCTCGTGGCGTCGGAGCCGCTAATGGTACCGACGGTCTGACATCAAAACGACAGGTTTGTATGAGTACCAAATAAGATTGAACCATGCAATTGTACACTCACGACAAGAGTGTCTTTAATATCGCCGACGACCTTGAGCACGGCCTGGACGTTGATGTTGAAAGTCTGCAAAACGATGAGGAACAGAAGTCAACATAACAGCACCAACTTTATAAAGAAAGACCGGCGACGCTCACAGCAATTTGGTTCGGCGAGCTAGTACTCGTGATTGCGGAAACCCCAGTCTGCAAGGTAACGACAACAGCATGGAGTTGGACTAGTTCAGCTTCCAGATCGGTGGTCACGTCGCGCTTCGCGAGCTCGGCATGGGGGAGGATGGGAGTGGCGATAATGCCGCTAACGGCGGTGGCGAGGAGGAGCAGTAGTGGAGCGAAGAGGCGGACCATCATTACTGGATGCGAAGAGATGATAGGGAGAGTGGTAAACAGCTAGATGAGGGTCGACTCGGCGGACAGAAAACGATCTGAGAGCTAGGGACTTCGAGGAGTCTCAGGCAGGATTATATACCAGGCTCTACCCCGACTCGTCCATGAAGAGATGGCTAGACGTCAATTACCTGTGGCAGTGGAGTACCTCGACAGCCAGACAAACAGCCGTGATGCGGACCATTGACAGTGTCCCTTGTGAAGGCCGTTCTAAGTCCGCAAGTCGGTGCTCGAGAAAGGAAAGCTCGTGTCCTAGCAGGCAAACAAGAATGGTAGGCTTGACAATGACACTGACAGGATAGGACGGCTGCGAACCTCAAACGTTGCTCGGGTGCTCGAGAATCGAACATCTTTTCTTTAGTGACAGAGTCAAACTGACAGGCCCGACTCGTTGAGGCGGCTGTGTGTGGCGAGGATCTGATGGAGGGTGAAGTTGTTGGCCTTTGTCTGCCAAATAAGTACATAAGGGGGAGAAGTGCAGAATAAAGCATACAATAGTGTTCCCAGCAACCACCGTGATTAGCTGTGACAACCTCCCATCGATCCTATCCTCCATCGAGCTCGGTCAAGCTCGGTCCCGGGGGCAACGCATCAAAGGACGCAATAATCAAAAAAAGGAAGCGCCACCACCACATCCGCACCTTCGCCACCTAGACCGAAATCAAAGAAAAACATAAAGTAATCACAGTGGTGCAAAATTCAAGCTTCGAAGCGCACCCGAGCTGTCGCATCACTATCACTGTCGGTGTCACAACTCACGATTTAGAGCTCTGCATCTGTGACTGAGGCCTGTGGGGCGACGGAATCGAAGCCCATTCCGGGAATAGTCTTTCTAATTTCTAAACGCCTTGTGGACCACTGGATGAGGAAAGAGAGATTCTCCATCACGCGATCACAGCGGCGAAAAAAATTAGCCCATCTATAATAGCCTGGCACGAGCGGCCGTAGGGTAATTATGACCAAGACGACTGACGACTGGCGACGGGGCGCTTTGCCAGTAGGTCTAAAAGTGGACCATCCCGGCGGCTCATAAAGCAACAGACGATGGCCTGTTATTCTTGCGAGCGGGTGACGTTGGACTGAACGGAACCACATCGAACTTGGAGAGGAAATGAGTTCTGTGTCCCCCGACCGACGAACTGTCGGACACAATAGTAAGTGGCTATTCGAGCGACGAGGCCGCCCATTGTACATATTTGACCGTCACGAGCCAGACTGGTAACCGAGTCTCTAAAGCGGGTGAATGGGACGGCGGTCACGAGCACCCCGCAACCCATGAGCATGGCAAGGAAGCGACAGAAAGGTCAAACATCTCCGTCCAGAATAATAAGCATTGGTATTAGCATCATCTCTAGCATCGTACGTTACTTTCAATTATCCGCATGCACTGCCTACCGCATTGCAAGCAGGACAGCATAATCACGCCACCCACCCCGCCGAGGAGAGGGGATGAGTGGGCAGAGGAGCATACGGTGAAAGGTAGTGGGCGGTATGTACGCCCTAGTAGATTCCAGGTATAAATTTGTACTTGACGATCTCGCAGTAACGGTCCCAGTCCTTTCCGTACTTCTTCGCGCACCTGCAAAGTGAGAGAATCGCATCAGCCACAAGTAATCATAGAAAGAGAACAGAAGGGACAAGGAGGGGGCGACAATAGAACGAGGAGAGGGACACTGATACGGTAGAGTTAGGCGGAGTCTAACGCACCTCTCAAAGTCACGTCCACACCGATGCACAAGCACCGTGATGAAGAACACGGAGTAAAAGTACGGGATCGGCGACGCCGTCCCGACGACCAAGCCCCAAGTGAAGCTCTGGACCCAGTCGGCGACGTAGTTCGGCTTGCGGGAGTAGCGCCACCAGCCGCTCACAAGCAGGCGGTTACTATCATTATTGAAGCCAAAGTCAAAGCGATTAGCTGCATTCACGGATGGTAATATCGAGATAAGTCGGAAGTGGGGAGTGAAACACGCACCCATGAGCGGTTTGTACGTATTCCGGGTTGTTGACGGTGCCCCAGGGCAGTTGAGGGAAAGTCCAGCGGTAGCGGAAGATTCCTTGGTTCTGCATCTTGAAGCGACTCTTCTGCGACATGGCGGTATCCCAGCTGCACGCAGAAGCAGATGTCACATAAGTTTGGAGGAATAGAGAAGAGAGAAAAGGTAACGACGTACACATAGTAGGCCGTGCAGAGCGTGACGTAGAGCGCGATGTATCCGGGGATGGAGAAATGGTATTTTGAAGGATCATGCGAGGCCATGTAGACGACAGAGTAGACATAGGTCTGTATATTTGAAGCTTAGTTAGTCCAAACAATCCTTTGTCGGGGCAAGGTAAGGAAGGAGATGAGACTCACGAAGGGCACACCGGCGAAATTCCAGAATATAACCATGAAACCCCACTTCTCGTGATACATGTCCCAAGTCTGAGGGATACACTCTTCTCCTTTGCAGCTGTTATGCGACGACGTTGCGGGATAGCACGGTCAGCGTCAGCTCCTAAACATCTGCGGGGATATTAAGGTACGTACCATGCGTTAAGGTAGAACCAAGTGGCAAGACACATGAAAGCCATGTTCTAATCGGCAGCGATAAACCCATGAGCAAACCAAACACCATTTCCCTCGATTTCACGATAAAAACTGCAACTCACCGGCGTCACATACCCATACTGCTCATACTGCTTGCACGCACCCGAGACCGCCAAGAAGAACACAATCACCCACGGAATCCTCACCTCCGCCCACATCTTCAAATCCACCGGTCCAATCCTCGGGTTCAACGCCGCCCCCATAAATACATCATAAATGACATTCCCCGACATCCGCATTGCCTCTCCCCTCGCCACTGCCCATGCGTACGTTCCGAAACTGACCGCGAATCCATAGATCATGGCGACGGTCATGAGGTGGCCGTAGTTGTCGATGATCTCGGTGAGGCGGAAGATGTGGAAGTAGTGCAGGAAGGCGGCGGTAGCCATGGTGGTGTAAATGGAGAGGAGGGCGTTGCAGTTGTACATGAGGGTTTTGTAGCCCAGGGAAGGGACGGGGAGACCTTCTTGTTGGTAGCCAGGCATGACCCAAGCGAGGAAGAGTTGGAAGACGATCAGGCCAGAGTAGACTTTCCATGCGTAGAGGTTGGGGCTTGCGTCCTGTATACCGCGGGTTCAAAGGTAACAATTCGTTATCTAACGAATGAATAGGTGCAGGTAGAAGCGCGAGGGAACGTACATCACGGACGTGGGCCCACATCTGCTGGAGGAAAGGTTGGATACCATCGACAGACTTTGGGTATACGATCTGGCCGTCATAGAACCAGAGACAGATCCAGAGGTAATACATGAGCATGGGGAACCCAGTCATCATCGCTGTCACACCCCATGGTCCACCGAACTCATACCTAGAAACGAAAGCAATAACGCGTTATTGAAGTCAATACATCCGACATGAAGCTCAATCATACTACACGTCGAAAGGACACGAAAAAGTCAAGGTATGGGGGGAGAAACTCACCCATCGTGCTTGTCCAACTCCTGGTCCCTCTTCCTCCCCTCCTCCGTGATATGAGCAGCTCCATTCCCAATACCATTACCATTACCGTTCTGTTTTGCGACGTTTCGCTGGCGGAGGTCGCCATTACCGTTGGCGACGGCGGACATAGTCAAAGAACGACGAAGAGAAGAGCCCTGAGCGGTTTGACTTTGTTATAAAATCCTGTCAGCCTCAGGCTTTCGTAATCGAAGAGGCGTCTCGTGCCCACTGCCCACGGTGCACTTCGAAACACACAAATGACAGTGATAAATCAGGAGGGACACATCGTACGATATCTTATGGCGAGGGCGGGAATTTCCAAAAACGCGGTTCGGGTCGGGTCGAAGTTCAAGCGCTCAAGCGCGCGACGCGACGCGTCGACATCCTCTTTGCCCAAGATTGCTGAATCTGACTAGAGAAGGTATGGCAAAGTTGAAGAAAGGCGAGGCTCAACTAGCTCTAGCGTACGGATTGAGAGACCAAAGAAGCGCAAATGAGTAAATGTGTTTAGCTTTGAGGACAACGAACATGACGTTGTGGCGTCTGGAACCACCCAAACAGAAATAGACGAGCAGGAGCAAGATTTTCAGCACCTCAACTACCAAATCATACATCGGCCAAGATACCCAAATTAAAAGTAAACAAACAACCTTTATATCCTCACGAATGTCCTGGAGCCTCGGGTACAGTTTGACCTGACCAGCCTACAACACCTTCTAGACTCACACATAACACAGGTCACCTCCCGGATCCAGACCCTCTTCCGACAACCTCTGCCAACGCCCGCAGCCCACCAGCCGTCGCCGCCTGCAGTACCACTCCCGCATCTCCCGCAAACCTCCTCACGCCCGCTACAGTCTCCACCCCACTCGCCAACGCTCCCGCTAGCCCTGCCCCCTGCCTCCCATTCCTCCTAACCTCGGCACCGGGGAAGGTGGAGAACGTGGAAGAGGAAGAGGGTGAGGAGGTAGAAGAAGGGGAAGCTCCAGCGGACATCATCATGGCTGCCTTGATCGAGTCGAGCTCGTTGAGGACCTCGAGACCGACTGAACGGGCCCAGACGACGGGTTGTGCTGTAGTGGAGTACAGTTTGTGCAACTTGTCGCATACGGACATGATCTTATGGTTTTCAAAGTAGCGTTCGCGGGTGTAGGGTATCAGAGCGACGTGTGAGCCTAGGACACAGATATGAGCACGCCAGCACAAGAGAATTTTGAACACAAGCAAGGTATAAAACAAGCAACATACCGATGTCCCCACCCTTCATGACGACACCCTCAATACACCGAGCTAAACACTCTACGTCCGCTAATCCCATATTCAGCCCCTGTCCCGCGAGCGGGTGAATCGTATGCGCTGCGTCTCCCACAAGCACCGTTCTCGCGCCCTCACCTTCGCCAATATACGACTCTGTATGGTTATACCTGAGTGGGAACGATGCAATGGTCCCTGATTGGATGGACGAGACGAGAGGAGGAAGGAGATGCGCGTCCGTGGGTGGGATACCGATGTTGGCTATGGAGGGGTCGACGGAGGCGGATGCGTAGGCAGAATTAGGATCGATGTTATGTGAACGTTCTCGGAATAGGACTTCTTCTTGGATTTCTTTTCCGGAAGGAGCTCTTCCCTGGGTTGAAGCCTCGAGCAGCCTCTCATGCAAATATCGCATTGAAACCTCCGGTAGCCTGAACGCAGCGTTTATCATCATCCTCAACACCTCACCATTCGTGTCTGTATCCATTCTCTTCTCTTTATTCGTCAATATTGCCGCAAGAGTAGGTTTAGTCGACCATACGAGGGAAGAAGAGGTAGGTGAAAGAGGCAAGAAAGCAATAGGGCCGGTAGGGAGGAAACGTTGGAATGCTGTCGTATGGGGAGTGAAGGGACGGGCAGGGTGGTGCATGGTGGCGACAATGGCGTGGGTGGGGTACAACCAGCCGTAGGAAGAGATTTGTGCGTAGGCGCGGACAGGGGAGTTAGGCCCGTCAGCACCGACCTTCGCCAGACCACACACTTTAGTTCAAGATTACGTTCAACGGGAAACAAGATTGGCTAGCTTACAAGGAGACGAGCTCTCAGAGTCTTTCCGTTGGAAAGATGCACTAGGGGCCAGTGACCTCGCTCCTTCGTGTCGCGGGTGATTGACGCGACTTTTGCGTTATCAAGCAGCTGAATTCCCGGCGCATTTGAAAGGCGACGTAGGAGGGCTCGTTGCAGGTTGAGATTTTCTGTTAGTCGTGCCATTTGAGGGCTCTCAGAGGTTCGTTGCATGCCCAAGTGCATGACATTAAAGTCAATTCGTGCGTCAGATACACCGTCCCAAACCTTTCAGAATAGGACCGTCAAAGATGTTCGTGAGGAGTTTTGACATGAAGACAGACCTGCATGTCTTCTATGGGACATGTCCTGGATGCATCGACGTGGTCCCATGCACCAATTTCTATATAAGCGGTAAGTACGTTAGATACGAGGAAATAAACCTTTATGACTTACTGTCGAGAAAGGCTTGTGTGGCATTCGTGAGTGAACTCACCCTATTTGAGTACGCATCTGGAGGCATATTCCAGTCCCGTATTTTGGATAGGTCTCCAGCCTCAACTAAAGTTACCGACAGCGTCTTGTTCGCTACGTTCGATGAAGCTATGGTGATTTGATGTTAAGTTATTCTTTCATACTGATACTATGAGGACCCATACCCAATGCGCTCGACAAAGCCAGCCCTGCCGGACCTCCTCCTACAATGACTACATCACATTCTTCTGGTGCAGAACCTTCAGCAGCCTGAGAGTAGTAGCGAGATACGGCACTATTTCTTGAGCATGAATGTGCACGTCTAGAGAGAAGCAGGCGTTTTGGGCCCGCTGCGAGCAGCGACATGTTGGAGGATGAGAAACGCGTCGAAAGTGGCGTGAACTTTGACGGGATCCATGACAAATCCATGAACACGTCCGGAGGAAACCACGTGGCGACGGAGCAACGGAACCGGGGAGGTTCTCGTTCTTGTCCTCGCCACAATTGTCAATTGACACAGCCCACTGCCGACATCATCTTGACCCTCCTCAGGCTTGGGCATTGCACAGCAGGACCCCGGACCCTTATACCCTCTTCATAAATAGGCCATTGGCAGCCCAAACACACGATGGCAGCACCCACCATCTCCGCCGCTCAGGCAGTCGGCGAGTACCTTCAGTCCCCAGACGACCTCATGAAGATCGCAGCTTTTCGCAAGAAGCTGGAGAAGGAGAAGGCATCGATCGACGCGAGGCTGAAGAGCGGTGTCAAAGAGCAACTGGATGCGACGAGGGAGAGTCTGAGGAAGTTGTTTGGGACGAGGGATAATGTGCAGGCGGTGAAGGACGAGATGGAGACTATTGATAGGTTGTGCAGCGACCCGCAGAACAATGTGGCGACGTTTGATCAGATTAGTCGAGTGCGTCACTCCTTCTCACTACGTGTGGGCCGAATCATGGACTAATAGGTGGCATAACGTTGTCTATGGTAGGTGTCTATGGTCCACAGGAATTTCGAGCAGACGGAGGAGATGGTCAACAACCTGCTCGAGATGAACTCCCGTCTTGATGCCCTCGAAGACATGCTCGATGCAGACCGTAACGATATCTATGGCTCCGCGCCCAATCTTCTCCGCATTCACTACCAAATTAATCAACTCGAAGGCTTCCGGAACCAGACAATGCACCAAGCCAAGAAGGCATCCATCAATTCACAGACTACGCTCAGGCGTATGTTCGAACGGCTCAATACTTTGATCGAAGCTTTTGATGAGTACATCTTGGAGCTCGCAAAGAACCTACTACCCATTGTTAGGGCTGGCCATCCCGAGGTTATCATCAAGCTCATCAAGATTGCGGAAATCGAAGGCAAAGAGGACGAGAAGGTACATATACTCATTTTTATTGCTATATCTGTCTCCTAATCAGCGTTTGAACCTCGCTTTTCAATCAAACCCAGGCCATCGCCATTCGACTCGTCAAAAAAGCTGCCAAAATGGATGCCGCATCCAAGTTTAAATCCATGCAAGCCAATGCGCGCGTCATCAAACACTACCGTTCCAAAATCATGAAAGAAATCACCGACTCCATCCGCGCCAAGTTCGACGAAGCCTACCTCCAAGACGAGCGTAACCCCGTCGGATTCCTGGAAAACCTCGGCTGGATCTACCAAGACCTCATTCGCGTCGAGGCCGACGTCGTTCCCTGTTTCCCACCAGACTGGGACATATATTCACACTTCGTGCGACAGTATCATAAGGCCCTCGGAGCGACGATCGAGAGGTTGGTGGCGAGTGAGCCAGAGGCAAGCGCGCTGTTGACGTTGCATGCGTGGTTGAAGGAGTACAAGAAGAGTATGAAGGAGCTGGAGATAGCCCCGGAGCTGCTGGAACCGCCGATTTTGAACGGGAAGGAACAGTCTCTCATCGACGATTATCTCAAGCTCATTATCTCGAAACTGGACGAATGGTCCGCCAACTTGATGAAGACGGAGGTGTCGGAGTTCACGACGAGGGCGGAACCACCAGAGATGGACTCAGACAATCTTTACGGTATGCAGGGCGCGGTCATCCTCTTCCAGATGGTCAACCAGCAGGTCGACGCTGCGACGGAGAGCGGACAGGGCCTCATCCTTGCACGGGTGGTCACCGACGTAAATCGGGTCATGCGCGGTATCCAGGAACAATGGACGAAACTCATCGACCAGGAATACAAGAAACACATCAACCCACCCAAGGAGGAAGAAGTCCCCGGCGGCTTGGTCGAGTATATCATCGCGCTCGCGAACGACCAGATCAAGTCCGCCGATTTCTCAGAAGCCCTCTCCGCACGCATCGAACCCCTCGTCTCGGAGAAATACCGTATCACGATCAACGAGCGGTTGAACGACGCGATAGACGGTTACCTCGATGTCGCGAAGAAATGCACGCAGACACTCATCGATATCATCTTCAACGATCTGAAACCTGCTACAAAGCAGCTCTTCCAGGCTGGATGGTACGATGGGATCATGCGTCAAATCGTCGAAACGATGCGGGATTATATGACGGATTATCAATCCTATCTGAACCCCTCCCTACTCGAGCTCCTCGTCGAAGATCTTCTCGACGCCTTTTTAGTCTCCTACCTCACCGCCCTCGCCAACGCACCCAAGCTCAAGATGCCCGCCGCCACAGATCGTATCAAAGACGACGTCAGCGAGGCCTTTTCGTTCTTCAGCACGCTGAAACCGGCGAAGGAACTCGAGGCGTACTTCGAGGTAGTGGAGATGATCCTTGCGTTGCTGGAGGCGTCGAAGAGTCTCGTGTTCTTGTCCTTCTGGAGTTTCGCGAAGGTGCATGGTCCGAACATCGCGTTCGTGGAAAGTTTGATGAAGGCGAGGGATGATCTGGACAGGTCGGCTGTTGGAGAGGTTATGGATAGTATCAAGCGGAAGGTGAAGGACGAGGATCTGGCGGATCGTGAGTTTCGTTCTTGCTTATCCGTCATACCATTCGTGACTGGCTCTTTGAATGCTAACGCTCGATTTTTGTTACACATAGCCGAAGAACCAACGATCATGAAGAAGATCGCCGTCCAGAGTGCTTTCTCGCGGTTCCTCAGGACGAATACATGATCAACGTCATTTCATCCACCATCGCCTTTTCCTTCCTTTTCCTGTCCAGTCCCCTCTAGACCATCATGCTCAGTTTGCTTGTTACGCTATCTGTATCTCCTACGCATCATCTGTATTTCTACCATCGGTATCTTGTGCTTTCGCAACTTGGACTAGGACTTTGCTGTTTGATACACCTATTTGTCCATAAGCGATCTTTTCTACCACGGACCTGCGGTCAAATTTTACTATTATTTGGAATAGTTCTCGGGCTCTATGTACCTGATTATTTGCGTTCAGCTGCATAGATGAGGAGGTTCACGACATCCGACCTCATCCGACCTCATCCGACCCATTAGCTATAAGAATCGACACGCCACTTCGCCACATCTTTGTGCGATCACGTGAGGAGAAACACTTGAGGAAAGAAAGAAATTTCAAATAATGCCGTATCCCCCCTTCGCTCTACCGTTGCTTCACAATCCACTCCTTTACATATGTTTACAAATGACTCTAGTCTTTGCAGTTCTCGTCCACGAATCAAGCTTCTTGTAAAGAAGTATTGTGGGTCTGACAGAATCCTAGACTGTTCAAGTATGCGTTCTGGGCAAGATGATGATCGATCTCATTGTAACGCCGGAAACACGATGTGTTCGCTTCCATTCATACACCCTCTCACTCTAGTCTATCCTTGTGGACTAAGAGAACGCTTCAGCCATGTGTTTTCAGCGTTGTTCCTGCCCAGTTGCTGTTCGGAAGGGTGGCCGTGCATCATCTAAGCTCGATGCATAGAGTACTTCTCGCCATCGACTTCCAGTCAACCCCTCGCCCCTCGTCGATTCTTGTTAGGCCTCAAGACCTCACAGATAACCTCCAGTGCCACGACTAACCTGACTCCTCGAAGATCACAACAAGACGCTGTGCGCAACGCACGACGACTGACGCCGCTTTCGAACAGGTCCTCTCACGGGCTGTCTACCTCTATGCCAGAGACAGAGGCTTTCGCAGCGGTGAGCGTTCAATATATGTTTTGCATATGGCCTTCTGATATCGTACTGAACGTTTATTACAACGCGTAGTCATTGAATGCGGAAGACGCTGATATGACCGATTATGCTACCTCGCAACTCGCTCCAAGAATGTACCCAGACCGGTACCCCCTTTGGCAAATTATCCCCTCCACTATAGCTGGCGCTTTCAGCCTTTGTCTGTGGCCCTTTTTGCCGAGAGTGACCAAGTTTCTCTTATTCGACGTCTTCCTTCCACGTATGCGGGACGCCAGCTTTCGCGGGCCCTCGACCTCACGCCTCCCAGCGTTAATCCAAGTCCACCGCGCTGCTCTGAATGCGGTGTCTCTCGAGGACCTGAGTCGCTTCGTCATCTCGCGAAATTTCGGCCACGACCTCTCTTTTCAGTACAACGAGACTGGTGATTTGAAGGATCTACTCGAGTCGATCAGAGCCCTTCGCGAGGCGCTCTCGCTTCGCCATCCACGTCATCCTGATTGTGCGGAGCCGTCGATGATGCTGGCGAATAATTTACATCTTCTATTCGTCGGTGTCAAGCGTCGAGAGATCATTGAGGAAGCTATTCAGCTCTCTCGCAATGCCATAGATCTTCTCCCGCCGTCTGCACATGACCAGAGGCACAGAGCGCTTCGTACGCTCTCAGAGTGCCTTCGCGTCGCCTCCACGCATATGGTACTCAACACAATCGAGGAGTCCGTCGACAGAGCTCGAGAAGCCTTGGCTTCATGCCCACCAGGCCACAATGAGCGAGATCTCTCGTTGGCACAGTTATCGGCAGCGTTGAAAGCCCGCTACGAACGGTCGCGAGATATTGACGACCTAGACGAAAGTATCAGGCTCCAACGGGAGAGCATGGCACTTCTGACAGGTCCTCGACCACCACGCCGACCCATCGCCATGTACAACCTTGCTCTTGGTCTCTTGACTCGTTATGATAGGACCCATGATATTGCTGATCTCGAAGAGATTCGCGTCCACGCAGACGAGTGCGATACGTTGCTAAAGCCCTATGAGCATCACCCAGCCATGTCATTACTTTGGTGGATCCTTGCGCCAGTCTATCTCCGGGACCCAAATGCACTAAATTACGAACGCGGATTCTTGCTTTTGGAAAGAGCAACGAAGCACCCCTTTTCCTCTTCCTTCAATCGACTTCAAGCTGCACTAGCATGGGTATGGTACGCACGACCGCTAAAGCATCCTTCTACTGGTGACGCCTATTCTGAAGCCTTGCGGCTTGTGGGCGAACACCTTCGAGTGCGCCCTAGTGTCGAATGGCAGCGTGAGTTCTTCGGTCAGGAAGGCATAAGGACGCTACCGAGTGCCGCTGCCTCCTATTTCATCGAAATGGGAGATATTGAACGAGCTGTAGAGATATTAGAGCAAGGACGCGCACGAACGTGGTCAATGCTTCGCGGATATCACCCTCCTCTGGACATCGACCGGCTGAAGACGACGGATCCTGGTTTGGCGGATAGGCTGTCGTTCAATCTCGAATGGCTGAGCGAGCTTTCCTTGACACGCGTGTCGGAGATTCCACATTGGAGACAATATCCTACTCAGAAGTCAAATTTGACCGTCGAGAGCCCCTTTGAATATGTCCTGAGTGGGCAACTCATGTTGACAGAAGATCTAGCGGTGACCCTTCAAAAAATCAGGTCGATAGATGGTTTCAGAACCTTCCTGGACAACGATTTCTCCTACAACCATCTCGCGCAAGCCGCCTGTGAAGGTCCAGTCATCATCGTCAATGTCGATTCATTTCGCTCGGATGCCATCATCGTGTATCCCAATCGTTCATCGATGGTGGTCCCGCTCGCCGCAAGCCTCCAAAAGACAGTGAACCAGATATCCCATAAACTCGACCAAGTTGTATCGACTGCACGACAGGAACGCTACGATTCAGTCGCTTCGAATCGTCGCACTGCCGATATCATCACCGTACTGAATCTGCTATGGAGTCAGATCTGCAAACCTGTAGTCGACCAGCTCCTTAAAGATGGAGTATCGGAGCAATCACGGGTCTGGTGGTGCCCGACAGGTACCCTCGGGTTATTGCCTCTTCACGCCGCAAGGCTGTATAAGAACGGAGAAAAAAATATGTCGGACATCTTCGTATCCTCATACGCACCGACGTTATCCTCCCTCATCTCAGCGAGGTCTACCACAAAAGATGTGGCCGGAAGACGTGGACGTATTTTAGCCGTGGGTCAGTCGAAGGCACTTCCCCAGGTACGAATGAACTATCAACTTCTGCAAAGATGTGTCTCTGCTGACTAAATTCCTCCCAATAATAGGTGAAGCCAGAGATACAACGCATTCAGCACGTCTTCGCAAGCAGCAGCGCAGACGTTCTTGTCCGAGATAATGATGAAGCCACACCCGGCCAAGTTCTGAACGACATGAAGAATAACACCTGGGTTCATTTTGCGTGCCACGGTTCGCTCAAACCGGAAGAACCATTCACTTCATCTTTCAAACTCCACAACAACAGTGACCTCACCCTCATGACAATTGCAAAGGCTCAGATTCCAAATGCCGAACTAGCCTTCCTAGCCGCATGTCATAGCGCGGCCGGAGACGCTCGAGGATCGGTCGACGAGATCCTCAGTCTTGCGGGAGCGCTGCAGTTTTGTGGCTACAGGAGCGTGATAGGGACTTTGTGGGTGATGAATGATAGTGATGGGCCGGAACTAGCAGGTTCTTTCTATGAACATATGGTCAACGAGGACCTAGACTTCCGTAAGTCCGCCATAGCTCTGCATGCAGCCGTGAAAGAAATCCAGGCGAGAAAGGTTCCTCCTGAACGTTGGTGTACTTTCATACATATAGGGGTTTGATGCTCTTACATGATGCTCGAATGGTGATGATCTCACACTTACACTTATATTGTATATCAACTCCAATTCCCTTTTCTCATTCCTAGAATCCCCTGTCTTCTGGCTACTCTTTCTTCGTCTTCTCGTCCTTGTTGGATCTATCTGGCAACAAGGCCGCTACATCTTCGATCTTCTTGAACTGCCACGGGAAGCGGGAAGGGTACAAGAATGGGCGAAGGTCGAATCCTGAGCAGCGCGTACTCAAAGATCAGCCAGTCTCTGTCGGCGAGTGTATGAGCGGCACTTACGGTTGTCATCTGGACTGTACGATTCCTGTAAACCACGAAAACGAAAGATTTTGAGCACACGATGCTTGACGAAGGAGGCAGAAGTACGAACCGCATGATAGGATGGCGTCAATGTTGTCATTTTATGCCTGTTACGCGCATACTCGAAGTAAAAGTGCTTGACCTTCTCCGCAATCTGCACATGACATGACCCACGTCAGTTAGTGCACCGGAAAATTCCTTCTAGAATGAGTGTTGAGCAAGGAACGTAGGAACAGACCTGAGTAGGCGAGAGGAAAGACCCCCATTCGTGCACGAGCTTGGTGAACATGCTGTAAGGACCGCATTTCTCGACTTTGCGAAGACGGCCAAAGACCGAGAGTTCGTCGTAGGTCATACCCATGTCAGCCTGTGTGTACCCACGGATGTCAGTTTGGGGAATACCGCACACAGATAATCAGGAGGGCCAAGACAAACCTCGTCAGCTTGAACATAATTTTCAGTAATAGGTTCAAGCTCGGCTGTTGGTGTGGCGTCAAGGAAACTAAAGGGAGGTACGCTCAACAAAACAATTTAGACAATAGCTCGAATGCGGTAGATAGTACCTCTCAAGAATGGGGAGGTCAAATGCATCGCGAGCATATGCGATATAGTTCTTCAAGTCCGTCTTACTGATCCCACCAATAGGGTTCACATCCGCTATTGACTTTGTTTAGTGATAACCGACATAGCCCACCAAATAGATATCACTCACCCGAAGAGCAATCATACTTCGTGAGATACCCTCGCAAACTGTTTGACCTGCGTGAGTGACGGTTTCCTGACCAGTATGCATACACTTACCTCTCATCAACATTAGCACTCCCAAGCACGAGCAACCCCCCTTGGCGACCTCGGACCCACGGCAACAGCTGAGCAAACAGATAAGCCAATACCATACGCAGACGAGCTTGGATATTCTGCAACGCCAGGTTTTCAGCGTGGCTGCCGCCATGAGCGCGGAACTGTGGCTTGACGCCAGTGACGAAGCCGAAGAGGTTGCGAACTGCGGTGACCACCGTGTCCATGTTGAGGTCGATGTGGTAGCTATTGAAGACGTGGTTAAATTGATATCTCCAAGATGTAGAATATGTGCAGGTACAAACCTTCCAATGGCATTACTGAGCTCCTTGGCGCGTCCTCGTGTATCAGCACTGGAGTTCTCAGTGCCCATGTAACAGGTGTGGAATATACGACCGCAAAACTCTCTCGGATCTGAGGGTATGTAGCCAGAGTCCGCTGGTTCTCCGACGATACGGCGCGCATCCTCGATGACCTGTTTGTCTGAGGCGAAGAGTTTCGTGTCAATAACGAACTCAAACTAACCTACGAGGGAGACACGGACCTGCTCGACGCGCAGCTTCAGCGACCAGCCGACACATCGAATAGACAATGACGGCGGTGGCACAGCTATCAATCCCGCCGCTCAGCGGGACAAAATATCCCTGCGTCCGTGAGCGTCGCAGGTAATCCCAGAGCCAACACGCTGGTCCAAGTCTGACAAGTTGTATGGGATACGTGAGCATCGTTTCAGCAATATCTTTGGGAGCAGAAGCTTACGCGATCTCTTCCTCTGGGGTGTGGAACCTGACCTTAAACGAAGTCGGATGGTTGAACTCCGCGATCTCATTGAACTTTCCACTCGAAAGCGCAATAGGCGCATCAATTCGATGGTACCTCTCCGCTCCCGCAGCCTGCATGCTTCTGCTGCTCTTCGCCCTGTGAGCGCGGACGTCCTCAATATCGATAGTGGCAGAGACGACTTCAACATCATTCAAAGAAAATTGACTGCCTTGAGCAATGATGTGGCCGTTGATAGCGATCATAGCACATCCATCGTAGTATAGTCGGTCGCCGTCGCAGCCTTGTTGGTTGGCATAGAGGTAAACGCCACCGAGCTGGACTGAAGATAAGAAATTTATATCTATATTTTGAGATGAGAAACGAACCTTCTGCGTGGCTTCCTTGATGAGGTCAACACGGGTGTGAAGCTTGCGCAACTCGTGGTGACTGCCACTAGAATTTGTGAAGATCTCGACGCCATCGAGGCCCATGAGAATATGGGGGCTGTCGAAAACAGAGCAAAATGAAAATCAGCGTGTAATTCCTGAAGACGCCAAAGAAATGTCCCTACCTCGCGGGCGTGAACAGCTCCTCACATAACTCAACTCCAATACACGTATCCTGCGTGCTAACCACACAATCTCCAAACGGAACCTTGACCTGATTGGTCACTGCCTGAATGATCCTCGGCAAGAAATGGTCCTCCCATTGCCGATGTTTCTGCCACGGCGTGAAGTACCTCAGCTCGCGATAATTCCCGTCGTTCGCCATCCACATCTTCGGCCGGATGAGGAGGATCTGTTTGTTGTGGATGATAACCCGGCAGTTATAGATTACGTTCTTGTGTACTACAGGCCTGGCGACGCATGGTTCAGTCAGGGTCCCAACATTCGTAAGATAAATCATCGTAAAAAAGGATTCGGAGAGAGGTGAAAGAAGACTTACATCCCGATGTCGCAAACGATATCCTTCACATCGTCATGGGCGAGGATCTTGGCAAGAACCTCCCACGAGTGCAACACTGTATCGCCTATCAAATATGCAAGCATCCAAGAATCGTTAGCCATAACGAAACTTATCCTGCCCGTGCCATTTTGCTGCAGCTACAAGAATAATCCGGAAACAACTGATTACCTTCCAAGAAATGATCCAGGCATCCATATCCCCTGAAAGGTGAAAAATCAGCACATTCACGTTTCAGCCAACAATAATGTTTAGATGTTCTTCAGGCGGTTGAATCAGTGTCGGAGTCTTACTCACGGTATCTCGAGCTCAGGTCCAACTCTCAGTGTGGCGCCCCTCTGCTTCGCAATCGCGATACTTGCGAGGATGCGCTCAAGGTTACCCTAGGAAAAGGCAATCAGCAACACCACACACACACACACAAACAATCGCGATGCTACCTGAAAGTCCAGAGCCCATTGATTCAGAGAACTACAGGTACCTTGAGTTAGCTAGATTTGTCGTCGCTGATCTTACAGCGGCGGCTTACCATCTGATCCGACAAGTAAACCAGACGTCAGAGGGTGGAAGGACATAAAAATGAGAACATACGTTGCAAGCGTGATCTGATGCCCCATGCCTGTGGTTGGAGCACTTCACGAAGAGTCGGTGGACGTATGTAGATGGTTCGCCACTTCGACTGACTCGAAGTTCAGGGGAACTTGAGCGCTGCGGCGGAGGAAATTCAAAGATAAGATATCGGAATTTGCCGATTTTAACGTTCTTTCTTCCCAGACACTTGGCGCCCGTTCAAGGAGCTGTTAGATGTGGCACTGTGGCCCTCTCCCCGTCATCCGTTCACTCACGTCTTCTTGAACTTCCGTAATATTACGGACCACACAAATTCGAGACAAGAAAATACAGTCACAACAGCATAAGACATATATGTACAAGCGATGAAAAGAAAAAGGCATATGAATAGGAGATACATATTACAATACTTCAAGATAGATCGCGATTTCGACAACGGCCATACGAACATACAAACGACAACGTACACCTCACTTCTCATTCGACTTCAGCTCAACATTGTACTATTAACGCGCACGATAAAACAACCCCGTCAGAGTGACCACGTAGGAACAAGATCGAATGCATGCATACCTGAACGATCATCGAAGTCGCCCACGGCGTCGGCAGATGGTCCTTGCCCAAATACTCATACCTCAAAGTATTGACCGCGTTCGTCCTGTACCTCTTTAACTTGCCCGACTGACCAGGTCCACGACGAAGGTGGTCATATTCGAAGACAGCTCGGAGAACTTGGCTCATGATCTACAATGAACCAGAAGGTATCAACGTAAAGGTCGTATGTTTGATTCACGAGTAGTGTACGAACCTTCATCGTGATGTCGAGACCGAGACATCTATCCATTGCGATCCCCATAGTCAGCGGAGATGGCGCAGATTCGTGGTATCAAGAAAAGTACGCACCTGACCGCGCCGTCCCCAATCAAGTACTTCTTCATCTCACGATTCAGATCAATCGACTTCGGCTCAGCAAATACAGTCGCCTGCGCATTGATAAATTAACAATGAGAAAGGTTGGTTAATAATGACGTTAGTAAATCACTCACGTCCATGCCCGCATGGGCAATATCCACAAAGACTTTCTGACCCCCTTCGATCCTAGCCGCACCGACAGTCTCACCGTGGAGGGCCTCACGCCAGACACCACGGAAAGGTGGGTCAACCCCTTAATAGTTGGAAGATTTAGTCAGTAACCACAGAGACTGGATGAGCGAGACACTCACTCAAGGCCTCGCAGAAATACGCGGACAGCTGCGCTACGTTCTTCGGATCGTTGAGGGCTTCCAACGACGGCGTGTTCTTGTCGTCCAGGTAGACATTGACGACGCTAATGAGGCCTGCACGAAGAGATCATCATCCAAACGATAGGAATCAACTTCAATAGCACAAAGACTATGTGAGATAAGAAGAACGTACTCTGAGAAAGCTCAACCGTGGCCCCTACCATCAGCGCTAGGATATTATTCGCAACCTCATCGGCCGACCTCCCCTGCTCGAACAACTTCTCCGCCAGTGGGAGAGTCTTCTTCTTGGTCTTCGAACCGGAGAACAGATGTTGAATAGACTCCGCCACGCCTTCAACGAGCGAAAGCTTTCAAGCGTAGTAGTATCAGTGGATCAGTGAACAGGTAAGGGAGATAGCGGGACATACCCCTCCACCGGCATGGAACACCACATGCTCCTTGATGGAACGATGTAACTCGTCGACATATTTCTTCACTCGTTCTTCAAGCATCATTGCCTTCGAGGGGTCGACGTCGAGGAAGAAGTACCTGTCAGGAACAGAATTTATGTCTCAGTCAGTGTGCAAGATAGACAGGATAAGAAACGAAGCTCACGTATAGATGTCGGTCAACATATCGAACAACTGGCCCTCCGTGTAAGGCCCGGACTGATGCTGAGTCTTCAACGTGAAGCCAGCCTGCATCACAACCGCCATCAGTATCCACCCGGAAAAATCGAGTCTCGAACGCTACTCGAAAATTCGTGGGCACTCACAATCTCAGTCGCAACCCATCTGATCGGAATAAACCTCAACGCGTCCACAATATCCACGTTCTTGATTCGCTTATCCGACAATGTAAACGACTTCTCGTCGATCACCGCTTTCGTCGTCTGATAGAATGACATCGCGATTGTGTTTGTAGAGCCCTCTTCGGCTGTGAGTACCCGGAGGACTTCGCGCTGGTCGCGTTCACCCCGCGCGGGATCGCCGGACGCGATGAAGAATCTAGTCGCACGAGACATATATTCAGCTTGAACCATCCCATTCATTCCGATAGAGGGGAAAAGAAAGAAAGAGAATGGCAAGACGGACCCATTGTCCTTGATGATCCCCGTAACAATCTTCGCATAAGGCTGCTTGAAGTTCTGGCTCTTCAACACTGCCTCGACATCGCGGTACTCATTCACCAGCCCAATGACTGGAGGGTCACCGGGACGGGAAAAGTTGTATCGGTGATCTTGTCCGAGCTTGGCGAGGAAACCTTTTATGGACTCGGGAGTCTGCAAGGGGAACCAGGCGTAGGTACTCTGCAAGTCGAAGGTCCAAAGCAAGCAAGGAAGACATATTAGTATGTCACAGGAAGCGAGCAAAAGGAATTTGCGTACGTTCTCCCCAAACTCATGCGGAAGCGCCCTCATCAATAACTTCCCTACGATACTTCCATTACCGGGACCTTCTGGGTCTCTCTGACAGTCCGCGAAGCCCCACCTGTATATACACATATTAGCCAACCCTATTTTAGGGGAGAGTGGTATAAAACAAATAGAACTAACGCAGTCATGTTGAAAGGCGTATAATCTGCCGTGAAGAACCGATCGCCACGAGTGAGAGCTATCGCGTCACTGAGAATCGCACGACTGATAGTATAGCCTAACAACGTTAAAAGTTTGTCGTCAGTGTCTCTATTCTATGTAGAGCGATGGGTTTGATCTGGAGAGAAGTCTTTACCTGGACAAAGACCTGCGCCATCGACGAGGGGCTTCGCCTGTTCCGCCTGCAGACCAACGTAGAGCTCTGGGAAGTTGAAGCTGCGTGAGTCGAAGAATCATCGGGGTACTTAGCATATGGCGAACATACCGAGGTTCTCAATATCTCCATACAACTTCTCGGCGGCGTAAGCAATCTCGGCGTCGGGGTTCCACTCGAGGAAGCTTTCATAGGCTGTATGACCGTGTCAGGTTCATGAGTTAAACAATTCGACTCAAGGGCACATGGGACGACGTACGTTTCAAACCAAGGAACTACAGGAGGTTGGGAGACCTTATATCAGTACACGAGTGCAGCCAGAATGCAGCATATATCATACCTTCCTGAACTCATTCAAACTGCAAACACCCCACCTCCTGTTCGACTCTATTCCCATGATCTCGTGCAACCTCATGATCTCAGGAGTACCCCGAGCCTTAAATGCCGCAGCGGGGTGCTCCATCCTACAACGCATACATCAGTCTCTCAGTCAATGACCAGGCACCAATGGTCACTCGTAGTAAGCAGCCCGAGTACTCACGCGTTCTTCAGAATGGACGCGAGATCACTGTCCTTGAACATCCCGTCTTCTTGTCGCTGCATGCTATAAACGATCGAAGAGACTAAGTCTCCCGGAAATACGAATCACACAAAAGAGAAGGCACTTACCCTCCGAAAGTCCAGTGACCTACGTCAGGCTCCTGTTCCTTGATCTTCGCAGTAGCTTCCAAGAAGTCCTTTACCCCAAGCTACATAACAGAAAAAGTCTCAGAGCGTATCAAGCCATCAAGTACGTCGGATTTATCACAAACCTCTTCGACTGGCTTGTCGTTGAAAATATGTCCCAGCAACTGCGTCACCCACTTCTCATCCGCTTCAGACTGGTACCAGAGGCAATGAGATGAGTACCAAATATAACGCATGTAAGGTATAAAAAGAAGTGACTCACCGTCGTAGCATGCCACCTATAAAGACAGTTGAACTCGACGCTACAAACATTCCCACGTCCCCTCTCGAAAAGCGAATGGTCCTCCTTTCTCATTTCCTACGTTCAGATTCAGCCCCAGATCAGCACAGACAAACACGCTCGCGTATAATAGATAGGGCTTACTCCGAATGGCGAGAGCGACCATTTGCTCCCCGAGCGCACAAGGCCCAAGATACTTCCAAAGTAGTCAGCGAAGAGCGCCGTGCCGAACCAAGCACAGTTGATGAGACGAGCAGTTTGGAAGATGTCCTCCTGCAAGGGGTGGTGAGGTGATCAGATACAGGATCTTGAGCAGTGAAGCGGTAGATAGGACCAAACGGACCTCTTGCTCGAGGAGCTTCTGCATTCTCTGAGGGTCATCCTCGGAAATAGAATCGGGGTCCTGGTAAGTCCCACGCTCGTTGATCTCGAGCAACTTGTTGGCAATGTACTGGAAAACCCGATGAGTCAATACACTCTGGAATAAAGAGAGATGGGAATTGGTTGAACACACATTGTGGTTCCTGCTGAACAGGACCAACAACACACAGACGGCCGGAGGGAGGAGCATCAATCTGTCTTCGGCGAATGTGTCGGGCAGAAGGAGACCACGTCCGTCTCGCACTCGAAGCTTGTCACCACTCTCTTGGTCATGACCGTAGAGTGGCGCAAGGTCACAGTAGGAAGATCTAACACCATTTTTATCAGTGGGCGGGACAAAAGAAAGAGGATGATAGTGGGAGTACGTTTCATTGATGTTGACATCCTTATGGGAAGTACGGAAGACGCTGTATTCGAGGTTATTAGCCATGGCAGACATGCGAGAAGAGTAGAATATTCCCATACGTATGAATAACGAGGGCAGCGAAGGCAAACATCATGGATGACAGGCCGGCGGGATGTGGCACAAACTAGAAACGCAGAAAGTTAAAAACGTCGAAGAACATATAATCAGATGTAATGTTTACTTCGTCACGCCTTAAGAGAGTATCAAACACCAATCCAGCGTCTGGAAGTGTGTTGCGAGGGAGGGGGTGCGTCTGCTGAACAGAACGAGCGTAAGGCGTCCCGGCCTTCCCCATACTGGTAGGTAAAAAAAGACTAGTATCAGGGGACTGCAGTGCGATGAAGGAGTTTTGAGAGTACTCACTCAGGTATGTCGATATTGTTTCCCGAGCCATCTGCAGCCCTTCTCGCGTACTTGGGACCAATGAGAGTCGCCGGAGGATGGGCGAGATCGTTGTAGACTGAAATGGCATGAGAACTTATCAGGGGAAGGAAATGAGGCAGTAAAAGTAAGCAACAACTGACGCAGCTGGATGGTCTTGTTCTCAATCCTTGTGCGTATCGTACCTGCTGGCATCTTGGTGGATAAGATGGTAAGGACATGCTCCTGCGTACGGGAGTTGAATCGTGAGTAAAGGTCGCTATGTTGAAGATGTTTATACGGACATACCAGCAACATCTTGCGGTCATCGAGATCGTTAATGTTTCCGATGGCGTCGACGACGGCAGCCTGAGTTGAACCATACTTAGTTCAACAGCTGGATCAGTACATACGAAGCGTACCCACCAAAGTCGAAGGTTCATGGTAAGCACCGGTTCCTTTCGTCATCTAGTCCACCATGACGAGTAAGCATGTTAACAAGCCACTAAACGGTTATATTGGACGCACATGCTCGCGGAAGTCTTCGACGATCTTGGGAAGAACGCCTGGTTGCTCTTGCTCCGCACTGCCATTGTTAGAACTACCAGTATTCTCAGCTCTCTTCGAACTAGACCTCCTCAGCTGCACCTTAAAGTCAACACCGCGACATCAGCGTCAAATAGAAGCCACGAACCGAGGTCGCTCTCTGCATTATCTTTGGGACAGAAGCCATTACGATGGAAGAAGGGAGTTGGAGGGGGGGGACAAGGACGAAGGAGGAGAAAAGGAGCTACTGTCCTCCTGCTGATGTCGAAGCCATTATATGATGGTCAGGAATCCACCCTCGGTGAATGGAAGACGGATTCTAAGCTATTCTAAGTCCGCGAACTCTCTGTTTTGGGAGCGCTGGAATCTTCTGAGCATCGTGCTTGCCGGATCAGTATGCCATGCATCCAGTTGAGGTCATCATGTTCTTTACGCCGCTTGAAAAAGTCAGTCTGACGTCGCCGTCTCGACGATAGACACTCCAACGTGAGACGGTATCCACGATTGATAGCACAAGCTCGGCGGACTTCGTAAGTGGTAGTCGGTGGCGAGGACTACCACGGTTTGCAGTCCCCAACGTCCAAGAATCGGACGCGCAAGGAAAAGGGAACTCGAAGAAGTCATATTGAGCGTCCTCTGACCTACGCTTCCCTACATAACAACATGTAACATGCAGAATCTGGTGTGGCGCATAGCAAAATGACTGTGGGAGGTCTAGAAAAAGCTTCCATGCAAGTGAATCTCCGAGAGAGGCGGCAGAGTTGCTGTTAGGTGGTGACGGACAGCAAGAATGTTCGTCAGTCGACTTCCCACAATACTACCCCTTGTGCGGGTACAGTATTCGGGGGAACAACACGGCGTCAACCACTGAAGTATTCGCCAAGTTCGGCACCAGTCCTGAGCAACGAGAAATCAGGAGTGCGACCAGACAGTTCAAGTGGATTGAAAACTCAGCAGATGGTTCGACTCCAAAAGCCCTCATCCACGAAGAGTCGCCGAGCATTGAGTCGGACAATCCCGGCTCACATCTCACGCCTCTTTACGTACATACTTGTGCCACTTCAAAACTCAAAATGTGGCGAGTCATGATCCAGTCAACGGCAACATGAACATCACCTCAAAAAAAACTCAGAACAGCCCCAGGAGACATCAACATACCGACATCGCATCGTACATGACGTGACACAAACGATTTATGAATCGGTGGTAAGTACGTCGTACATACAGCATGCATGTCAATGAATCGGAATGAAAGGGAATCCCGCCGATAAGGGTGATGTAGGTGGGTAACAGAAACAGAATAATGAAGAAACAGGGGAATCAGAATGAATGGGTAAGTGGATGACAGTCGAGGTATCAAATGATCGGACACACAAGAACACACAGAGGATAAAAGAAAAGATAAAATGACAAATGATGAATGACGAGAGAGGAGAGAGGAGAAAAGAAAAGAAGTCCCAGGGAGAGTTTGATTGCACAATGCCTACTACTAAGCTGAGCTGGGAGAGATTAGAGAGAGAGGAAAAGAGAGACGGATCGAGACTAGGTATACGTATGTACGCGAGCGACACTGTTGAGTAAGGTGGAAAAAATGAGCCCGTGGTATGTCGTGTCTGGGCATGTAAGATCAAAGAAAAAAGTGAGGAAAGTGAGGAGAACGAAGGGGTACCAGTACAGATAATAACCTGATATAAGATACGAACGTATGTAAAGAAGGGGGATATAAAATGTACACATAGAAGTAGCAGTCGAGGAAGAATGCTCAGAGGGAATGGACAGGGATGGAGAAGAGGTATGGAAAGATGAGCGGAAGGCGCGGGCACGAAACACGGAAACAGAGCATCACTGGATAATACACCCCCCCTCCTTCTCCTTCCCTCTAGACTCGTGCTTCCCCTTTTTCGTCCGTCTCGTCCCCACGTCCATCCCTCCCGGCATCCCCTCCGTCATACCCACACCAACATCCCCATCATTCGCACCGGCCACCGAAGTCCCAGAATAAATGCTCATCCTCGACTCCCTCGGAATATCCGTGGTCGTATCCGCCTCGGACGCCCTACTGCCCGACATCCTCGTCCCCGTCTCCGTGACGGACCTCATCCCACTACCACCCGACACACCGGCCGCATGTCGACTAGACAGACTCTCAGGCGCGGTGTTCATGGATCGCATGGACGACGTATGTGGCGAGCTGGACGAAGAGATCGACTTTGGTGGCTCCTTCGTCTCTTTCGTGTGCGTCCGACCGAGGATGGAAAACTTCCGACGAATGATGTTCTCTTCATGATGCTGATGCTGATGATGGCCTTGTCCCGCTCTGTCCCTTTCCCTCTCCTTATCCTTATGTACAGTCGCGGACGCAGCGGAAGAAGGCGTAGGCTCGGGAGTAAGCGACTGTCTAGACTGCCTCTTGAACGGATGGCGAACTTTATACGCCGTAGGCGGATGCGGAATCGGCGTCGTCGAAGTGGAATTCGGTGGCGGAGAGTGCGGAGGAACATCAAGGCTCGCTCGGGAAGAACTGGCAGCCCCGTTCCCGTCGCTCGTGACCGAGGTCGGACCGCGAGAAGCAGAGATAAAGTCGACTGGGCTGCCCCGCTCCGCGAAGTGCGCGTAGAGGAGGAGCTGAGAACGGAGGTCGCATGTCGGCGGTGCGTTCGCTGCGCATTTGGAGTGCGCAATGAGGCTGCATTGTGAGCAGAGCACGGCGCTCTTCTTCACGTTCTGCATACACACCCTGCAGATTACGGCTGCGCGGAGGAGGAAGAAAACATATCAGTATCAGCACGAACGATGATTCCGAGCAGAGTATATGAAACGCACGTTTGCTGAAGGTGGTCTTCACAAACGTATGCTCGCGGACGGAGAGAAGCTCGCTATCGGGAATCGTCTGGGGAAGAGGCGTCGGTGGCGGGACAGTTCCATTCGAAAGCCTGCGAGGAGAGCTCGGTGTCTCGTCCTCCACCTTCGCAGGCTCAGACATGTCGAGTGAAGCAAGGTGGCGGATACCCTCATGTTTATGAAGGTCGGCGCTGACCCTGCGAAGGAAGGGAATGCTATCTTGAGGCCGAAGATCCTGAAACAGGCATAGCCAGTCATGAGCTATCTGAATCCACGAGAAGCGCAAAAGACCAACCTTATGAGCACCCCAGTGCTTCTTGAGCCACTCGTGTTCGCATAGCAGCTCGGCACTGGGTCGTAGCTCAGGATCCTTGTCGAAGCACAACCGCAGGAAGTTACTCAGGGGTTCAGAGATCCCCTCCGGCAATGGCGGCATCTCGTCCTCGACGATACGGAACATGACTGTGGATCATTCAATGCATGTCGAGTCAGAACCCATCCAAGCAAATACAACGCCACAAAGGGGAGAATCCTAATACTCACCAGTCATAGTGTTCGCAATATCCCCATAAGGAGGCTTGCCCGTCAACAGCTCGATGACCGTACACGCCAAGGACCAGATATCCGACTTTGTGGACGCTCCCTTAAGTTCAATCACCTCCGGCGCCATCCAATTCGGTGTCCCCGCGACGTCCTTGATCTCACGCTCCATAGCCCTCAAGTTCAAGGACACTCCGAAATCGGAAAGTTTGACGTTCCCGTTCTTCGTGGTGAGGATGTTCGCGGCCTTGAGATCGCAGTGGACGACGTCCGATTGGTGGAGGTAGTGCAAGCCTTCGAGGATCTTGACGACGTAGCTGGCAACGAGCCGTTCATTGAGCTTTCCGAACGCTTTGAGAGTCTGCCCTAAGGATCCGTTTTCGGCGTACCTGTGTCGAATGTTAGCATGAATGTTGGGCCGCGAATAAGGGAAGAGGGAAAGGGAGAGACTCACTCGAGAACGATGCTGAGCGTATTCTCGTCGCGTGCCATGCCTTCATACTTGACGATGCTGGGGTGAGATAAGCTCTTGACGAGATCGACCTCCCTCATGAGCGTAGTGACCTCTTCCTCCTTGAGCCCGTCCAGGCCTATGCGCTTCACTGCGACCATCTGTCCCGTGTTCAGATTCAGCGCACGATACACAGCACCGAACTGTCCCCGCCCGATACAGTTCCCGAGTTGCTGCGACACACATAGCCCAAGATCAGTCAAAACATTCATCAAGCGAGCAAGAGAGAAAGAACGAGAGAAAGCACTCACGAAATGCGTAGGCGGCCTCCCCTCCTCCCGCACCACCAACGTCTTCCTCACCGCACTCGCCCCATTCCCACCCACACCCAACCCATACCCCCCATCCGCCGAATTCCTCCTCGACTCCCTCCCCTCCCTCGGCGGAGCCAACAAATCACTCGCACTCAACCCTCCCAACGGACTGTTCGTCCCGCTCCCCCCTGGTCCACCACCAGCCCCCATCCCCGCCCCCAGATTCACCATACTCTCGAACCTCGACCTCCGATTGACACCCAACCCACCCAACATCGGCTTCGCCCCGAACTCATCGTACGAATTCGGGCGAGGTCGTCTCCTCGAGCTCGATCCGTCGACCTCGCTCTGGAATCGTCCCCGTGGCTGAAGTGGCGGTCTATCCCTATCTTTCGACGAAGAAGACAACGTCGGGCCCCGTCCCTCTCTCTCGGACAACCGCCGCTGACCTGCTTCATCTCCCGATCCCGATCCAGAGGCCTCCTTCGACGCACCGACAGCAGCAAGACCCCCCGCCTGATCCGCCGAAACCGACCTCGGAAACGGAATCAACCCCTCTCCCTCTCCCTCCCCACCCACACCACCCTCCTCCACCTCCTCATCCGTCCCATTCTTCCTCGACGACGGCAAATAGACCCCATTATTCCTCCCCTGGACCTGGACCTGGACCCCAACCCCCATACTCGTCTTCGTACTATTCCTCCTCATCATCCCCCTCCCCTGCGCCGCCGAATCCGGACTCATATCCCTCTCGCGCGGTAGAAGTCCAGCCGGAGGCGGGACGTCAACGCTATGTCTCGACTTATGCGTCGTCGGCCTCCTCGCTACCAACTGCGGCAACGAATCCACGCTCTCATTACTCCCCACCCCTCCCACTCCGACTCCCAATCCTAGACCCAGACCATGTCCAGGTCCCGATCCAGGCGAGCCAGAGCCATTGAACCCCACGACTGCAAACTTCCGTGGCGATCCAGGTGAGGGCGTCATAGAATGGGAATGTGGTGAAGGCGAGGAGCTCCCCCCGAGTCTCGATTCGCTTCTGTCCGATGTCGATGGGGGATACTTGATAGGTATAGGCCTCGTCGTGTTCGTATTTCCATTGACGTTAGCGTTCTGCCCGCCCCTGCCGCCATGCATAGGCAACAACGCGTCCAAGAAATCATCCGGCCATTTGCCCTTACCCAGATTAATCCTCTCGATCCTCTCCCTCTCCAACACCTCCGCCTTCGCGCTCGCCGTCGTAGTCGTGGCGGCGGTCGTATTAACCCTCGCCAACTTCTCCCTCTCCCGACGACCGTCCCTCCTGGCCGCCGCGAAATCCTCAGCCTCCTCCGCTACCCTCGACAGATCAACCACCGCCCCCTCGCTCGGCCTCCTTTCTCTCCTCGACGTCGGTACCGGAATGTTGGGAATGCTGGGAATGCTCGCGATCGGCGAGGGATTGGACGTGGAGTTAGACGTGGAGTTCTTCCTCCCCAGCTGCAGATCATCCGCAAGCATACTTCCCTCCGTCCTCGACAGCGAAGGCCACTCCGACGGCACAAACGACGTCGCCTCCGTCGTCACCGTCCTAATCGTCCCATATCTACCCCCATTCCCATTCCCACTATCCCTCTCCCTCTCCCTCCCATACGCATGATGATGATATTGATGCTGACCACCACCACCACCCCTCCCGCCCACATCCAACAAACTCGAATAAGTAGTCGTATCCGTCGTCTCTGTCTGACCCGCCGACGAAGCCATCGACTGTCTCGCCACCGACTCCGCTCCACCATCAGACGTTAACGACTCCCGATCTTGGTTTGAAGGCCTACGTGAACGTAGAGGAGACCGTGGTGGTGGGACCATCATCATCGGCGGGACGTCGTCGATCTCCATCTCACCTGCACCTATACCCCCAATCGCGAGGCCAATCCCAAGCGTAGGCGTGTCCCTCCCATCGTCATAAAACACGTCTTCATCCAAGCTGATATTGGCGGCGGGAGTCCTGGTGGTCGTATTCCCACTTCGAGTATTAGCAGGAGTCGTCCGATTATTGGCAGCAGCAGTAGCCGTCCGTTTGGCAGTACTAGCAGCAGCAGCAGCCTCCCCATCGCTCGACGCATCCGAAGGCGTATGCGACCGTACAGTCGGAAGCGCAGGCGAAGGCGGCGTCCATCGTTTTCGGGGCGTCGTCGGACTGTGGCCGTGTCCATGATTATGATTCGGAGTGGGGTTTTGACTGTTACTGTGGTGGTGGTTGGAATTAGAATGAACGACGGGCGACCCCGACCTTCCCATCAAATTCGGCGTCGACGTCGACCCCCCTCTCACGCTCCCCGGTCCATACGGGCTTTTTCCTCGTCCTCCTCCACTCACTCCTCCTGCGCCTCTCAATGCCTCCCCACCCCTAATAGCCTTCGACCTCCCGCCCGCTCCCATGCTATCAACCCCACCTCCCTCCGCCCACCTCACAACACCGACAACACACCTCGCCACCCTCGCCAGCGCCTCGCTCGTCCCCTCTATCAGGTCGTCCCTCTGAAACAATATCTCCTCTTGTGCGCTCTCACCTGAAGTACCCGGCAGCCCGATACCATTCGGTGCGTTCAACCCGATCCCATGGTTCGCACACGCCGCCAAAAACCGCGTCACGTTCGACGTCCGCACTTTCCCGTCTTCGCGACTGTCGATGCGCGGGATGGAGCCGGGGTGTAGTTTGTTCATTAATCTGTTTTTCGGGATATGCGAAAATAAAACATGGGTTAGTCATGCGAGATGGGATGAAAGCAGACCAAAGCCAAAATAAAAACAAAAAAGGAAACGGGAGAGGGAATGAGGGAATGAGGGATATCGTCAGCGTCGCGTACGAACTACTCCGGAAACGGGAAACGGGAAACGGGAAAACCGCCCCGAGATGAGGCCAAGTGGAGAACAAAAAACCGATCGACACTAATGCGGGATGAAGAGGATAGGAGAAATTCGAGATTCGGGAAAGAGTGAGAGAAAGAATGACGAAAAAACACGCACTGGCAGAGCACATAACCATCCCTCAACGCCTCCGCGAATAACCTCCTCTCCCTCTCCTCCCCCGCCGCACTCGCACTTCCGCCTCCCATCCCTCCCATCCCTCCCATCCCTCCCATCCCTCCCATCCCACTTCCACCTCCACTCCCACCTCCACTTCCACTCCCACCTCCAAACCCTCCATCCCCGCTCTTCGCATTCCCATTCCCTGGCCCTACCCCACTCAACCCCCCTTGATTCGCACTCGCATTCCCCACCCCACTCTTCCCCCAAACCCTCTCCAACCTCGCCAAAGCCCTCATCCTCACCTCAACCTCCTCCGCCTCTCTCACTCCCACAGCCTGCACCAACCCCGGCGTCTTCAACATCTCTTTACAGAGCACGCTCGCCGCCTGTCTTATCGCCTCTCTGTGCTCTGGGTTTCCTCCTGTACCTCCACCCGTACCACCACTGCTACTATTGTTGCTGTAGGAGTTGGAGTTGGAGTTGGCTAGAGAGGTGGAGTTGGGGTTGGCAGAGGTGGGGTTGGAGAGGGTGGCGATGGAGGCTAGGGAGGTGGAGGATGCGTTCAGGTGCCGTTGATTATAATTATACGTTGGAGTAACGACGCGCGAATTAGGTGACAGGGCTCTTGGTCGCAGAGGCGTCGATGTAGATGGCGAGTTGGCGCGTGAAGCAGACGGAGACCGTGAATGTGGACGTTGCGAATCGGATGATCTGCGCGGTGCTTGGGCTTGTGAATCGACGGACGCTCGCCTTGCTTGCGAATCGACCGACCCTCTCCTCCCTTGTCCCTGTCCCTGCGCTTGTCCCTGTGCAGCAGAAGAGGAAGTGGAGCTTGAAGGCAAATGCGAAGTCGACGCAGAAACCAAACCCCGCTGTGAGCTCGCAGCAGTCGGACTCAAAACTCTACTACTACTCCGCGATGGTGACCTGGGCGTGAGCGGGGACGGCGAAGGCGAGGAGGGTCTTCTGCGTGTTGTGGTCGATGTTGTTGTTGTTGTTCCTGTCTCTGGAGTCGGCGAACTGGGATGAGGATGTGGAGGTGGAGAACGGGCGGAGGGTCGTATAGGTGATGTTGATGAGGAAGGGAGGAGGTCAGGCGAAGAGGGCGAAGAAGGTAATAATGGTGAGGGGCGAGATTTTCGTAACCTCCCTTGGGGTGTCGGACTCGCATCCACACCCGCACCACTCCTCGCACTGCTGCTAGCACGTTTAGGCGTAAGCGGCGACGGACCACTAATAATATCGCCGCCGAGTGATTGCGACCCTTTCGTATGACTATGTCGTGGACGAGTGGGCGACACAAGCGCAGCGTTATTCGAGGACGAAGAGGCGGGAAATGCGGATTCGGAGCGTGGAGAGGGGAAGGGCTGCGAGGAGAGATGAATAGCGGGGGAGGACATGGATGCTTGACGGAGTGAGGGGGTTAGGAAACTGCTGAAGCCCGCCTGTCGGAACCTGCTGTCCTTCCTCTCTCTTTCTCTCTGCTGCTGTTCTTGTGCGTCTGGAGGAGGAGAAGAGGGAGGGGAAGAAGGGTCGTGAGAGTGTGATTGGTGGGGTAAGTCCTTCCTGGACGAAGTCCGACGGAAGTTGACTTTGGTCTCGAGACGCTTGAGCATGTTCGTGTTCGTGTTTGAATTCGACCGGTCCTTGTCCTTGTCCTCCTCCGAGGGTTCGGGCCCGGCCCGCACAGTGGTGACTGTCGCAAAGTCATCGTCGGCGGTGGTGGTAATGGTGGGTGGAGGCTTGCCTCTGCCTCTAGCTGAGCGGATGCTTTGTTCGAGAGACGACCGGAGTCGTTTGAATGTCTTTGGTGGCGGGTTCGGGTTCGGGTTCGGGTTATTGGTGGGGTGGTCGGGGAGTGGCGAGACGGAGGATGTGGAGGGTTGTGGCGAGCGTGGTGGGGGAGGGTGTTTTGGAGAGGAGAGACGTGAGGAGAACATGTGTACGGGGTTTGTGACGGACGGGTTGAGCTTGGAGGAGGTCGCGACGGCGGCAGCAGCCATGTGAGACTGTTCATGCAGCGAGCGAGCGGGGGATGTGATGTGGCCCAGTCAGTCAGTGACTAGTGACAAGTTGTGGAGCGGACGGACATGGGTCAGCCACAACCAGGCAGGCTGAACGAGAGAGACTTACGGCAAGGCGCCGCAAACGCAGTGAGTGCTGGATATAGACTCAGTGATGCTCCCAGCGACGATTGGCGGTGGGAATCACCACCGTCCACGCTCGATCGGCTTCTCTTCTCAAGCTCCAACTAAGCTCTCGGCGCGTGCATCCGACGCCGCTGGTGACTAGTCCGTAGACGATGAGCTCGAGCAAAAAACAAACGGTCGTCGTCGTTGTCGTCGTCGGGGACGAGGACGAAGAGGAAGAGAAGGAGGAAGGGATGGGAGAGAGATGAGACGAGTGCCGCGGAGTCTGTTCTCGAAAGTCGCGTTTCCACGCGCCTCGCCAATTTCATCCTTCTTGCCTCCTTCCTTGGCACCTCTCCCGAACCGTCGCTTCATTCCCCGACCTAAGTTTCACCCTTTGTCCGCCCATGCTTTGATCCACTAAATAAATCCAGAGGTGCCTGCCCCGTCTCGATCGTACCGCCCACCCACTTAGCCTGTATTATTTATCAACTAACACCATCAATCCACCGCCGATTGACGTTGACAGCTCTCCACTGCCCTAGCTACCTCGCACTCTCCCTGTTACGCATATATTGTCTCACTACTTATCGATGACGCACAGCCCTCGCCGTGTCTCTCAAACATCTTTGCCACTTGCTTGACGCTAAGGTCCCAGAACCCAAAGGTACAAACACCCTCGAGCTCTTCTTATAATTATAGCGCCTCCCGTCGACGGGGCGCGTCTATCAGATCCTCCTTCCCCTCCCCGCTCCGAACCCGAACTCGGTACGACTCCCAACTTGGACCACCGCCTCGAGGACCGTCGGACCCGTTCTTCCTTCCTATCCCTATCCCTATCCTCGTACTTGTACCTGTGCCGCTGACTCTGAGTACATCCCGAGGTCGGGTCTTCTTGATAACTTACCCGTGTATAGCCTTCCTTAGACTCGGCACTCCCTGCCTCCTGGACCCGACTCGGTCCGACCGAACCCACTTCGTTTTCGCCTCTTTGCTTACTGTGACTCTTGCTATTGCCTCCTGCTCTTGTTAGTCTCCTCCTGCTAGCCTCTTGCTAATCTGTTATTCTTGCTCTGAGTAATCCGATCCAGCCGTCCGTGCACCACATCGAGCCCTGCCCGCGCACCGCATCGTATCGTATCGTATCGAGCCACCCAGCCTGTCAACCGATGCATAGAACCCGGAAGTCAGGATCAAACCCGATGCCATACGGTCTTACGGTCTTACGGTCTTACGCATCATACTGACCTCCCCAGTCCTGATGCAGATGTCCCACTCCTCTCCGACCCCGTTTGGCGTCACGGTTTTGCTTCGAGCGAACAAAAGACGCGTCATGGATGACGCACTAGTACTATTGCCGCACTACCGCCGAGGGAGGAAATCAAACTAAAATATAAAACATAAAACACATCGCTCTCGGAACGGCGAACGACCTCGTGAGGACTCAGGAAAGGGAATTTGAACTGGGCCACGTGAAAGTTGGGTAGGTGGAATGTTTCCCTTTCAGTGTCCTTTTGTCCTCCTCCGCCGGGAACCTCGTGTTCAGCACGGTACTTCATACGCAGTGAGACGACTACAGTGTCAATGTACGGTAGGTAATGGATTGGATTGGATTAGCAAATGGCCGTTATAATCAACGAACCGTCGGTCGCGCGATTCACCTCCTTTCACGCGAGAGGTCGCCGGATGGGGATGATTCGCGTTCGCGCCAGTGCCCGGCTGCAGAGTGCGAAAGAAAGGGAGCTCGAGGGAGAGGACAGAGTTGTCTCTGTTGCGTTTCGTGTTTGCGTTTACGGTATGTGGTATGTAAAAACATGACTTTCGCGACCGCGACGGCGAGAGCATTGTTCCAAGTTTCCAACCACTCGAGCTCCGTAGAGTGCGGGCTTCTTTTTTCTTCTTCTTTTTTTTTGGTCCATGTTCCACCTGCTTGCCTGTGCAAGTATAGACAGACGGGTAAGTAACGTGAACACAGTCCGAATCCCGCTCCCGAGCCGAAACTTGGCCAAAGCTTTAAAGCGGAGCGCGGAACGTGAAACGGAGATTACTCGCTCGTGGATCATCATCATCCACAGGCTACTGAGGACCAAGGCTCTAGTTCCCAACTCGGGTGCGTTGGCACCGTGAAAGGCGGGGTCAGAAGTTTCGAAGCTTTAGAGCTTCATGTATGTAGGTCCTACATAATGTATGAAGGAGATGAAAAAAAAAACATCATGACTGACAGGACCATTAAAGCAAAGCGAACAGGAACAGGAATAGGAATAGGAATAGGTACTCGTTCGTTTCACGTGTCCGAATCGAGGAGAGGGCTGAAAATAAAAAGGGGAGAGACAAGCCCAGAGTTCGTGTTCATGTTAGTGTTCATATATGTATCCGCGTTTGTCTCCGTGGCGTTCGTGTCCGTGTCCGTGTCGACGGAATCAAACGCGGTGAACTCGAGGAGTACGATCACGGGAAAAGACGGAGATGTTGAGAAATACCTGCGATGGCCCGGGCGTGAGGGTACCTGTACATGTATGATATGATATCAGAAGAAGAAGCTCGCCCTTATCCCCTTCATAAATACAAGAACTTCGAGGGAGGTCGTGCCACGCCAGGCTTCCCTTCCACCTGTCAGACAACAGGAGGCACAGAAGGAGGAAACGAGGTCTCCGAAGGTCTCAAGATCTCACCGTGATATCATGATACCATGATAGACGATACCGTGAAGTTACTAAAATTATAATCATCTGAATCATTGCTGACCTGTGATACTTGTTCTCGCGTCAGTTGCGAGTTGCTATTGTAAGCGAGTGAGTGATCACGAACGAGGACGTCTTTCGTTTTCTATTGAATTCTTGGGCATGAATCGTCGAATGTTGGCTACGAATCGGATGGTGGTGATTTCGTTACATAGCTACGGGCATGGTACCGGTCAGACTTGCCTTGTGAGTGTGATCAGGACGTCGACCCGATTGTCGTGGCTGGTCTAGAGAGGTCTCCACCGTTCGACGTTCCGACGGTCGTGTATCCAAAGCTTCATTCTGATTAGAACTTACCAACGCATTCCAGTAGTGTCATAGTCATCTCATGCGATTATTTAAGTCGATGTGCGATGCATTGATGCATGGGGATCGTCCTGCTAGAACAAAACTATATAAGCGAAGACAGAAGAAATTGTAAGAGGATAAACTTGACGATCCATTCACCATGCCAGCAACGAATGCACAGTCAGCTTGGTCGCCGGCGGCAGGGCATTGAGACAGAGAACATGCATCCTCAGGCTCCTCGGTCTTATTCCTTTTAGGTAGATATGTCCCAGGATACTGATAGGAGCACCAGGGCGATTCGGAGCGTGATTATTGCGATCCTGTCGATTTAGGATTCTTACTGGCGATGGGAATCAGAAGAACTGCAAAGAGGAAAGAGGAAAGAAGAGCGGTAGCGTGGCCGAGAGCACCGAAGAGGTTCATGATTCATGAACGTGGGCACAAGTTACAAGTGACGAGCCCGTTTTTTGATATTCGTAAACTCTCTTGAGGACCAGGACCTGAAATCCTAAAGCGTCATTGCGCGAGTTCGTGGTGTGCCGTGATCTCAGGCGAATGCGGGAGTGGGGCCTCTGTGGGATGATGGATCATAGGACCTGCGCAGAGATGACTTGAGGGAATACCTCGGGAGCGAAGTTGACGGAAAGAGGTGGTTGAGGTGCAGATGGGGTACCAGGAGGTTTAGAAGAGAGAAGTACGAGTGGAGCAAGCTGCAAGGGACGGAGATCATACTGGCAGCGTGACACACATAGAAGGCATTTGTATGATAGAAATTGAACATAGGGCATATTTATAGCGTTGTAATTTATCGCTCCACCAGCCAAATCTCCGGAGATGCAAAAGTTTACTTACATCGCTAAAAATATGCCCTAACGGGTGTTCATATGCGAGTGTGTGTCCGGGTGGTCATGACAGAAGAGTGTTCCGTGACTGCCTGAGGATATGTAAATCGACAACAATCGACATCATTCAAGTCAGTGCCCGGCATGTCCCGGTAATGAATTCCGACTTGGGCCTCATTCTTACATTTAAAAAATAAATCAACGCATTTATCCTTATAGCGCCGGTGGGACCAGGGGCGCTTTAAAGTACCTGCACTCCACTTACAGTAGTCACCACCAAAAACGAACAACGGGGCTCGGTCACAGCCGGGCTGATTTTACCGCTAGTTCTTATCCCTCTTGTGAAAATGCTTCTTTTCATGAAAGGAAGAGATCCCCAAGACAGAATCTCAAAATAATCAAAACTGGCGGAGTTATAAAATCTGGGGGGACTTATTTGGCCGTTTCCCGCCAAAGCGCATTATTGAATTAAATAATTGAATTAGAGTAACATTGTTTTTCAAGTATGTGCCAGGAGTTTTCTTTCGACAAACTGGATTTTTCCGCCCCCGGGCCAACGAAATTGGCCACTATTTATTTTTGGTGGTGACTAAGTGGAGTGCACCATAGGTACTTGTATCCGTACAAAGAGGGAAATTGACACCGAGTCCAAAAAAAGGCATATCTACTCCGAACACTGGATGACTTCCCGTAAAGAAAAAAAACTGTTTATTCGACGCGATCACTGCTCGGCAAACCTGCGAAATGACGATCGCAGCTCAGTGGTTGGCTGCCCTCTTCATTTCCGAGCGTTGCCGAACACCGATCACGCTGAATCAGTCGAATAGACATATATTTTCCCTACGGGAAGTCATCCACTAGTAGGTATGTTCAAGTTTCGAAAGAGAGGAATCGATCGTACGAGTGATGACCGCGCTAGGCGGAACGCACACGGAGCAAATCGAAAGAGATGAGATAATCGCCAGGATGATCTTGAGGTTCAATTGGAACTCGACAAAAATCGAATGGGCATTCCACCCTATTCCACCCGCTGAAGGTCACAGTAGGTAGAGATGTCCGTACAATTCAGACCAGATCCACCTAAAGCACGGGGAGCCCACAGCATACGGACATACCAGACCATCGTTCATATGCTCAATAACTCGAAAGAACACGAAAGAACGGAAATGGCCCACTGACGACTTGGAAAGGCTCGGGCGACGCCGACCAGTGACCACATGCGAACTAGGGTGGCACGTGGCAAGCATGAATCGCTCCATTGCCACACACTTGCTGCATGCGGTTCTTCGTCCGAGTACTTGTCTCACTGTTAGGACCGTCTGTGCAAGTGGAACCATTAATAGCATTTGATATCGGCGGTGTTTCAACTCTCAGCCAAACCGCGACCATTTTCTCCGAGGGCATACAGCGCATCGTTTTGAAAAGGCGTGTTCAGCGAGCCGCAGTGAGCCTTTGTCAATTACTTGGTAGTATGAAACACTTGAAGTGAAGTAATGTTACTGCTTGGGTATCATTGCAATGCTCGTCCCCTGCGCTTGTGTAGATGGGCGGGCTTGAAAACATGCCGCTTTCCGTGGCAAGTAATGGAAACTACCGGCGCCTGTTCGCTGGGTATTTAGTCTCGTCGCCTCCCACCCTTCAGCGTCTCTCCTCTTTCCTACCCACCAGTCTCCCCTAGAGTGCAGTCTTCCCAAGAAAGACCCGTCGATATGTCTTCCGTACCCAACCATGTTGGGAAGACTCTTTGCAGCCCTTCCTTACGTGAACACATGAAGGACGTAGGCAATATGGTATGCTCTCTCGGTGGTCGGTTCTGTTGGGTACACAAAATCCACCCCAAAAACCATGATTTACAGCACTGTCTAATCGTTTTACTTGGGTCCCTCAGATATCAGGATATTCTGAAGACACCGCCAGAATGATGTGTTGTGCAAGCCAGACCAGGTGCCCCGGAGGGTCTAGTGAATGCTTCAGCGCTCTGTGTCAGTATGGTCTTGAGAGTTATTTGTTTCATGGAGCAGCATTGACCGTTGTCTGCTACCGAGAATCTCTTGGGCACAGGGTATGTGCTAACGACGATCTGATGGGCAGACGATACTATGTTCATCATCTTCCTGTTACGGTGAACTTGTCCAGAAGCGCGAGTTCCTACGCCAGCGATGTCTTTATTCTTGTTGTTGGCCGCCTCTGGATTGTTCTTGATGTTAACAATCAAGTTGAGAGCAGTGAGCCCCCGACACTCTCTGCCATTCCTCGTGCAAAGATGATGCTGCCCTGGGATATCTTGCTCGGCATAGAAGTCAGACCGGATCCGCGTCATTGCCCAACTTTGTTATCTGCAGGCTTGCCCATGATGCCGCCAACTGCCGCCTTCAATCTCTCTTTTGCGCAATCGTATAGTGTAAAATTTATAACCATAAATATTCACAGCGCGAGGCCTATACAGTCGGTCATTGTTTGTAGCGCCATCAAGTCCCTTCCATACGCCACACATGCCTTCCGTATCGCACCTCCAGCCTGCACGGTCATCGCTCGCGCTGAGCTACTCGGAGAGATGTGGAAATCATATTCGAAAATTGAAAAGCCCGCCGAGATGTCCTGGCCCGCTTGTCAGCCGGAAACCGGAAAGTGTGACATAGCCTCCGCTGTTTCCCGTTATCTTCATGCAAAAACCGTAGTCGGCTCCTCATTCTCCTTCACCCAAAATCCTATCGCTAAGAACAACTCTCACAAGATCTTCTCGACGGCATTGCACAACCTATGCACTCATCCCACGACTATGCTTGGTCAGCCACTCGTACAGGAGTGGAGTGTTGTTTTTGCATCTTCTTCGGATGCATCTTCTTTGGATGCATCGCCGCTCACTTCATGCGGCACCTTCATTGCACTCTCACTGGCTATCATCCCAGCCTTGTGTAAGTCGACGGCTCTTGTGACCGTCACCACGAGGATTGTGCTCGCCACGATTGTCGTCATCTTCGCATCTGCTAGTTCAAACACATTCGAGGCTCGTGTAAGTATTTCCCCCGAGGCCATTGAAATACATGATCCACAAGCCACAGATATAGCACGTGTCTCTGGATACGGGCAACTAGATCGCGTGAGATCTGGATTCGACGTCTCTGACATTACGCATGACTACAATAAACATACAACTGCCTTTGATGATGCGGACCATGCTTCAGCGGCCAACTGGGACCCCTCTCAAGAGAAATACCGAGACTGCGATCGTGTCTTGGTGAAAGACGATGGTGGCAATTGCTACAGAAATGGATCCAATTCGACTTCGCGTCTGTTTGCTCTCCTTATTGGCATCAATGAGTACCAATATTTGAGGCATCTGAAAGGCGCTGTTCCCGATGCTGATGCAGTTCACGAATTTTTACGCGCATCGATGGGCTGTTCGAGTAGTAGGATCAGAGTTCTCAAGAACAAAGAGGCAACTCGGCGAGAAGTTATAACTGCGCTTCGAGCGCTGGCATCCAATGATGACATTGAACCAGGCGATCCTATCCTCATCTATTACGCTGGACATGGTGCGGAGGCTGATCCTCCAGCTGGGTGGCCGGCAGGCGGGGGTCTGGCCCCAAGGATTCAGATGGTCTGTGCCTATGACTTTTGTCCAAGTAGGAATGCCTATGAGGTCATGCAAGGTATCCCAGATATCACTGTGGCCGCACTTTTGAACCAAATTTCTCAGGCAAAGGGGGATAATATTGTTAGTTTTCACTATATCTTCACGATAATTCCAATGCTAACTATTCGTACTTTTCTCAATCAGACTGTCATCTTAGACTGTTGTCACTCTGGCTCGGGTACTCGTGAATACGATAACCCGGGAGACTCGTTGGATCTAGTCCGCGGCGTCGATCTCCCTCAAGACTACTCTGTTCTTCCAAATCTGGACCACGACATACGACGGGATTTGTCTAGTGCCCGTACAAATCAGGTAGTGCCCGAGTACGAGCATTGTGGGATGCGTTCCCACGTATTGTTGGCTGCCTGTCAGGCGGGGCAGCTTAGTACAGAGAGGGATGGACGTGGACGGTTCACGTCTGCTCTATTAGATGTTCTGAGCCACTATGGCACGGAAAACGTTACTTACGATGGCCTCCTCCATCTTCTTCCAGACCTTGATAAGTAAGTCCATTGATGCCATTCATATCCGCTATTTGTTGTTCATACATTCGATTCTATGTCTCTTTTCGTATCGTCAGCCAGCACCCTCAGTGCGAGGGATTCAATAAGGACAGAAAGCTGTTCAACGCTAGGGCTTCTGTTCCGGTCTGTCTCCCTCACAGGATAACCCGGATAGACCAGAAGAACGCCATAGAAAGGATACCTAAGAAGGCGAACTTTTTTACAAAGCTGTATCGTCTACTTCAGGATATGATCCGGTCCCACCCCCCTCAAGATGTAGTAATGTGTTACCAGATGGATGCCGGAGAGGCGTCTGGGGTGACAGAGGGTACTATATTCACCGCGTATGCCGACGACGATCGAAGCTCTCCTTCGCTTGGTGACCTCATTGTTGTTTCTGCTGATGCTTTTACTTCCGAGTTGGAAACTTATTCCAGCTCGCCCCAGGGCTCTCTTGCCTTACGACCGTCAGAAAATGCTTATGTGTTCCAAGCCCGCATGGCAAAAGAGCAGTGCTTGGCGTTGTCAATCCGAAATAACGACCCACGCCTCCTAGCTGTCTTCAATCGACTGGAAGAGCAGATGAAATTCATGGAGATTGAGGGGATGCCTGGGATCATGCTCTCTTCATTATCCCCGATGATTGAGTTGGTCAGAAGAAACGAACAAATCGCTTTTGAGATCCACGACCAAACCTGCCGTAATCATGGACTTACTGAGATGTATGATCAAGTTCCTTGTGATGCCGACGCCCTATTCCCCGTCATATCCAGTGCCGCGCACTTCTTCTATCACCTCAGGCGGGCCAACAGATCCACACCTATCAAAATCGGCAGGAGAGTCCGCCTGGAATGCTTCCGGCTGGAGGAGACTTGGGACGATTCCCTCAGCATGATTATGCGAGAAAGGGGGAAAAATTTGATTATGGATCATTCACTAAACCTTTCTGTGGATGACGAATCACACGAGAAGAACTGTTTTGGCTACAAGATTGTTAATAATACCAACTACCCCCTCTACGCCGCGTTGTTTTACTTCGACATGAGCGACATGAGTATAGGTCAGTGCCGAGCAAGCATCTCTCATTGATTGTCTTCGTGCTCTCATCACTGCGTTGACTAACGCTTTATGGTTTCTTAGTTAGCTATTACACTCCGAATACAGCCAAAGATGGCCACGCCGACGTCAGTATTCCCCCTAATGGCGAACTGTCAATCGGTTATGGATCTGGCGGCACCCCGCCTCTTCGTTACTACCTTCGTCCCAAGCAGAATATCGATGTCGGTATCTTGAAACTCTTTCTTTCGACCAAATGTCTACGGTTCTCTGATATAACTCAAGTCTCACCATTCGAACATCCACGGGCAGCTATGATTCAACCTCGTGTGAATCATTCACAATGGGACTCGATCACCTACCATGTTATACAGCGTCGGAGAGAGAGTAGTAAGCACATACCTGCAATTTTCAACGACATATGATCGGTTGGTTGGAGTATCACAGTCAAGGTACATTATTGAGTGGTTTATTTGTCCTACTTTCATTTCGTACGCTTACTGACATCTTGTTCTTTAGGTGGAGCAGCCTGCGAGGTTGGGCCAAGCTTGAATGAATTGGTGGTCTGCTGGCCCTTAGCTAACTCGCGCTCACTGAGCAGTGCATCGAAGCTTCGAGAATTCCAAAATGAATCATACAACAATGCTCCTTTCTTTTTTTCTTTTTCCTCAATCATTTTTTGAAATCAATTGTATTTGTATAGCGAGATGTCAATCTATAGAGCGGGATAAGGTAGTGTCCAGAACACGTCAACTCGGAGACCATTCGAACGGTGCGCATCTACGGGCGGACCAAATCATCAGGAGATCGGGGTATGTTAGAGGTATGTAAATTGGCAGAAGCGAATGTAAAAGTTAAGGGATTGTTCGTCATTAAGTACTTGAGTAACGCAAAGGGAAGCGAGGAAGGCTACGAAACCAACTCTCCGCGCTCTCTTGTATAGTGGGCAGGATTCTAAAATGTGGTGGTGGGTTGATATCTCTTTGTCAAAAAGGAAGACAGCCTAAAGACAATGGTGGTCAACAGTCTTCCAAATATTAAGATCAGATCCAACTTACCGGAAATCCGCTCCTTTAGATTGTTAGCACACATCCTCCGCTGAATCACATATACATCAATCGAATCCCAGAAATGCAGATCTTGAGTCTCTGTACGGGTGCCGGATAGCCGACTGCCCTCCAGAAACGGAGAAGTTTGTTCGATATTCACTTGCGGGTATGTTTTGTTGAATAGAAAAAGTTTGAGGATACCGACGTCGACATCCTGGCCAGGACGAAGAAGATACCGGTAAGGTGGGATGCCACCGGAGCCGTATCCGATTGTCAGCTCGCCACCGCTGGCGGGGATGCTGTAGGCGGTGTTGCTACCTCCGGATATAGTCGGACTGTAGTATCGTACTACGAGCAATGGAGTTTCAGTCAAGGTAACGGCAGAAGGAAGGAAGGCGATCAACAATAGATGATTACTGACTGCCGCTCACCTATGCTCAGATCGCTCATGTCAAAGTAAAATAATGCGGCGTATAGAGGCATTACTGTGTCGTTAACAACTTTGTAGCCATAGAGTTTCTTCTCGCTGTCATCCTCGCCAACGTACAGCTCCATCAAATTGCCCTTGATCTTGTTGCCTTCTTTTGGCTTATATACCCAATGGCTAAGGTTCTCGTCTAAACTTTCCAGCTCAAGTTCTGTACACTCCAGACGAACTCTGCCGTTGGATACCGTGGGGGATTTCGTGATGTGGCAGTTGAGGTGGAGATAGAAGAAGAAATGCGAGGCACTTGATATGACGTCACTGAGGCGGGCGACGTCGCATGGAATTGTGGCGCCGTGCATCTCCTTGAGCCCATATTTAAGACACGTCTCGTCGTGAATCTCAAAGGTAACACGGCCTTTGACTTTCAGGCTGCTGATCGTCACGACCGGTGAAGTGTCAGAGAGTATGGGCAATCCCTTCCACTCCCCATCTCGCTCCCTTTGAACGTCCTCGACCGCCTGCAGGAACAGGCCTCTGAGCGCCACGTCTTCTTCGGCAATCCACCACCGCCTGAACCGATCGTCCGTCGTGCGGCTCGTCAGCCGTGCGTATGCGGTTTGTGGCGACCGCTGGGCGTCAAGGTACGAGAGGGAGCCGTTATTGCATTCCAACACGGACTTGTAGGCCTCGACTTGAACGGCAGTGAGTGTTCCGAGTTTTGCTTGGGGACTGAGTTCCTCGTCGGCGTAGTAGGTGAACAAGGCACCCTTGGCAATTCCATACGAAAACCCTACAGACAGGTTGTAACGCACCATGGCCAATTGCACAGGATTGGGCTCCGTCCTCTTCCATTTCCCTATGGCAAAATTCAATGTCGAGCACGCGGTAGAATGTTCTGTCTCCGGTGGCCTCGGCGCCTCGGTTTGGCGAGTGATGAGAAACGGCCCGGGATTCGAAGGAGCTACCGTCGTGGTAGTTCTAAACAGGTGTCTCGTAGCGTGGAAGCCCTCACAATGAGGGTTCTGACTGTGACACAAAATCAAGTTCAGAAAGTTTTGACAGTCGTATGATACTTGGATGGCATGTATCAGCGCACTCACTCTGGTATAGGAGGTAAAGACTTGACAAGGTTTTCATATGTAAAACACTCCCATCCAGGACGATCGAGAGTTTGAAGAAGGGCCACGGTGAATAGGCCACGCCCGTCTCTCTCTCTACTGCGTTCGTTCTCCATGCAAGCGGCCAGCAAGACGTGTGACTGCCATGATGAGTCCTCATGATTGCCCGCTGGTCGACTGCAACGAGCCCCATCGGCAGTGTCACGGACTTGGGACCATATATCCTGGTCGAGTTTCGGAGATATGGCGTAGTCTTTGGGAAGATCGACGCCGCGAATTAAACTCGTCGAGTCTTCGGGTTCGTCGTCCTGTCGAGTACCGGATCCGGAAAAGCAACAGTCAAATATCACAGCCTTGTCACGGTATACAAAGGTCAGAGTCCGCGGGTGTCACGCGAAAGAAAGAAGGACCAACGATATTATCTCCCTTCGTCCCGGAAATGAGATTCAAAAGGGCTCCCAAAGTTCTATCTGGAATGCCTTGGATAACCTTTGTATCTGGAGTGTTACCGGCAGTGGAGGGATGAAAGTCGTATGGGCAAAGCATCTGGACCTTCGAGAATCTACCTGCTGGCCATCCCGCCGGAGGATCCACCTCCGCTCCATGTCCGGCGAAGAAAACGATAATGGGATCATCTCTTTTGATAGTACTGTTCTGTCCTAATGCCCTGATGTGCTCTATGATCGCGTCGCGGGTGGCATCTCCGTCTTTGAGGCATTTGATACGGTCTTCCGGATTCCCGCGCATCTTATTCGTTAGAAAATCGTAGACGGCATCGAGATCCGCAATAGCGCCCTTTAATTTTCGGAGGCGTGGGTAATTATCGATTGCGATGAGAAGGGCATAAGGCATCGGGGGCCTAGAGACGGTTCGTCGGAGGTGGGTTCATATTATTACAGATAGTGGTTAAGCTTACCTGCTCGAAGATGTAGTTCTGCGGACGCAGAGTAGCTTCAGCGCGGGTATCAAACGAAGGAAGTCTGTATCTTACTGAGGGCGAGCTCTGTGTTGCAGAAGATGAGGAGCTGTCTGGTTTGAGCTTTATATACTCCATCAGAAAAGCAGTGGACGCATGAACTTCCGAAAACAAACCTTGACCTATTGGGAGATGTAAGTACGTTTTGAACATGGCTGCAGGGAATACTAAGGAACTTACGGAACCATATCTGTCAGAGGGGAGTGGTTGGGAGAGGGGGCGGGAAGGTGGGACATGATGGTTTTGTCCACGGTCTCGAGCGCCGGTGACGGTGCATCTGCTTCACGTCTGCCAGAGCCCACGTGCACCGGCTACCACCGCAGAGGTCCGAGACTAGTCGTGCTTCGAGGGGCGTGATGCACCTGTCTTGCCGGCAGCAAACGCACTGGAGCAGAAATCAAGAATGCGCGGTTACATACAATAGCACCGTTCACGATCCTTTTCTGAGTGCAGAAAAGTGTTTTTAATATGAGGAAAGGTACACGCCAGCCGAAATGGAAGATAGAGGAGTCTCAAGGAGCGCTTGAAGCCGTCAGCGCTTCAGCGAACCGCAAAAGCGACTCGGCCGCTGCAAGCCTGCGACTCGCAACTTTGTGCTTCGTGAGGCTTCGCGCTCAGCATACTAGCAGCTCGATCTATCATTTCGGGCTGATAGTTGCATCCCTTTTCTCGAATTAAAAATGCTTTTCTGCATTCAGAAACTACCGGCGTGAACGGTGCCATTAGCTTTTGTAGGATACTCTCAGGCGTTCCTTTAGAGTTTAAGCACAAATAGCTTCCCATTCGCTGTCCGTCAGTACACACGCAAACACCGATGACGAGAAATTTCTTTTAATAGTTCGCCTGCATCAAGGCGCAAGGCTCCGACCGAGGCATAGACGCGTCTTTCCAGGTCATCCTACTACCGAATGTAGTCTGTGAGCAGTGATGACGCGTCATTGATAAGGGCGATTCGGTAAAACGAGGAGATAAGACGTAGCCTCAGAATTGCTATTCTGAACTCTGTACCAGCCTCGCTCAGTGAAGTCAGGGAGGAAAATATATGCGACAAAATACCGGGTCTTACTAAGCCATACAGCGCGGTGTCTTAACTGGGTCCTGGGTGATTTTGTTCGGGTGCGCCCGGAATGCGGTGCGATTCGGGCAAATTTTTTTGCGTCACCTTTTCACAAGAGCGGCAGACTGGTAACCACTTTTCATAGTACCAGGGTAAGTTTCGAGAGAATGAGTAGGATTGAAGCATCAAATAATGTGAGAGCGAATGCCTTGAGCCAATTGAGCTCAAGTTCAGACCGCGCATTCCGCGCGCGCCCAAGGCGACGCGTCGATGGCGTGAGAATCCCTTCCCCAAAGCGCAAGTGACACAATCCCAACCTTACGTCAGATCGGTCCGTGCGCTTGACTCGTGACTCGTGCGAGCATTTTGGCGTCACCTTTTCACACGGACGATAACGAACGGAGAGCGGCGCATTTCGCCGCTCCTTTCTCCCAACGACAACATCACCGTCTTCACCGTTTCCTGCGTTACTGACCGACAGACTACTTATACCAACGAGACTGTCTGCACACGACGATGGCAGGCCCTTCTTCAACAACAAGATCTCTAGCGAGAGCTAATCATGCCTCGGAAAACACTGATATGAATGCAGAGACGCCGATACATGATAGTAGCAGCACCAGTTCCGCTCAAGCGAGATCGCGGAAGACATCGGCGACGGGCAAGGAGAATGGGAAACCTATGAGCACCGTTTCGGTGGTGATGACGAAGAGACAAGGTAAAACTGGAGTCATGGGTACTCGAGCGGCGACGGGCACTGCAAATGGAAAAGGGAAGGATACGAAGGTGAAGATCAAGGAAGAGTTTTGTGTCTGTAAGGGGGAAGATGATGGCTCGCCTATGGTGCAATGCTCGTGCTGTAGAGATTGGTATGTTTTGTTTTATTTGTTTTCACTATCTCTTCGATCCCGACTAGTATCGTCTTTGTGGATTCTGACTCACTTGTTTTACAGGTATCATTTTCAGTGTATCGGTCTAAGCGAAGAAGATGCAGAGGAGATCAGTGAGTTTTCTCCGATTCTGTGCTTTTTGACCTTCATTTCTCACCCCATATGCACATATAGGAGTGTATGTGTGTGCTCCTTGTGAAAAGGAGACAGGACGACGAACAGTTAGTAAGTATCAGTCGTTTGTTACCTGTGTGTTGACCCCTTTCGATCTTTTATTATTCCTTTTTATGTTCGCATCCATTTGTTGCACATACGTACTATGCGTTTTTCCTCCTTCTTTTTCGGGTGGTGCTCCTGTGTGTGCTCTTACAACGTCGACTGTCCTGCGTTCACGATGCCCTACAATATCGCTTGCGCTTTACACCACGCATATATCGACCTTCGTCCGCCGCGTGAGGTTTGAGTATGTCACTAGACGCTCATAGTCCACACCATGCATATCGTCTGAGTCATAGTCACTTATACTAGATGTGTGCCAGTATTTGTCGATGCCTTATGTACGTCCCTGTTGAGGCCGTCGTAGTATCGAGACAAATTGGTATTTTGAGGCCTCGTCGGAAGACAGACAGACGCATGCCATACGCACACAATCGTACGCATATATGCCCATGCGAAAATACATAATTGCATGTAGTCCACCACAGAGCACCAGCACCACACCCGTCCATTTGTTCGCATTTTTCTTTTCCTCTTCTCGTTTTTTTTCTGGTGTTACAGTTATTATATCGTTGCTGACAACCGTTTATTCATTTTTATACAGTGGAATGGGAAGGCCCTGAAGCTCTCGAACCTGTCGACGACCCGGCCCACAAATCTAATGGAGCCAAGGACGAGGAGGCTGTTAGGAAAGAGAAGCGACAGGTTTTGGCTCGTGCTGAGGCTTCCGAGTCTAGCGAGGATGAGGGGAGCGGGGATGAATATAAGGAGGAGGAAGCTAATCTGAAGAAATCCAAGGGGAAGGTGCGTTTTCTATGCTCTCAAAAAACACATCACTGTCCTCATCCAGCCCCACTTCAGCGACCTGTCCGCCGTCTATCCACCTTTTCGGAGTCCAGTGATGACGAAAACTCCAAGAGTGCTACTATCCCTCGTTCGCGTCGCGCCAGTCAAAGCACCTCCAGGGTCCCGGCTTCACACTCAAAATCGAAATCCCATTCTCCCGGTCCTAATTCCCACTACTTGAAACGAAGGCAGTCGAACACCACGACACCTCAACCCCCCACGAAACGTAAACGTTCCGAATCCACCGCGACCGATGATCCTACGCGAAAATATTGTTTGGGCAAGCTGGTGGAATTGATGACGACTATATTTACGAAGCACTATCCGAGTGAAGGACAAGGAGAGGGTGGCGAAGAGGCAGAAAAGGACTCGGATCAAGTGAAAGAGGAGAGGGAAGCGAAGGCAAAGACGTATGGGTTGCAGCTCGAGCAGTGCTTGTATGATACTTACTCTGAGCCGGATAAGCAAGGCAAGGCTAGTGCGGGCGGAAAGTATAAGTATGTCTTCTCACAATCTCTTCTTATTCTCGACCTAAAAACTAACGCTAATGTTTTGGTCCATAGGGAACGCTTCCGTATGATTACGTTCAATCTTCAACAAGATGACCGAGTGCATATTCACAAGCAAATTGCCTCTTCTCAAATTACGCCAGAGAGACTCTCAACGATGTCCTCTACCGATCTCGCCTCGGAAGAGACACAACAGTCGATCAAAGAGGCAGAAAAGGAAGCCCTTGCGCATTCTATCTTGCAGAAGACCGTCCTTCCGCGCGCGAAGATCACGCACAAAGGTCTTGAGGATATCGAAGACATGAACGAGGATATCTCGAAACAGCGACAGCGCGAACAAGCGCAAGAGGAGGAAGCGCGAGAGAGAAGGGAAAGGGAGAGGCTCGCCAGACTGAGTAGGCCTGCGCTCCCTAACGTTTCGACGTCGTCTTCCGGTGGTGCGGGACCCTCGAGTGGCTCCGTACCACCCGAATCGCCTGGCGTACCTCGTACGCCTCAAACACCGACAACATGGGGAGGTCCTCCTCCCGTTCCTATCCATTCGTTATCGTTCGAACATAACGTTTCGATGTCCTCGCCAACTGCTACCGCGCCAAACTTCATGGTCGGAACCCGACCTCTCTTCGTGTCGACCGCTTCAGACTACCCACAACCGGTTGAGGGCGAGCTCAATCTAGGCGATCTCATCCATATCGACGACGAGCCTCCTGCTGAAGGTTCCAGTACCCCCACCTCCCTGTCCGCCAGAGATCATTTCCCTACGACTGGCACCAACGCACCAGCCAATGCAGAGCTATCGCTTTCCTCGTCTTTATCTCCTACAATGGCCGAACCATCTCCCGTACATTCCACGACGGGAATCTCGCCGTTCGCTGCTAGTCGCCCCGACATGCCCCCGCGTGCTTCGTTCGATCTTAGTAGTCTTTGGACCGGACCGAAGGCAGAAAAAACGGAAGAAGACCCTGTGGAGAGGGCTCCCACTCCGCCGCCGAATGCGGAGGAGCAGGAGGAGGCGGGTATGGACGTCGACATGGATATTGATGGGCCGGACGAGGAGCGACGTGCTGAGAATGTGGGAGGCGGGGAGGGCGATGATGATCATGACTTTGATATGTTTTTAGACGGAGACGAGAAGATGGATGCGTCCGTTCCTATGGTGGAACAGAGTCCGGAAGAGAAGCTCAAGGCTCTGCCTACTGTCTGGACTGGTATTGTGCGTTTGATATTACATTCTTCGTGTTACTACGACGACTGACTTTTGTTTCTATCATAAACAGATAAATATGCCTCTCGACTCGACGATTCCTCAGCAGACGGTTGTCAATGCGAAGCTCGTGGGTGGGCGACGGATGGAACAGGATTCTCCGCTTTGGCATACCTTGTTCCCTAACGGTGTGTTGCGTATTGATGGCCGTGTGCCCGTCAAGAATTCGGAGGCGTATCTCCTACAATCGAGGCTGAACTCATCCAAGGAGCTCATTGCCGTTGCCTTCATGCCCAATTCGGATGACGATCAGAACGGATTCCAGGTGCTTTCAGAGTTCCTCATTAACAAAGAGTGTGTTATCTGTCCTTTGACTTAATTGCTTATGATATATATGATTCGGGAATAATGCTGATGAATATTCTACTTTACAGTCGTCACGGTCTCATCTTCCCTTGGGGCAATCGGGGCAAAGAATGGGGCAAAGAGCTGTATATTATACCTCAACGCACGATAGATCCCATACCAGAGTTCATGGATCTTCTTGACGACCTCAAGCTTCCGAAAGAACGGTCGTCCGACTGTCTCATCGGCGTCTATGTTCTCAACAGAGGAAAACTTGTACCACCACCGCCGCCGCCGCCACAAGCCTCTGGCATCTCAATCCCTTCCATTATCCCCCAAATGCCGCCTCCTTCACACCACACCACGACCTCTTTCCCCCCGCCCATACCGTCTGTATCACCACCTACGGCCTTACCAATGCCTCCACCACAGCTTCCTCAATCAGCATTAGCAGCAGAAGTGGCGTCGCTTACTCCCGAACAGATCCAACTCATGTTACAAGCCCTGCAGACGACACTCGGACCAGCGGCTTCGAACGGTACACTACCTCATCCGCAGACACACCCACAGCCAGGGTCACCACCTGCTGCCAATTCCTCCTGGTCCAACTCGTATTCTCCGTTCCCACCCTCGGGTACTCCACCGAACCCCGTGCCCATTCCCCAAGCCATCTTCGATTCACCACATCATGACTACGACAGGCATGGTCCCTCATATGGACGGGATGATTATGATGACAGACCCGGAGATGGGTACAGAGGTGGCCGTGGGCGAGGAAGGGCAAGGGGGCGTGGTCCTCGTAGGGGCGGTCGTGGTGCTGATGATCGTGATCGCCGTAATTCGGATAGTGGATGGTCTTCGAGACGTGGGAGGGGTCGAGGTGGTGGGGGTGGGGGTGGGTCGTCTTCGGAATGGAGAGGTGGGAGGAAATGCGAAAGGGAGGCTCCGGCGTTCTGGCAGTGATCTTTGGTTGATCGAGATGAATGAAATGAATTCATTTTTTGCGTGTATTTTTAGGACCGCCGTCTGCGATGATGTTTTCTTCGTTGCTTCACTGTGTATCTTTGGCTCTCGAACTTTACTGATTCTCTTTCCTTATGGTAATGGTACTGCTGGGGCTGCTAATGTACTGTAATTTGTCGCTGTTTGCTGGATGAGGGTAACACCTAATTCTTCATAACTATCAATACTATCGTACATCTGCGTTATCTGGCCACGATTGTCATGCTGCTCTCCGTTCAACTGCAACTGTATATGTGCGGAAGTGTGACCAGTAAAACGTGTTATGAGAAAAGTCCATAAATAAACCGTATATGCTCGTGTTTGCGTATGTGTGATGTACGATATGCAGTGACTCAGAGAAAAATCCAATGCTGATCCTACCTCACTCCGGCTCACTTTACACCAACGTGTTTACTGATCTCCATCAACATATTCTCGATCCTCGCCTGCCTCTCCTCCATCTTTATCAACCTTTCCTGCCACTGCAACGTCCCCACAGCCTCCTCTCTATTCTCCGTGTCACCCACCGTTTTCGGTTGACTTTTGCTCTCACCGGGATCTTCGCCACCATCACCTTGCACCTTTTTCCCATCTGAGACTTGGTCGGCCTCCTCCTGAACGGCGGGCTCGTGCTCTCTCTGATCTGGACTTTCACTCAAAAGCGCATCAAAGGAAGGTCCACCCTGACCATGTCTCGCACCACCCCCGTGACTCCCAACTCCCATCCTCCTCGGAATATCCATCCCAGTCGGCCTCCTCGCCATCGAACTCAACCTCCTCCTCATCACAGGCCCATAACTCACTCCTTCCAAAGTCCCAGCCTGCGGATGGTCCTCCTCCGGAATATCCGTATCCACCACCAAAGGCTGATAAATCTGAGCCAACGGACTCGTGAAACTCTGTGCCATCTCCGCACCGCGGTTCAATGCGGAGTTGACACGTTGGCGGATCGGGTGGTGGCCAAAGTGGCCTCCGGTGTGTGACGTGGGCGATTGAGGGCTGTTGTTGGTGCTGTTGTGTCGGGAACGTTCTTTGTCTTTGGTGGGTGTGGTGGGTGCGGAGGGGTTGGAGGTGGGAAATGGTCGAGAGGTGGTGTGGGTTGAGGAGCGGCGGCGTTGGGATTGAGAATGGGATGGGGCGAGGGAGTGACGTGAGGCGGAGGTTGAGCGTTCGCTACCCATAGGAGGTGGGAGTATACCACTGTCTTGTGGGTCCAGAGCGCTGTCGAGTTCATCCTCTATGTCGAAAATCTGCGTGCGGATACAGATTATTAGAACTATGAGATTCAAGTGACAATTACCCCACTTACCGCATCTATCTCTGCGCCGCCGCCGGTAAGACCGTCAAAGATGGCTAGTAGTGAAAGTGCGTGAGTAGAGTTCTCATCACGGGGACGTTGCAATAGCCTACTGAGTCTTTTGAGTTGCCGCGGAAGCGTGTCGAGAATGTGCTCAGTGGTCATCATGAAGGTCTCGCCAAACCCGGTCGTCCCAATCCTCCTCGCATGTCGCTCATAGATAGCAACAGTGATCAAAATCGGGAAGCTTGTCAATCTGAGAAGAAACAGAGTATGTCTTATTCGACGATGTCGATACAGGGATAACTGATGAAACTGAAGCAGACCTGATCATGAATACGTTGACCTGTCGGTTGTAGCCACAGATAAGTATTGAGCTACGTCAACTTTCAGGAGGAAAGCTTACTTTGTGGAACCACCGAGGCGACAAGAGATAGCTCGCAGGAAGCATGATGACGAGAGCCAAGAGGTTGATGGGTGGCTGGTACGAGAAGAGGTAATCCGCCTTTACACTGTTTCCGAGAATCGAAATATATCAGTATCCTTTATGCAAGCGTGGACATGCGTACCCTTCTATCGTGGACACAGCACGTCTGAACATAGCCTGGTTTGTATCAATGAGGGGCCGGTAGGAGGAAGGAGAGTAAGTGAGAAGACGAGACAACTCACCTCGGCGGCAGCGTCGTCATTGATGGTCGAGAATGTATGCGACAGAATCTATAAGCATGCCATCCTTCAGGTCCGAACTGTAAACTAATCCCAGTTTAAGAACATACAGAAACGAGCACTGAGTAGAGGGGCTCGAGTCAGCCAAGACTACCGAAAAGACGAGGGAAAGATGGCCTTACCGGTCAAAAGCAAAGTGTTACTCAGGCAAGCATAAGTGACGAGCACTGGTGGGCCGAATATCGAGTTGAATTTGGCTGAAACATCCCGGTTGAGTATAGAAAACAAAAAACACATTACTTGAACATACAAGCATTCTCGAAACCACTCGCATCAAGACCGAACCAAAGATCAAGCATCCACCAAGCAATCGTACTTTGAAATTAGAAAGTCAGTACGCAAAGTGGATGCGTTTGTACTTGTGTTGAGGGCTCACCTTGCGGGATAGCTGTAAAGGAATACATGACGTCAAGTGGAAGACGACGAAAAAAGTCTGTGTGATACTTACCCTGCATCATCTCTTGCAAAGCTACATATCCCAACGATATCAGGAGAGTATGGACAGTATGGAGAAAGTAGATACCTACGTCCATAAAGCATACAGGAAGCCCCCGAAACAAAACGCGGCGATGAGCATGAGGGCAGCAAACTGGGCGATCATAGCCCGCAGAGACAGAACCATGAGGTTATTTCGCAGCGTAACAAATGCTAGTCTGTAGCGTCGTTGATCAAGATACAAGCTCGACGGTATCTATTTAAAGGATCCACATACCGAGGGAACATGAGGCATGCTATCAGAGCGAGACAGTTGGTGCCCGTTTCCCTAGCCCAAAGACCTGGAAATGTTGTCACCTAACATACGACGAGCAACGACTGTGCGACTTACTGTGGTGATAGATCCCATAGATTCGGAGGGAGGCGTAACTGAAATATATCGTCACTGCAAAGACAAACTTCAGATATGCACACGGGCAAGCCATGACATGCACTAACCAAATGCTAGATCGAAACCATTCTATCCGAATTGGACATTCTTTAGTGAGGTTTCAAGCACGCGGTGTGTGCACACTGACCCATGTTCCTGTGAAATATACTGTCGTCGAGACTCGTGTCAGCGTCCAAGTGCATGATCAGACAGTGAAGACCAGACACCTTTGATCCCATGTTCTTGCATAGCTGCGACTTTCTCAAGAGAGAACCCAAGAGCGTATACTATGAAGGCTACCTCCCAGCCATTTAACGAGTCTCGTGAGTTGAGTTCGATCGCTAGGATGAACAGGACGAAAAGAATGAGGAAGCTGGAAATTATTTGGATTTCAGTAGATAGGCAGTTGAAGACGAGCATATGCACGGACTTCGTGTACTCGAGGACCGAGCGTATAGCGGGAACTTTCAGACTGATTGAATGTCAGCATCGTCACACGGAGTATTCGGACAAGGAACGAACCGATAATGGTCTAGTAGCGGTGCTGTGTGGGGATTGTAGAAGTGTATGGGGGTACGCTTGTACGTCTGTCATGGCACAATGAGTGGATATCACTGCCATCTTCTGCGAACGCAATAACCTACATCGGACAAGATAGAGTGACTACTGTCTGCTTGATAGACACATTTGCCACTATCATACTTGATGGTTATCTGAGGCCGTGCCGCAGAGTGAGGAGCTGCGCGTACCTCCAAATTGCGTCAATGACCTTTTGGCAAGGGTCGCTCTTGATGAATCCCTTGCCTCTGCTAATGATAGCCATTTCTATAGCATTCCCGACTCTATCTTCGAGGTCGTCGTTGTCCTGCCTCGCCTGAGCCATGACCATCGGATCCGCGCCGTTAAATACTGGCCAGCTCGTCGTAGCAACCAAAGCCAGGTCAAGAAGATTATCGGCATATTCTCGCATACAGCGTATTGCCAGGATCTCGCAGAGTGTGGCCCGAGTACGAGAGAGAGAAACTGTTGTTAGACCCTGGTCCCTTACAAAATATACACGGTTCAGGAGAAGACAGAACACGATGGACATGTTGCCTGATTGTTGAATGGATATGTATTTTTCTGCAAGAGGCCGGATCAGAGTGTAGGTCAGGTCCGGAGCGGTGAGCTGCAGGACATCTATATCAGCAAGGCAGTGGTAGTCTGTGGAGGCGCAGAGTCTACATACGGCCTCATATGTCAGTGGCGTATCTGTCATCTCGTGTGAGTCCAGAGACGTTTATACAGCTTCTTCATGTAACGTACCAATAAAGTGCTAGAATACAGAGGAAGTTGAGGGCTCAGTAGATTGAAAGGGTGGAATCTAAAGGATATCAGCTACCATGACGTCCTAAGAATGATCATTATCAAATTCAGAAGCTGCATGAAAGAGTGAATGAGGACGCATACCGTCCGAATCATGTGTATGAAAGGATATACGGTCATTGAGTCTATGTCTTCTGGACGCAGAAGGGGCTCCGCTTCGCCCTGTATGGCCATTGTGGCGAGCGATGGTGAGAGGACGCGGCGAAGTTCGAGACGCGACGGAAGTGGAGTCCGCGTCGCGTTCAAACTCCGTCACGCGCCGGCGCCATCGCATCACGCGTTGGCTGGCCTTAGTCCGACACCATCCCCCTTCCGACGTTTACCATCGAGCAACGCGACGAATGCAAGCCGTGCAGACAGCACAGATGGCGAGCGCGTCCCAGCCCCCGCCAGTAAAGATTTACAATGCAGTATATTCATCGGTCCAAGTGCGTGTCATCTTTATCATCGCTGAGCTATCGCTGACATGACGCGCTCGTGTCGCGCGTCGCTAGGTGTATGAATGCATGGTCAGAGGAATCGCTGTGATGAGGCGACGCGCCGATTCGTATGTGAACGCGACACAGATCCTCAAGGTCGCTGGTGTCGACAAAGGCCGTCGTACAAAGATTCTAGAGAAAGAGATTCTCCCTGGGAAGCACGAAATCGTCCAGGGAGGTTATGGGAAATATCAGGGTACCTGGTCCGTATTCATTTGTGAAACTTGTTCTAGAGGAGACTTATGCATTGTGTCTAAAGGATACCTTTGGAGAGAGGACGCGATATTTCTGCGCAATACGGTGTCGCACACCTGCTGGCGCCTTTATTTGACTTTGTCCCGAGTTCTGCTTCGCTCGGCGGTCTGCCTGCGCAATTATCTGGTACTGGCGGTATGGGTCAACGCCCTCTATCTGCTTCGTCATCCTTCTCCAGCCTCGGTGATCCTGCAGGCTTCTTACCATCTGCCCTTCCTTCAGCTCCCATTCTCCCGGGCTCTGCCCTGCGCCTGCTCAACCAAGGACGGGCTCAAGGACTCTTCACCCCCTCCTCTTCTTCTCATCACCAACCAAACCTCGTATATTCCTCTCCATCTAATAATCTCACTCAGGGGCCACAGTTATCTCAGTATTCCACCTCGACTCCTTCGACGCCACCAGTTCAGTCCCTCAAAAGGACGCGTTCTGAAGTCGTGGGCAATACCCCCACTCCGCAGGCCACTCTTCACTCCCTCATGTCTTCACACTCAGTCCCTGATCTAGCTCCTACACTGGCCGCTTCTCCGAGCATCCAAACACCTGATGTACCGCGACCACTATCTGCTGTCCCAGTACCTCAATCTAACGACGATAATCCGTCTCCTACCAAACGTGCACGGACGGAGCCCCCTCACCTTACATATCTTCAGGAGTTTCTACCGCAGCTGCAAGACGGTCAATCTCAATACATGGATACTCAGTCACAAGCAATACCTACACAACCCAACTCCCGCGCACCTAGCGTGGCGCCGCCGCCGCTATCTCAGTCAAATGGCCTCGATCGCTCGGACACGCAATCATTATCGGGCAGTCAACCGATGCCTCAGTCGAACGGCACAATGGCACCACCCTCATCGAGCTTCCGTGTCGAGCGTCAATGTCGTTTCGCGACTAAACCGTCGATTAATCGACACATGGACCTCACCGCGCCCTTGAAGGACCTCAGACGCAACACACTCGTCACAACGATATGTCAAAGGGACGACCCCGCACGTGCTTTAGAAATCCTACGCGAGATACCACCAGACAACCCCGGGGCACCACCAACGGTCGATTATGTTCTGGACGATCTGGGCCACACGGCTCTGCACATCGCTGCGAGCATGGGCCGTCAGAGGACCGTCGAGACGCTCATTGCGAATGGTGCTGATATCCATCGAGGGAATTATAATGGCGAGACGCCACTCATACGCGCGTGTCTCGCCTCGGACAATTTCGAACAACAATCGTTCACTACGCTCGTGACTTCTTTGCATGAATCGATCTGGACGCTCGACACGTCGCGAAAGTCTGTCTTGCATCATATTGTCGCGCTTGCCGGGGTGAAGAACCGAGCCATTGTGGCGCGATATTACCTGGATACGATATTCGTATGGATCGCACAGCAAGAGGGTGGCGACTTCCGTTCGATTGTGGATCTACAGGACGAGCATGGTGATACGGCGCTGAATGTCGCAGCGAGGGTAGGTAATCGTAGTATAGTCCGGACAATGCTCGACGTTGGTGCGAACCGGATATTGCCTAATAAACTTGGGCTCAGACCGGGAGACTTCGGGGTTGAGAATGAGGTCAGTCCTATGTTTCGTATGCCTCAGTCATGCACGTCGCTGAACTAGACCTTCAGGAGCTTGGCGGTGGCCCAAGAGTAGAGGATCTTATTGCTTCGTTGAGGTCGGGGCCCTCCGCGCCGGTGCAGAAGAGTCAAGACGTGATTGCTGGTGAGTTTTTCTCATTGTTCTCCGCTGGAATGCACGTGTCTAAAGAAAGGCGGCAGATATGACCTCCATGATCCAGAGCCTCAGCTCCGAATTCTCCGCCGAGGTCAAGGTCAAACAAGACCAGCTCGATGTCACACAAGCCCACCTCCGCGCCGCCACTCGCGAACTCTCCGAACAGCGCAAACAGATCCAAGCCTGGCAAGCCCGCTGCGGCGAACTCGATCAGATCAATCAACGGATCCGCAACGTCGAAAAGGCTCTCAAAGACGAAGACTCGTTCGATTGGACCGGGCGGACTGATCTCGCAGGTAACGACGCGAAAGCAACCGCTGGTCCTGCGTTCATGAGGCGAGGGGCGAATTCGACAATGGTGGGGCTGGGTGGGTTGGTGGACGTTTCGTTCAATTTGGAGACGGACCCTACGATCCCGCTATCGGATTCGGTGGCGAGTTTGGTGAGGCTGAAGAGGATGCAAATGTGGCAGGTGAGGATGGAGGAGTTGGTGGCGGAGAGGATGAAGAATCTGAAGGGGACGAGTGCGGAGAAGGAGTTTCAGTGTAAGAAGATTGTGGCGCTTTGTACGGGTGTGCCGATTGACAAGGTGGAAGAGGTACGCGAATTTTTCTTTGTTCTTTCTTCCCTTGACGTTCTCCATGTGAGTGGGCGTGGATGTTTACTGTTTTTGTGTTCGACAGATGCTTGACGATCTTGTCATCGCTATGGAGAGCGAGGCCCATGTAGCTGATATAGGCCGTGTATCGGGCTTCATGCAGAAGGTACGTGTAATGTTGACCTCGTCCTCACCGTTATGCCTCAACTGACACTGCTGTTTTCGCAGGTCCGGGACAGTGTAATCTAATCGTATTTTAGCTGTCTACTACACAGCATGTTCGCATTGTCTTTTTATGCCTCACTCTCACTCTAATGTATGCAATAATGACGTGCGAGGAAGAAACGCAAGAGCGAGCTCGATCGTTGTCCAAAGGTATGAACATTATACAAACCTGCTTCGATCCCGTGCCACAGTCTTTCTGAGCCAGATAAAATGTTACACACGTAACAAAGTCAGTAACATCTGTCGAGACCATTGAGTAAAGCTGGGTCCCAAGATGAAAATTCCTTGACGATTTTTCGCCTTTCATCGCGCGGCTCCGCCGGAAAGTGGGAGGTGCATGGCTCAGGGAGTCAGGCTCACCAATCTTCAAGCTTCACGTGCTGTTCAGCGAATACCAAACATTGCAATTTCTACAGGTATATCGGTTGAAACTACGCATGACGCTACGAAAAAGGCAGACCTCACAAGCTCCATGCATCCCTCTGAGAAACATTCTGTGACAATTCTATTACGAATACAATTCCTAAGATGTGTATGGTAATCCTGACTCTTCCAGAGATTTGCCACCGGAGCGGATCATTGAACTAGCCTTATCCTCTGTAATTCTAAGCAAGGTTTTACTGAACCCACCGAACCGTGTAGTATTCCTCCACTGCTTTGCCCCCTTAGGAGGGATAGGATTCGATGACGCCTGCTCTCCCAAGTAACACAGCTCCAAATCATTCCGACGATCTATATACCATTTCTCATTGCGCGTGCTCCAATGGCCTAGACTGCCCAGGCTATAGTGCCAAAAGGTAGACGGAAGCGGCCACCACGAAAGACGTCTGAGGTTAGCTCGTCCCTTCTCTTGCTTAGCAGCGAGATCTCTGAGTTCATCAATTTCCTGGCTTGGGTCTGCATTACATATATTTAGGGGTAACTCATATGGATAGAACGGAATGTGCGTACATTGAGGGCAAAGATAAAGCCCGATAATTAGGGCTACGATATCCTCCGAAAGTTCATCGTCTACCCAGCCGCGGAGATTGGAAGCGTGCTCGCCGCGTCTGGCTCCCTCAGAAGGTCCTTTTTCGATCATCTCTCGAGATGGTGGTCCACAAACTTCAGTCGCTATACGCCACAGAAGCCCGCCAGCTAGGTAGCATGCGCGCCTTATCCAGGGAATTCGCAAGAGATCGGATCGCTCCCGCAGGTACTCGCGATAGTCCCAAACATTCCAGACATGCCCATCAAAACGTACGGGTTTCGGCTTTGGTCGATGCTCATGCTTGATCGGTCCTCGCCAGACCATTGTTCGGAACGGGATACCTCGCTTGCACAGATGAAGAGCAACTCCGGTAGTATCGAATCCGCTTGCCAGTAGCCTGCTTGCATGCAACGCATCACATGCGGAGGTAACTACGAGACACCACTCATCAGAGCAAGTGGTGATGGATGTGACCGTCGAGGGCTGGGGCGAGGCTCTCATTAGTCGTCCCCGACCAACCACCACAAGATTTGGGAAGTCGATGGTCCACATCTTCAAAAGGGGCGAGGTCGCCTCATTGTCGGAATTGCGTTCCCTGCTCACGGACGGTCCAGATTCGGGTGCATTCGTAGCGTGTGGGCTCTGGTGAAAGTATATCAATTCTCGGATTGCTGTGTGGACGCCTTCGTCGAGGTCACGGTAAATCGTGTGCATCAATGTACCGACGGTGGAAGAATGGACATATTCAGCTGCAGGAGACTTTTGCGTCTCGGTAACGTCCTTGGATGCAGTAATATGAGTGGGCTTCGAGGCAAAAGATTCAAGAAATTCCCAAAGTCTTTGAGCAAGAGATGACGAAACCGTTTCCAACGAAGGTGACGTGCTCTGGAGCTTGCTAAGGACTATTTTCCACATCTCTTGATCAACTTGAAACCCACTCGACTCCACCGATTGTGGATTGAAGCCCAAACGTGTCGTTGCCACCGCCACCGCGTCGTCTTCGAAGGTAATACTTCGTATACCGGTAGAAATGTCGATCTCGGGGCTGAATGTGTGCTCTTCCTCTTCGTCGATAAACTCGGGATGAAGTTGGCGATACTTTTGTGTACTGGGAGGGCAAAATGTATCGGTAATGGGCACGAAATGGAGTTCGTTGTGGTGCGAATCGTAGAGGTAGGAAAGCGCTGTATCAGCTAGCAGCTCCCGGGCGCCGTCCATACGTGCATGAGGGTTGATATACTTCCTCTCCGACATTGAAAGAACCATGAAGCTGCCCTGGACGGCAAGCTCCTCTGCCCATTCGTAAACCCTAATGTCGCCGTTGATTTCATCGCGACGGAGCCTACAATCCCTTTCTTCAGGCGACTCGTGGCTCTCGGTTATCGCGTTTTCCACTGAGCGAAGATGGAAGAAGTCTACAAGATCTTGTCCGTAGGGACGAGCCGGGACCTGATGCCGATACATATCTGAGGTGTGCGTGGACGCAGATATGACTGAGTGGAAATTGGATGAGGTATGAGATGTAACGGACGGTTCGGGCGGAGAGGGCGAAGTGTCGGACGGAGACGTGAGCGGTGAAACAGGAAAATGAGAGTACGAGGACGGTGTCACAGGTATCTGCATGAGGGAAACACTAGACGAGTCGGCTGGAGGAAGTGATGGACCGGGTGGCGTCGCGAGTGGCGAAGAAAATGAGGGCGAGAACAAGGATGCATTTTCCTTGAAGGACGGCTCAGCTGTTTCTGTAGAGCTGGAAAGCCTGTCATGGGATCCATGCCGCGCCAAGGGCGTCGCAAACTGCGACGATGAAACCGAGTGACTCATAATGGGAGCGAACGAAATTTGTGGGCGTTGTGTCAATTCGGCAGACATTGAGGGAGGCGAAGTCTGTGATGAAAACACGATTGGTGTGCGCATCCTACGGCGTACCAAGCGATCTTCTTGTTCTCTCCGCTGACGAGACAGATCACGGTCGTTGTGTTGCCGTGTTTCGACCTCGGTTTCCAACCCAGCCTCCCATCGCGCATGCTCCTCCTTATACCGCTCAATCTCGGCCTTTTCCATCATAGACTTTGGAGGTTTGAATCGAGCCACGAGGGGATCCATCTTTGCTATCAGTGTCTCCTTCTCTCCCCAAGGATACCACACTGGAATGTTGTTTTCGTATAGCCAGGAGAGCGACGGTGAAGCTGTATGATAATGTTCGAGATTGAAGAAGAGGCCCGGTATGTTTTGCTTCTCAACGTTACACCAGTAGGATCTCACCGAGCTCAACCAACCCTGCAAGTCGGGATGCGCTCTCACTAGGATTCTGAACCATTTCGGCAGCCACGTAAACGAGCTGGGGTACGATTTGGCCAAATGGGCGGAAGGTTCGGAAAGAGGGTCGTCGGAAGGAAGAGGGACTATTCTATCGCACGAGCGCACGAAAAAGAAAAATGCGCTGATCCAAGCAATGATACAATTGCGAGCTTCAACGATACCCGCGTTCGCTGCTCCACGGAGTCTGTACTCCTTTCGAAACATATGGTCCGGCCGTGGCGGTGGTTCCATTAGTGTGGGCAAACCCAGAGAACCATCCCCGATGGACCATAGACATTTTTCGATTGCGTCGAAGGTTATACTCCAAAGCTGCTGTACATGAGGGCTGAGACGCCAGACGTTTCTCGCCGAATTGAATTCTAATTGCCGACAGTACCGGTCTCGCAAACACGAAAAGATGCCACTGAGAGGCATGTTGATCATGGCGCAAGACTTCCAGATGACCTCAGGACGTTTATACCAGACCGGGAGCTGAAGTTCTCGGAGAGTTTTGGGTTCGAAGTCTGGGTGTGGAGGCTGCCACCGAGGGAGCACGCGACAATTGGGGGAGAAGAATAGGGTTCCGTCGTTGGAGAAAAAAGCCCGACCGCGGTTCTCGATATACTTCGAGTCTGTGTATACAAATCGGTACGAGGCGAAAGAACACATATTCAAATGGCTTACCATAGCGTTCTTGCCTGGTCTGCTTTTTTTCCTCCGCCTCCACTTGTTTCCATTCGACGTCTGTCCTCGTCTGCACCAGTGGATGGTCCGAAACAACAGGCGTGTGAGGAGGAGATGACATGGCGATTGACAGAGTAGTGAGAGCTGAGCTGCGACGCTATGCACCTGGAAGTGGCGTGGGGTACGATTGGAATCGAGCTATGGTAGCTGGGTGTCGAAGTACTACTGTTACTGGACCGTTGCGATGACTTCGAGAGGGAGAAGCGAGCAATACTCCTAAGCGACAGATGCGGCGAAAGATGCGAGTGTGCCCGCAGCTGTGCTATAGAAGTGAGAATAAGTCTCTCTTGAAGACGTGAGTGTAGGCAAGCTAAAACGAATTGTTAACAGGAGTGGGCGGTGAACGTTGACTCTGAGCCTGGCGACGTCGCCACGACATTGACACCCGAAACAAACAACTCCAAATATGGTGGCGTAAGTACTGTCTTTTTATGCACTCTCACTCCAATGTATGCAATAATATCATTTCTCGGGCTGGAACATCACGTATACATCATTGTTTCCATCCCAGATTGCCGACTTTGGGAACCACGCATCGTACTTAGATTAAATAATCCTTCACCATAGACTTGGGGACTTGGGAGCATAGTCATTCTACAGACAATGGTCCAGTGCAGCTATTTACAAAGCGCTTTCACCCAGGGGATGGGTGGTATATATATAACTAACGTATCGAGGCAGAATTTAGAAACAGAAGAATAGCAATTACGGGGAAACCAGTCCTCTTCGAAGAAAGATGTCTCTCGCCACGAAAATTTAGAGAAGAAGAACTGTCATGGAGGGTAGCACGGGTAGCGAGAGACTATACACATCACATCTCGGAATGAATAGTCCGGGTCTCGTCAAATTCAGGTTTAGCAAAGAGAAAGGAACGCAGGGAAACAAAGCTTGGGAGGGGCGAAAAGCCAAAACATTTCCACGGAAGAATCGATTCCATCCACAACTCGAGCATAGCACAACAACAACAACACCCGATCGACACATCCTCCAACGCTCTCGACAGGTAATCATCTCTTCATTAGATCTCCGCTGTCGTTTTTGCGGCGAAGTGTAGTGTCCAAGAAGACAATAGACGATGCGCGTTCACTTGCTCGCCCGTCAACCTGCAATAAGACGGCTCGTCATCTATCTCGAACAAACCAAGCAGCAACAAAATAAACAACATACCCTGGTGTTCCATAAGTCAGCGGCGCAAGATATACCAAACACGCCATCATCGCAATTGCGAACAGCCCAACAACGATCGGCGCCTTTACACCCAGCTCTGCATACTGCGTTGGCTGAGCCCTCGTCCTAAGTCCACGAATAGAGATCGGATAGTTGATGGTGTCAGAAAGTACGAAGTTGAGGACGGCACCGGCGACGAGGGCAGAGGCGAGATGAGAAGGAAGGTAGTGGTGGATGAACAGTTGACGGTTCATGAGGAAGAAGGGGAAGTAGTGGATAAACCAGATGATAACGAAGAAGCCGGCGTTGTTCCAGAGACGGTTCAGGACGGCTGCAAGACGAGACGAGACGAATAAACGTCAGTAAGGGAAGATTGATAGGAGGGTTGCGACAGGATGCGAATACGTACGTGGCTCAATGGGAGTGATCCCTCTCCGCCTAGCGAGCATATCCGCGCCGATGATTCCAACGTAGATAGACATCGCAATGACGCAGGTCCACCAGCCGACGACGTTACCAATGAGATAGATCTGCTTCTGGCCCTCGCTCTGCGTCCAGAAGCTGATACCGCTCAACAAGAACGGCCAATTGATGGGTTGACTCGCGTAGGGATGCGACGCCGTCAAACCCGCGTTGTGCTGCAACATCAAAGTCTGAAGCTCGAAGAACTTCTTGAAGAAGTTCATGGACTTGGGTTCTTTGACCTGGATGTCGGCCGTGCGATCAAGGAGCTCTTCGCCCTCTGTCAGATCGAATCAAGAAAACCCCACAAAGAAGCGTCAGGTACTCGTTGAGTGAAATATTGGCATAGAGTACACACCAGCAGGCTCTGCGATCTCGTCAACGTACCAAATCGCCGTCTTCTCTGTGGGCTTCTTGTCACCATTGATTTCTTGCTGCTTGAATGCCCAATCCGGCAACTGCTCTCGATGGGTCCAGAGGGCTACTTTCGTCGGCACATGCACCAACCTGAAATGTCCACCCTTTGTCTTCCACGCCTCACCCTCATGTGCATCTTTCAAGAACAGATGGAAGAGGGTGTCGTTGTACCGAGTGTAATCGTCCTTTGGCCAGGTCGTGAACTCTTGGTTCGTGGGCATGAGCGGGGAGGCGACATCGTGTGTGAGGAGGACGGTTTGAGTGTTGACGTGCAAGAGTTGGATAACATCGTTGTGGCGGACGATACGGCCACGCCCAGTCTCAGGAAGGGCCTTGGTGGGAATGATCTGCCAGTTGTTGTTCGCGTCGGCGTGACCGTAACCGGTAACCTGTTGACCTGAGAACAGGTAGTTGAGTGGTTTAGTCAACTAGTGGAAAGAATAAACGGGGTTAAATCTACCTTGGCTAGAAACACGGCCGTCATCATATCTGAGAGGATATTTCTCGAGGTGCGAGTGTAAGAAGACCTTCGTGTCCTTATGCCTGATAGTGACGGTGTCGAAATACCGGATCTCTGATACCGATGTTAGCCCATGACGACACAAAGTCACGCCTGTACAATGATAGACTCACCTTGACTGTTCATAAGCAGCTCATTGCCAGCCAGCGTCTCCTGGAACTGAGGACTCATGAAGGTGTCACCGGGACCGGACTTCGTGAGAATAGCGAAGTGGACATAGAAGAACGAGAGATAGACGACGAAAGGAATGAGGATGAGACCGATCGCGCGGGCGGCAAAGTGTCGCCAGAAGTGTTCCTGCGGGACCGTCAGCACGGTATTCTTAGGTTTCGTGGTGGAGGTAAATACCCACCATGTCCGGGGTTTTCTTGAGGTCGAGGATATCCCATAGGTCAACGAGAACGGCAGCGCCAATTGCGAAGACCGTGAGAATGCCGTTAACCTTGGATCCCCAGGTGCAGGCCATGAATACACCAGTCGCTATGAGCCATCCCCACCATTGAGAAGAGAACGCGCTGTGTGCGGATAAGCTCAGTGATACGTCCAGCGGAGAATGCTATATATAGAACTCACTGGTAGCGCAGCTTGCGGAAACGAATATAAGAGTACATGGTCAAGGACATGAAGAAGATCAGAGTCGCGTCCAAAAGGATGAGACGTGACTGAGCAATGTGTGCGTTGTCTACAGGCGCGTTCAGTATATCTTGGTTGAGTCAAAGGTCGAAGAAACTCACCGAAGAGGATGAGGGATGCCGAAAATGCCGCAATGATAGTCGAGTAGCCACTCTCCTTCATGATGCCGTAGATCACAGGGATGGTAAGACTGCCGAGGATGGCTGGTAGAGCCCTCATGCCGACATAAGGAACGTGGTTTTCTGTGTAGCTGTCGCCAATATCCTCGAAGCTGAAGTGGCCATCGAACCCAACGAACCAACCGGCGAGACCAAACAGAAGTTTCGCGAATGGAGGGTGAACGTCGAAGTAGTATTCTCGAAGAATGTAGTATGAGGCGAATTTTCCAAAGTGAACCTCGTCGAAGCTATGTATGAAGATTAGTTCGTCGCGTCACTCGGTGGGTAATTAACGCGCGTGGTGTTGGTACTTACACTACCTGGTCTGGATGGTTGATTTTGTAGAACCGCAGAGCGAATGCGAGGGCAGTCAGTATGCCAACGGTAATCATGCTCGCCTCAGGCGACTCGAACATTTTATCCAGTGGGTTACGATTTCTCTGCGCACGAACACATCAACCTCGGAGAGCCACGTATTCATGTTGAGTTCGAGGAAACATACTGGGTTTTGGTATCCCGGTGGTGTGTAGGCATCCTCTTCAGGCTCAATTTCAGGGACAGACAGGCCATGTTGGCCAGCAGGCCTTCTTTGTCGTGCCCTGCCTGTGGACGTCGCCGAGGTGGACATGATGGGAGAGAGAAAGAGAAAGCAATGAGTTCGTGTTTGGACAGCAAGCGTCGAATAGAACCGCGTCGAGGCAGCCACGTGCGGGAAAGACCCGATCACTTGTCCTCTGGGCCTTGCTCACCTTCCGAACTTTGCCCTCTACGAGCTCACTCTGTTTCCTTTTCGTCTTGGTCGTTGCTTACAACCATGGCAGAACTCACTTATGACACGCTTATGGACGACCCGAACTACATGGGCTCCGAGAGGGCCCGGATGGAGAACAAGGTCATCCTCGATGAACTCGAACGAAAGAAAAAGGCGAGGGCTATGGCAGTCCCCACAGACGATAATCGTGTCAAGGCTCGTCTTCGTGAAATCGGAGAACCTATCACTCTATTTGGAGAGCGAGTACGTGTCAGCGTTCTATGGAGAGTGCCTTGGATATTTAGACCGCACTCTGTTCGTAGGCTGCAGACAGACGCGACCGTCTCATCTACGTTCTTTCCCAAATCAATGCTGCTCGAGGCGACGATGCCATGCAGGTGGATGAGGAATCGTCTGACTCGAGCGAGGAAGAGGTATGTCGACTTCGCTCCACGTTCAACTCTCTTCCTCATAGTGTGGCGTCAATAGGAAGAAGAATTCTACTCCCCCGGATCGCTGGAGTTGCTTGAAGCTCGACGAAGACTCGCGGAGTTCTCTCTCCCTAGGTTGGGTTTCTGCTCCTACCCACAGGTGACCCTCGTAAGGTGCTTACCATATTCTCTTTGTCCGTGTTTTCCCTCCATGCAGAGCTCAAAAGCGCGTCGCCCAGCAGCGGATAGACAGCAAATTACCCCTAGGGCGCCTCATCGACATCCGAAAACGCGTCTTCGCGGACGTGAAAGTGCGTAGATCTCCCAGATTCCGTTTATCAAAGCCGACTGTGCTGACCTTGCCCAGAATTTCACCAATCTTGGGTCTCAAATAGGGGATGAACGGCCACTGTCGATCGTTCGCTTTTCCCCAAACAACGAGATGTTGGCGACCGGTAGTTGGTCCGGGTCCGTCAAGCTTTGGAATATGCCTTCGTGCACACCAATAAAAACCCTACGAGGTGAGCGCCTCGTTCGAAAACCGTGGTCCTTATCCTGAGGTGGCGTTCCAGGTCACGGTGATCGCGTCGGTGGTCTTGCGTGGCATCCACAAGCCACACTATCCCAAAGCCCGGACGCAGTAAACCTTGTGAGTGGCGCAGGAGACGCTTGCGTTTGTCTTTGGTCACTTAACAGGTTGGTCTTCTGTCTACCTTCATGTTCCTTCTGACTGCTGACACGAGTTGAAGCGAGACCCCCATTTCAGTGATGAAAGGTCACCAAGATCGGATATGTCGAGTTGCGTTCCATCCGTCGGGTGACTACGTCGCCAGTGCTAGCTTTGACACGACTTGGCGGTTATGGGATGTTGCGACGTCAAAAGAACTCTTGTTGCAGGAGGGACACTCAAAGGAAGTATATACTGTGGAATTCCAAGATGACGGTGCCTTGGTTGCTTCTGCGTAGGTTTGGACATGATCTCTGAAATTATCATGATGCCTAACTTGTTTGCAGAGGTCTTGACGCTATCGGGCGAGTATGGGATCTTCGAACAGGACGCACAGCTATGGTCCTCGACGGACACGTTCAAGGCATCCTCTCAATGTCTTTCTCACCAAACGGGTACGCTTCGATTCATTCATTGCCTACATACTCTCTTCAAACCATAGCCGCAGCACTTATTTCTTTCACTTCCACAAGATACCAAATCGCCACCGGTGCTTCCGATGATACCATCCGAATATGGGACATGCGATCACTGAAAGCCCTTTACACCATCCCAGCTCATCTCAACAACGTGTCCGACGTCCGATTTTTCCGCTCAGACGGTGCGATTCCCTCCTGGCTCTCCTCCGCACAACCCAAGTCCGAACCCATGAACGGCGTTGTTCCCACCACAACCACCTCCGCCACCACCACATCGACTCCCGAACCCACAAAGGAAGGCTCAGCCACCCCAGCTCCCACCCCTTCTGGCACCACCACCTCATCGTCTGCTGATACTCTCGCACAAGAATGGCGGTACAGACCAGGGCTGTATATGGCTAGTGCGGGGTACGATGGTGTGGTGAAGCTGTGGAGTGCGGACGATTGGCAGTTGTTAGCTACGTTGCAGACGGATGGGAGTAAGGTCATGTCGGTGGATCTTTCGAGCGATGCGAAGTTGTTGGCGAGCGGGACGTATAACCGGAATTATCAATTGTTCACACCGGCGAGCGCGTTGTAGATATGGGGATTGTAGGTGTTGGCTATGTAATTTATGTATGTCTTGTCGGAGGTGTGCGAACCGATGCGATTGCTTTGAATGGGTTTCCTAGTCATCCCGACAGCGACATCCCAAGCAAACTTTAGCGTTCAAGATCGCTCGTTCAACGTGTCTACATGACTTGTTCAATGTTCGGAGGTAAGGACCTTCAAGGACTCGGAGGGAGGCACGCGTCTGTTGATCGGTTCGGCTTTGCGCGAAGCGAAGCGTTGACAATCAATCCAAGCTCGAGCGTCACCGGGTCCAAGTGCTTGTGGCTCCTCCTCCCGCCTCTCATCTATCTACCCAAATGTTCAACGCACCGCGGCCGACGCAAGCCCGCTCAAATCTAGGGAACTTTGGGGCGAGCTTCGTCGAAGATAACGACCCGCTTTCTGCGTCTGTGTATGACGACGGACTTGATCCATGGAGCGCTGCGCCGAGCCCTTCGCCGCCTACTCTGCCTGTTAGTTCTGCGGGCTCGGGCTCGACTACATTATTTAACTCTGTCATTGGTGCGCATTTATTGCTTTTGATAGCATAATAGGAAGCCTGACTTGTGGAGTGGGTTCCATTAGCGGACGCTATCGTCCCGCCAATATACCAAGAGTCATTCAGCGCGGTGGACCCAACCAATGAAGGAGAGACATCTGTGAACTCGCTATCGAGAATCTTGGGAACATCTGGTCTCGCGGCTTCCACTATCGAGAAGGTGCGCAAAGTTCCAAGTGAACATTCGGTATAACAAAGGCGCTGAGCTTGATGCGCCGTTGTGGCCGTCATATCCCAGATCATCAGCTTGGTTAGTTCGCGGCCTCGTGTGTCCAAGCTCGAATTCTTCGTCGCTTTGGCTTTGGTAGCCTTAGCTCAGTCTGGAAAAGGTGCGTCCAACCTCGGTGGTCGAACGTATCATCTGCTGAAGAACTTACGACGATGCACATCCATAGATGTCAGTATCGAACAAGTCGCCAAACTCGCAGAACAGAATACCCTACCCGAACCATCACTCGACCTCAGTCAACTTTCTACAGCCCCCTCCACATTCACTTTCAACCGTCAAACAAGTAACCCTGTCCTCCGCGCCCCCGCTCCTCCCTATTCTTCTGACGATCCTTGGAGCGCTCCTTCCCGCATTGGCGCTGGTGGAGGGACGTCGAACGGAAACGATGTAACTGGGCAGACGGCTCTCACAAATGGAGCTCCATCGACTGTGGCAGGAAGTGGATTGCCGCGAGAGTGGTGGAAGAGGCAGGAGAAGGTCGCGGTGAATTTTGGAGGCCTGCAAGGATTCATTTTGAATCGGTACATGGTGTATGACGTAGTCACCGATGTGAGTCGCTTCATTTTGCGTGTTGATATTAGTGTTGACTTCGGCTTCGACAGCGAGGAGCTACCGTTCCGAGACGATACTCGGAGTTCGTGTTTCTGTTCGATTGTGAGTGTTGAGCGTTTACGTATGTTGGTGTGGCCCACGCTGACGACATGTTGTGTTGTAAGGTCTCGTCCGCCGGTATCCCTTCCGGATAATACCACAGTTACCCCCCAAACGGATAGGACGTGAGTCCAACTGCTTTACAGTCTTGTTACACCGGGACTGACAGTCACACGAACAGCCGATGAGAATTTCCTCGAACAGCGACGGTATGTTAGATGCCGTCATCGTGCAATATCAGAGATTCTGAGTATCTGCTAATAGGAAAGGGTTGCAACGATTCATGAACTTCGTCGTGTATGTTCATCATAACTATGTGGCCTACTGGAAGAGTACTCACAAAGTGTCTTGAACAGGAATCATCCGATCATCAAGGACGATGGTCTCCTGGCCACCTTTCTCGCCGAGCCCTCATTTGAACAATGGCGGAAACACTCAGCCATCTCTCTGGAGGAAGAATCTGCTAGTAAACGTGTGGACCGTATCGAGGAAATGACTATACCCAGCGATTTGGAAGAGAAACTTGGGTTAGTCTTCTCGTTGGCCACCGCACTCACTCATCTTTATACAAAGCACATCTTGTGGTGTAAATGCTAACGGGTTGTTTCGGTTCTACACCCTCTTTTGTGTTCGGTTAGGAATGTGCGAGGGAAGATAGTACCGCTGATCGAGGCCTGGCAAAAGATCAGCATCCTCGCTGAGCGGATAATCAGGAAGCGCGAAGCAGCAGCGGTACGAATCCCTCCGAACTTGAGGCCTTCCTACCTACCGACTCACTTCTTCTCATCATCCGCACCGGCCTCCCCCACATCCTCATCCTCCGCCTCCTACTCTTCATCCAACAATCGCCTCCTCTCCTCGTCCGCGTCAATCTTATCATATGACTCCACGCGTTCACGAACATCTAATTTCTTACACGGTCTCGCGCCCGCTGCAATTTTCGCTTCCGGGAATGGGTTGCCGACTGCGTCTACCGCGTCGTCGGACGTGCAGGCTGATTTGGCGAGGTTGACGAATACGTTTAAGGTGCTTGTGGAGGTTAATGGGCAGTGTTGGAGAGGAGGGGAGGAATGTGAGCTTTCGGAGGGGGTGAAGAGGGGTGTGAGAAGTGTAGCAGAGCATACGCAGAGAGAGACGGATCTGCTTGAGCAGAGGGTATGCGGTTTGTTCATTTGATGTGCTGTTTGATTTCTGATAGGTGACTTTTGACTGGCAGACACGGACATTGCTCAACTCGACATTGGAGGGTATCAAGTCCCAGCGTGATCTGTACATTGCCATGCGCGACTTGTTCATCCGCCATGACCGACTATCCGTCGATCAAGTCGAACGGCTCAAAAAACGCGTTGATACGACCTCCGTCAAGCTGGAGGGTATCCGGGCTGTGCAGAAGGAAGGGTGGGAGGTGGAGGCAGATAAACTTGCAGGAGCCATGGAGAAGGATAAGGTCACGATCACGGCACAGCTCAATCGAAGGGTGTTTATCAGGGCTTGGTACGTTGCTCGCCTTCTCTGCACTCTTTATCGTCTCCGTTGCGCTCGCCTTTTTCCTTCTTTTGGGCAACATGTTGATATTGACTTTCTATGATAGCATGTGGCACGAACTGCGAGTCGTGCTCCATAACAGGGAGAATACACTCCTGACCCAGCTCGTTCAGGCTTTCGCGCGCGAAGAACAAGATTATGCGGACAGCGTGGCGGCGAATTGGGCGTCGTTGGTTGATGCGGTTGAGAGCATGCCTCTTGAGTGAGCCCGTCCGGTTCTTTCAAGGCTGGGTAGGGGTGGACAGGTGTGGATATGGTCCTTGTCGTCGGGAATGTGTGGTAGTGCGGAGACTGCGTATCTTATAACATTTTCTTGTGTCTAATTCCGCACGTATACCTGATTTTTATTTGCCTCTTGCGACAGTCGATGATGTTACGCAATTCCAGGGATTTTTTGCACAACTATTTCTGTTTCTCGATATATATCGTCCAAAAACTGGAACAGGCTGTTACTTGTGGTGCAACTTCACGTCTACTACCATCAAACTCAGCGGACCTTGCTACCAGCTAGACTCATGACCGTCCGGTCAGAAGACCACGTTCGCGATGCGCCATACCATAAGTCAATAGGTGATTAGTCGCTGATACGTTTTGCCAGTATCATCATGGACGCCCTTCATCCGAAGTTGAAGCAGCTCTCTTCCGACCCTCGGCACCATGCTACTCTGCAAGCACCTGAACAGCGCCACACTGAACCTCATTTCGTGGTCATCAGATTGACTCTAGTCCGTCTACGGTATCTCGGCTGTTTTTGGGCTCGATGATGTCGAAGCGTCCGGCTGAACGTCGTATGCGGAGAAGAAGTCAAGCCTCCGAGGTAAGACCTCTTGTTCATCTTACTAGCTTCCTACCTCTCCGTACGCTCGACCTGCGGCCCGCCAGAATCCGCGTACTGCTACCATCTGAAGTTCTGTTAAGATACCATGAGGGCGCAGTGGCTCGAGTATATAATGCAGACCAGCTGTCCTGTGTCTTTTTCTTCTTCAAATCGGGTTTGTCAGGCTTAACACAGGCTGAACTTCACCGTCGAGCATAGAGGACCAAGATGTTCTACGTCGGGCTCACTGCTCTTACTGCTTTTTTCGTTGGGCTCCGTATCCCTAGCGTGCATGCGCATGGATACGTCCAGGATGTCGTCGTCGACTCAACCCATTACACTGGTTACCTACCGTATAGTGATCCGTACTACAACCCTGTCCCGGAGCGTATTATCCGCGCGATTCCTGGAAATGGTGAGTATCGATTCTCTCGACTCTTTGTTCGACGACTCGATGAACTGACCGTTACCGTCTTACCGTGTCTGGATTTTAGGTCCTGTCACGGATCTGAGCCTCATTGATGTTCAGTGCAATGGTTACACGGACGGAGGCGTCATCGGGAGTGAGCCTGCGCCTATCTATGCAACTGTAGCGGCGGGGGACGAAATGCATTTGAACTGGACGACTTGGCCTGACTCTCATATTGTAATTTGTTGCCTCAGGCTTTTTCATTACCTTCGCTCTCGAGTGAATTGTGCTGATGCTATTTTACATTTTGCTGCTTATTGCAGGGACCGATGATCACGTACATGGCTCTCGCTCCTTCTGATATCACGGAGTGGCTACCAGGAACCGAGTGAGCTCATCCTCGAATCGCAGTACCGCTCAGTCGTGCAGCAATTGACACAATTTCTTGTAGTGCTGTCTGGTTCAAGGTCGCTGAAGCTGGAAAGGCGGCTGATGGGACTTGGGCCTCGACTACTGGCTTAACCGCTACCGACAGCATCTATACATTCACAGTTCCTGCCACTTTGAAGCCCGGACAGTACATCGTTCGCCACGAGATGTGAGTAGCCTACATAATACGACCTCTGCGTATGCTCTTGCTCACCAATACTACCTGTTCAGCATTGCCTTGCATGCAGGTGTGTTATTTCCCGCCTCGGAAGAATATCATGAACAATTTTAGTTGACTGACCGCACAATGTAGCCTTCGTGTACCCTGGCGCGCAAGTCTACCCATCCTGCATCCAGATTGAAGTCACCGGTTCTGGGATTGCCTTCCCGACATCGTTCGTCTCCTTCCCCGGAGCCTATACCGCTGACACTCCCGGAATCGTATACGATGCCTACACCAGTGAGATTGAGTCCTTCTTGAGCTTCCGTTGACATTTCTCTCTAACCTGGTTGATTGTTCAAGATACGTCGGCGTACCCGATTCCGGGACCTGCTGTGTAAGTGGCGTATTGAGATTCTCAGGGGCAAAGGATAAAATACTGATTTTTTTTGAACCCGATGTAGCTGGTCAGGCTGAACGCCCGTCGGAAAAGTGGACGCTATGAGGGTAGCAGTGTGTGAATTTGGACGTTTGTTTGACATGCCAAGGATGGAGAGCTTGTATCATGCGCAATACAGCGACTATGATGAAAGCTAGTTCAATGCTTCAGGAAAGAACACAGATGCCTTGATAGGCTAAGTGAGGAGTCCGAGTGAGAAGAGAGAATTATTGGGCAGCACTGTGGCCCAACTGTGGCCCCGTGTTCCAAGTACAGAGTTACCGGCATTCGCCGTGAGGATATTCTCACAGTGCCACGCCTCCCCAAGGTGGAGTGACAGCCTTGACGGATCTGTTCCCAACCACGACGACGCCCCCTTCACCTCGCATTGACCTCGCACAACCGTCTTTTTATCCCTTGCACAACCATCACCGCCGTCAACATCGCCCCCTCCTCCTTCTTTTTATCTCTTTTCTTCGACAAATCCATTTGACCGAGTGTTCTGTAGCAGATTAGCCTTGGTTTTCTTTCAATTCATAAATTTGCTCTATGGCATCCTCTGTCTTTTACAAGTTCAGGTCTCAGAGAGAGGAGTCTCGGGTGACATTTGATGGCACTGGCATATCTGTATTTGACTTGAAGAAAGAGATCATCCTAGCTAACAATCTCGGCAAGTCTAATGACTTCGACATTTCTGTGTTCGACAAGTCGTCCAACGAAGGTGCGCACGCGTCATTTCTACACTCAGAGTACTCTGAGTGTTGATCGTCTGGCCACCCTTCTCATTGCAGAGTTTAAAAATGACCAGCATATCATTCCACGATCTTCTTCTGTCATTGTGAAGCGCTTGCCAGCAGTGCGTCCGGGCAAGGGTAACGCTGCTATGTACATTGCTGGCACAGCGTCTGCCGGTGCTGATTCAGCTTCAAAGTCTGGTACTTCCGGTAACTCCAGCAATAATTGGCACAAGGGCTCGATGTCACGGCGCTTCGATGGGAAGGAAGATGCTCCGAAGCCCACGCCGCCACCAAGAGCCAGCCCTGTGCGCACCCTCTCGTTCATCTTCTTCCTTTCACACGCTCACACTGCATGCATTTTTAGTCAAAGCTATCTACGTCAATAGCGCAGGATGATGAGGAGGCTGCAATGGCCGCCATGTTCCAAATGCAGTCGGCTAACTGGGAGGAGACCCAGGAGAAAATGTCACAGTTGGTGTCAAGTCTCGCGGATCTCTTCACGTATTGTAGTAGTGTCTGTCTAATGGATGATTGTTTTTTGCCCCACTTCTGCACCTGCTCTCGACACTCCTATAGTGCTACGCGTATATACACTAACAACCGCGGAACCGGCTTCTCTCGCGGAGGTAAAACGACACCACACAGTCATCACCACCACAACGACAAACCTTTACCCCCCAGCTATGTCTGCTATCGATGTGGACAGAAAGGTTCGTTGTTCTTCATGACATACTGAGGGTTCAGCTGTTGAGGTTATATAGGTCATTGGATCCAGGATTGTCCGACGAACAGCGACCGAGAGTTTGACAATAAGCCTCGCATCAAACGAACGACCGGTATCCCTCGTAGTTTTCTCAAAGCCATCGAAAGCCCTGCTACGTCTCAAATCGGACATGGAGTCATGGTTACGCCCGAAGGTGGCTACGTCGTCGCTCAGCCTGATGTGTACGCCTTCGTTCTGCTATGCTTCTGCCCATCTTCTCCCAGTGTACAAGCTAACCTTCTACCTTCATCGTTCAGGGCTTCGTGGCAAAAGCAAGTCTCCAGGCCGAAGGGTCTCACGGAGTCAGACGTGCGGGATCGACCTTCGAAAGACCCTGCGATCGTATGTCCGATAGATAATAAAATCTTCCGTGACGCTGTGAAGACTCCATGCTGCGAGACGACATACTGCGAGGAATGTATACAGACCCATCTTTTGGAGAAGGACTTCATATGTCCGCACTGCGCTACGAAGATTGCTTCGCTTGACAAGCTTTCGCAGGATAAGCCAAAGCGTGCGAAGGTCGCAGAGTATATTGAGAAGGAGATCGAACTGAGCAAGAAGGTAGAGGAAGAGGGCGCGAATGGCACTCCTGGACCGAATGGCGTATGTGTCCTGTGTCATTTCTATCTTCGCTAAGGGACACCTACTCACATCTAACATCATGCTCTCCAGACACCCGTCCCTGACGGTCCCTCAAATTCCCAACAAAACGGCCTCCCCAACCAAGATCACCCCGAATACTACCAAGACCCAAACCTCATCGCCGACATGGCCATGTCACAAATGATCCAAGACGGAATCCCACAGCTTCAAGCACAAATCCAACAACTCTCCGTAATGCTGAACAACAACACACTCCCGCAGGCCGTCCGGCAACAGACGGAAATGCAATACCAGCAGCTTCAGGTGCAGTTGCAGCAGGCGCAGGAGATCGGGGCTGCGTTGGCTATGCAGCGGAGTTTTGCGGCTCAGGCGGCGCAGCAGCAACAGCAGCAGCAGCAACAACAACAACAACATCAGCAGCAGCAGGGCGTCGTAAATATGGGTGGCGGTATGGGTGGCGGTGGACTGGGGATGGGGATGGGTGGTGGAGGGTACGGGATGGGAGGAATGGGGTCTATGATGGGTGGAGGTGGCGGCATGGGAGGTGGTGGAGGAATGGGAGGTGGTGGCGGAATGGGCGGGCCTGGTGGAATGGGTGGTAATGGCATGGGCAACGGGATGGGTGGCAATGGGATGGGTGGCAATGGAATGGGCGGTGGAGGACCGATGTCGATGCACAGAGGACCGGGCGGCGGAGGTGGAAACGGCGGCGCAATGAGTGGAGGAGTTTCGTTGGGAGCGGGGCCTATGGGCGGACAAGGACAGATTGCAGGATTCGGCAACCAGCAGCAGGCAGGACACGAGTCTGCGTATCAGAGGTTGCCGTTGAATAATAGGAGGAGAAATATGAAGAGGGAGAGGCCTTCGGATTTCTTGGAGGTTGGGCCGGATATGGAGAGGGAGCCGAAGGTGGCGAAACATTAGGAGTAAGTCGCGTTCGAGGGACCACTGGATCGCTTTGGAGAGGGGGCCCTCGATTACGATACAGATATTTTCAAGGGCTTCGAAAACGACCTCTTTCTCTCCTACATGTATATACACATAACACAACTACACATCGACCGCAGAGCGCTGAGCAGGTTCCATCTTCGTCTTCATCTTTACTTCTATTCTCCCCAGTTCTCCCCTCATCTTTACTCCCCTCATCTTTATTACGTTCCCTTCGAAGCTTACTGTCGACTGTTGATCGCGACCCACTGTAAATATCCATACACGGAATATATATTTGCGATCCCCTCCATCCGTCCGCCTGTGTGCCTACATTCCAATCCTAGCCTCGAACAGCATTACTTCAAAAAGCACAATATATACTGACCTACCCAGAACCGGTCACGCTCACGCCACAGTCCTCAACGCGGACGACCCATTCGTCTGCTGTTGCCCCGCACTCGAACTCGACACCCTCTGCAGAATCGCGTGCTGGAACTGTTCCCTCGCCGCGATGAGCTGATAAACGAACAACGTCAACAAGCAGCCCACGGAACGTCGAATAAGACGCGGTGGAAATGAGAATAGGTAGTAAGTAGAGTGATAGGTAGTAGAGTGAAAGGGAAGGAATAGAAGGGGGGAAACGAACCTCCTTCTGCCGATCAATCATCCCATCCAAGAATCGCTCCATGGACCGCTTGAAATCCTCGATCCGCTCCGTCTCGAACCGTGCCACCTCTGACTTGACGAGCTTCGAGACGTGCTCGAATTCGTTTTTGGATTCGAGGGCTCTGCGTTCCGCCTGTTGCATTGCATTGCATTGAATTCAAGGACGTAAACATGCCAGCCAGGTCAATCGATGGGTTTATGTGTAGATGGAAGGTTTAGAGTGAGTGAGTGGGTGGCAGGGGAGGAAGAGAGGGAATGAATAAACGTACGTCGGCGATCTGGCTCATCGAATGCCCCATCCTATCCGTCGGAATACGACCCTGCGCTCGATTCCGATCATGGTTCTGCCTCGCTCTCCTCAACTCCGTATCCGCCGTCTGCCAAGCATGATACGTCCGTATCCGCGAACTGAACGCCATCTACATCGTGTCACCGCCACCACAATGAACGAACAAACGAGTCAGCTTCATCAACACCAAGACAGGAAACACAGGCAGACAAAGAGAAAATGTATGCATGTATGGTATGTGTGTATGCGTGTATTGTGCGAAAGACAAACCAACGCACCCGCACACTATTAATCAGCCTCGCATACTCGTCCGCCGTGCCCATGAGCGTCACCAGATCCTGCTTCGCCTGCTCAGACTCTATATCCTGCGCTTTCCGCTCCACGTCCGCGAGCAGGCCGAGGGAGGCCATGAGCGGTTTGCCGAGGTCGGAGGAGGCGAGGTCTGCGATCATTTGTGCGAACTCGCCGATGGATGTGGATAGTTCTGTTGATGCAGTCAAAATCAGAATGAGAAAGGGGTATTGGGAATGGAAATGGGTGGGGTGGGACGAGAGTGGTGGGATTCGTTGACGAGATGGAGAGCGAGATCACTACCTGTGCGTTGTTTAGAAACAACATCAATAGCTTTCACGAGCCCACGAAGTTGAGCCTCCAATGTATCGAGGTATCCTTTTTGTCTGTCGAACCACTGCATCGCATCATATCACATCAGCACTCATATCCTACGAATTGAGCGTGAGGGAAAACAAGTGAATAAAGTGAATGAGACGAACCTCGTCGTTCTCGATGAATCGTGGTCCAGCGATTGACTGGCCGAGGTTAGCCAATAATCCGCCTTTCTCCTGTGCGAGTTCCGCCTTCCGATGCTTAATCTACGCTCACACCACCCAAATCAATTTCACCCGCCTCAACTCCATCCCGAAAAAGTCGAGAAAAGACTCACGTCCAAAGCAAAATTATCGCTCTCCAAAAAAAACCTCAAATCCGCATCCTTTCCCAGAACCGGATGATTCGCGATCTTACTAATACAATTCTCTAGCGCGATCCTGCGCTGCTGCACGAACCTATCATCGAACCGTCCGAAGGGATTTTTTTCGGGAACGGGAGGGACGACGACGCCGGGGTTGGAGAGTGATAGGGTTTCGTAGAGCCAGAGGAAGTCGGAGTAGCGGCGGAGGACGGAGAAGGAGGGTTTGGTGAAGAGGGGGGAGGATGTCTGGTTTTGGGGAGGGGTGGGAAGGGGGAGGGGGGAGGGGGTTAGTGCGGGTGGATGGGGGGATGGGGTGAGGGTGAGAGACGTACGCGGGTGTGGACGGTGTACATCGTGTAGCCACGGATGGGGTCACCGACTTTCTGTGGGTCGTCCACGGTGATGGCGAACTCTGGCTGGATTCCCTTGTCTTTACTAGACAGCGACGCAGAAAGTCGGGTTGAAGATTCCTAGCCATCCAAGACTCCATCAGCCCACACTCTCCGTGCATTCAAAAAGCGAGACACATACCGACTCCGACGGCCTCGGCCTCAACGGTTTATCGTCGTCGTCATCCTCTTCCTCTTCCTCCTCCGGCCGTGATGGCGCCGGCGGTGAACTCACAAACGTACTCTGCGCCCCCATCCCATCATCCCACCCCCCACTGAATCCCTCCCCACCCAACGCCAGATTCGCAAACGACCCATCCAACGATCCCTGCTGCTGCTCCAATGGCGATATAATGCTCCTCGTGTGCGTCTGTGTCGTCGGCGTCGGCGTCCCGAGCGTATCCGTAGCCGAAGGTCTCGAAGTCTGGCGCTGCGGAAGGCGAGCGGAAACGGGTGGGGAGGAGGCGGGCTCGGAATCTGAAGCTGAAGTGGAGGTGGAGGTTCCGGGGGCGAAGACGGGGGAGGTGATGGAGACTGTGGAGGGCGTGGAAGGACGACGGGTGGTTGCGATTGGGGAGTATGGAGTGGGTGTGGGTGAGATGGGCGAGGAGTCGGCGGCGGGGGACAGGGGGGAGAGCAGGGGGTTTGGTTGTGGGTGTGGTTTGGGTTGTTGGGATTCTGGCTCGGATTCCGGTTCGATGCTCTCCCTGAAGCCGCTGGAGGTAGATGAACTGGGAGGCTCGTGCTCGGGTTCTACGCTCTCCCGGAAACCATAACTTCGGGGAGACTTGACGGATGGCTTCGAGGGCTCGTCCTCGTCTGACGAAAGGTTCGCGTTGGCCAAGTCGAGCGGGTCAGCGGGGGCGGGAGCGGGGTCAGCACCTCCGCTGACGCTGAAAGGTTGTGATTCTGTCGTGGGTGTGGTACTGCGCTCGTCATCGTGCACGACGGAGGTGGCGGCGGTGGTGGTATGGGTATCGAATGCTGCTGAGGAGTCAAAGTCGTCGGTGGCAGCGGTGGAACTGCCGAGATAGTTGGACGACCAGGGGTCAGGCGAGTTAGAGCGTGGTTTTGCGAAGGGGTCTTCGAATGGGTTGTCTTCCAGTGCGCTCCGCGACTGCTTCAAGAGGTCGTCGAATCCGTCCATGGTTTGGAGAGTTATGAAAACCTTATGGGGTTGTGCACGCGCCGATCAATACCTGAACCGAGTAAATATAATTGGAGCGAAATGTCAGTAATAAATCAATCATAGAGAAAGATAGAGCCATACAGAACCGCGAAAGCTGGCCGTCAGGGTTGTAGGAATGTTCGCTGGTCCGCGTTCACCCAGCGTACATTCCCACGCATGCTGTACCGTGCTCGGACGCTCTTGATCTCGACCGCTTCTCTGCACAAGCACATTCAAAGCTGAAAATATGTTGGGCCAAACACTTCTCGTCATCGCTGCCGTACTCGTCTTCCACAGTGAGCACCAACTGTGATCCTGCCGTAAACAGTGTGCTCACGGCCCATGCCTCCGCTCAGCTGCATTCTCAACCTATGAGCGTGAGTGAACCTCTGTGCACTGTCGAAGCCCTTATCAGACGCAAGCTTCTCCATTCTACTAGACCTCTCCCATTTGAAGGCGCTCGGTCGACCAGAGGGCTCTCTCCCCTCAGACGTACGCCCTTACCTCCTCCCTCACCAGCGCTCGTCATCCTCATCTAACGCAATAACTCCCCCTCCCCTCTACACCTCTACTCTAGATCGTCCTCGAAGCCTTCGCAGCTCTCATCCTCGGCACCATCGGAGCATCTTGGAAAGCCCCACCACCCAAAGAAATAACATGGGCGAGCGAGATGAAGACAAGGTCCGTGCGTTCCTCTATTCGTGTGGCGCCACACCTGCTCAGACGGAGACGTGGCACTGGTACTGGTGCTTATTGTTTGTGTTTGTGTTTGTAGGACGATCGACGATATGGACTCGAGGTTGGCTTTCGCGAATTTCGTGACGAGGGGGAAGGTGTTGGGCAAGTCATGATGCACATGTATCATTACCATTCAGCATTCTCGTCGTCCATCGGAATATAGTGGTTTGCTTTCATGTCCTAACATTCGCGAGGTGTGCTCGACCCTTAATTTTCATGTGTCAGCGATTTCTGCGTGCTACCTCGGGGAAAGGTATGGTTTGCATTTGGACTATATATCAGGCTTGTCATGGCCACCCTATCACAATCACAATCACTGGCGCACTCCCCACTCCCCGTGCTCTGAGTGTATACATAGTCTCCGTGATTCTAAAACGTCCAACTGCTTCAGCTTCAATAGGTTTCATGCCAGTACAGACTCCATGTCTCAGTCTCACTATCACCCCAGGTCTCAGACGACCCGCTAACCCGCTAACAGTAGTAATATTTGTCTCACTCCCAGTCCACTGGCCATAATCCCAACGCCCACACCATAAACTCTCATTCCCCTCCCGTCCTGTCCTCCCACCTCTCCCCATCCACCCTCCCGACTCCGCACAATCCCAATCCCAATCGCAAGGAAGGAACAATCTCATCTCGCCAAAATGACTAATAGCAAGAGATCCTCCTTCGTCCTCACCAACTTCAACTCCATCTTTGCCCCTGCTCCCAACCCGAAGATGGTCTCCGTCAGTACCGCCTCCATTGGTCATCCGCATGCCCTCCAGCCTCTTCAGCCTCTCCATCTCAACATCCCTATCTCGGCCTCCAACCACAATTCCGACCAGAGCTCAAAGCCAATACAGGACAAGCCATATCGCCTGTTCAACGCCCACACCCACAAACCCACCGTACCCCCTCGTCCTTCCTCCTCCTCTGACGTCACCTCCGACTCCGACTTCGTAAACATCCCCCCTCCCGACCCCAACACACCTCACCGCTCCTACGACCACGCCTACGAGGCACGTTTCAGACTTGCTGCGAGACCTGCAAGGCTTGGGATCTTCGGTGCAGGTCTCTGTGTTAGTGGCAATGGCGGCGGCTTTGTGAATGGAAATGGGGGTAACGGAAATGGGGGTAAGGGAAATGGGGGTAACGGAAATGGGGGTAACGGAAATGGGAGTAACGGAAATGCAAACGCGAATGCGAATGTGAATGACAGGTCGAGAGCACATCAAAGAAGGGCGCTATCCATGAAAGTCAAAGTCGAGACGCAGAATCGGTCTTCTGGTGGTCCTGGGCATGGGAGGAGGGGAAAAGTGGGCAAGGGAAAGGCGGGAAAGGTGGGGTTCAAGGTGCCTAGTCTGGTTAAGAATCTGGTGCAGAGTCATAGTAATAAGGTATTGTCGTATTTTCGAGTGTCTGATTCTGCTTGGGCTGACGAATGTGTTTGAGCAGACTACCACGACGACAACGACGACGACGATAATCCGCGACGCAAAAACCTTCGCGGAGCGTGAAGATGCGCGTGCGCTGTTCAATTATAAGGCCATGCCCATGTCTATGCCCAAGTCCGAGCCCGAGCCCACTCGCTCTGGTTGTCCAGATCCCACAACATCCGAGCCTAAGCCAACCTCCATCCGCACCACATCCACGTCCACATCCTCCAGCAGTAGCGCACAACTCATATCCGCGCCATCCAACTCCAACTCCTCATCCATCTTCGACAGCCCCGTCCTCATCTCCATCCCCCATCCCAATTCCAGCGCTCGCATCCCTCCGAGTCGTCCCAGCGCTCACGCCCTCTGGGACTTATCACCATATGCCTATTGGGACTCGTCACGCTACACCCTCCGAGACGAACCCTGGAACGCACCCGAATCTTTCCCAAGTCTCGCTCTGAATCGTAAAACTGTATGGACGCGTCAGATCAAGGCAAAATTTGGGGGCAAGAGTTTGATGCCTTCGTGGGCTGCGAAGCTTGAATCTGAACGTGCTCGAGATGGAGAGGTAGAGGGATGGGCACGGGGAGAGGGATGGGGACATGGAGAGGGAGAGGGGCAGGAAGAAGGATATGGACATGGAGGCGTGCGCATCCGTCAGCCGAGACCTGTTAGGGCTTGGGAGAAGGAGCTGCCTGTTTGGGTTGGTTGTTTTGATGAGGGTGATGAGGCCAGTAGGGCTAGAGACGAGAGAGAGGCAGATGGGAGGGTGGCGTGGTGTTTGTCGCAATGGCAGGGAGCCTGAGGTTTGGGGTGCATATATGCATACATACGATAGTTTCGGATACAATTGCTGTGTCTCTGTTGTAATTACATACTCAGGAGAGCTGTACAGTCATATTTCCCTTAATAACATCTCACCTACCTACGTACCCGCTATCCCCAAGTCCAAATATTAATACACCGCAGAACATCGCGCGCCACTGTGGCCCAATCTCCTTCCTTCCTTCTCCAATCCAAATTCCCGGTCCCAGGTCGACGAACTTAGCTGTGCCACCCACCGCAGTGGGCCACACCAAAACTCACCTACACACCACCCAGACACCTCAGAGTCACGCTCAAATCCCAGACAGTCTTGTTCCTTGTTTCGACTTCGACTTCGAATATTGAGAGCGAAAGGGGTATACGTATATTTATATTTCAACCTGAGAAAAGGGAAAGTCCATCGACACTGGCAGAAAATGTGATTTGCGATAACTCAAGTGACGAAGTCAACATCGAAACACTGGCAGAGAGATGCCAGAGTCACTGAAATCACTGATCAGGTCCTGGTTGAAAAGCGAGAAGCGGCTTGGAAGTCAAGAGTAAATCAAAAGTAAGTTGAGGAAGGGGAAGAGGAAGAGTTGGGGGAAGAGAGAAATCCAAAGTTGGTTGGTCAAGTACGACAAGTTCGAGTTCAAAAAAGAGTTCGACAAGAAATGCGGTGATGCGAAAATGAAAATGAAAGCCGAGGTCAGGTCCAAGCGCCCCCTCACCATAAACCGTAGAGCATACGATCATGATGAGAGAGAAACAGAGAAACATAGCGCGAAGACCATGATCATCGGCCGAGACGTCCGAAAGGGAAATATGCAGGAAAAACAAGATAACGCGACTGACTGCTGAAGCTGAAGAATTGACGAGGTGCAAAAGAACGAAGCGAAGGAACAAGAAAGAAGAAGAAAAGAAAAAAAAGAAGGAATAAGAAAGAATAAGAAGAAAGCGTAAAGACAGAAACGCATCAGTCAGTTCGAACGAATAAGTTATAAGTAGTAACGCAATGCGCATGCGTAATGTAGCATCATCGTCCTCTCCTTCTCCTCTCCCTTTCCCGTATAACTCTACTGTAACAGTATCTACGACCGTCTAGAGTCCAAACCACTATGAAGCAATATGCAGCCCCTTCGCAGTCATCGGCGGCGAATCCAACGAGGGCGGTGGACTGGGGTACGAATCATGAGGCGACAACGTCCCCTTCGCACCCACACCCGCCGACCCCACGAACCCCACCGGACTCCCAACGCTCGGCGGTGGCGGGACCGTAATATGGAGGTTCGCAGCGGCCGGATGGTGCGCATGCCAATGATGCGAGTGCGAGTGCGTATTCGAGTGATTGTGACCGTGCGCGTGCGAGTGTGAACTTGAAGGGTTGAACGGGGGCGGGTCATTGTAATAGGTCTGTTGTGGCTGAGGTTCATGCAACGGTGCGTTCGTCTCCATACGTGTTCGCGCACCATGTCCGGTCCCGTTTCCGTTAGGCGAGAACGCAGGCGGATGCGCAGAAGACGGGGACGAAGAAGTCGGTTGTGCTAACGCCATCGTCCGTCCGGACGCCAAACTGACGCCCATCCCATCCAACTGCAGCCCCTCCGTCTCAATCCTCATCCCTCCAATCCCCGGTCCACCTGTCCCTCCAATCGTTGCATACTCCGGCTCCGCCGCCGCCAACATCTTCTCATCTTCCCACGTACTCGGCAACATCCCCTCCCTCCTCGCCTCGACTCCCCTCCTCTTATTCTCTCCCTTCTCCACATCTCCCTTCGCTTCATTATACATCCACAGTCCGACGGCAGCTAAAGCGATCCCGAGCCCTTGAATGGGATGTACGTCCTGTGCGAACCAGACGAAGGCCATGCAAATGACTGCGACGCGCTTGATGAGCGAAGCGATGGAGTACGTGACGGGTGAGACGGATGCGAGGATGATGAATGCGATGATGTTCTGTGCGAAGTGGACGGTCCCGTTGGCGATAAAATAGAACATTACAGAATGCGTAGACGTGTGTGCGTGCGAAGGGTGCGTGACATGGTCGGGGTCGGAGGACATGGCGAGAAGCGCTGACATATCGGTGTAGAGCCATATGGGGATCATGAGGAGGAATGCCATGAAGGAGGAGTAGAAAAGCAGGTTTAGTTTATCGAGCTTTTGATGGTGGTGCGAGTCGGCGTGGCTGTTGGTCGTGGGCATGATCTTCTTGAAGAAGATGTTGGAGGTGACGAAGACGATGGCGGAGCCGAAGGCACAGAGGAGGCCAGTAGTGTTCGATGCTGTCATGTCAAAGGTACAGGCGAGCATGACGCCGGCGGTAAGGGGGAGTAGGGACATGTACGTCCTTGGGGTGTAGCGCACGCCGAACAGGAGGGCGTAAGCGGCCACAGTGAACAAAGGAGATAATGCCTGGAACAACAACGGAGGACTTGTAAGGACGGCGATAAGAACATGGTACGGATGTAAGGCGGATAGCTCTACGGCGCTCAAAGCGTCTGTGGTGTTTCGAACAAGAACAGATAAGACGTCTAAGACTTCCCATCCTCGTCTACATTGGAGTAAACCATTGCTCAAATCGGCAAGGGGATACATTGGACTGAGTTCGACACGTATAGCCTTTCCATAGTCGTGGAAACCAACGAACGTCATCCCTGGCGCTGTCGTCTATTCCAGCGCAGGTTGTACGGCCGCATCTATCACGTTAGAATGCAGCAAAAAAAGCCCTCGGATGTATCTGTGCCCCGCAGAGACAACAACCCGCTTTTGTATGGGTTGATCGAATCGAAGGCCAAAGAAGAACTGATAGGAAGAGGAGAAACAGCGGAGAATAACGCACCTTAATCGTATGCACAGTACTGACCGGAATCCTCGAAATCGCCATACTGGAAAAGATATGTCCCCCAACCTGGAACAACCCCATCGGCAACGTATCCGTCAAAATCCTCTTCGTCGGTCTCCTCAGCGTCGTGAACCTCACGACAGGTGACATGAAAAGCAAACAATACCCGGCTACGAACCCGAACTGGACGAACGTAAGCGAGACGGGGTACTTGAACTGATTGAGTATCTGTTTCCCGGTGTTGGAGGACAATGCGGAAGAGGTGTACCAGAGACTACAGAGGAAGACGAAGCGCATCGTTTCGGGTGAGGGCATGGTGAACGAGGTCCTGGCCGGCAGGGTGGAGATGCTGCTCCTGATGGTCGACGAGCGAAGTAAGGGCCGAGATTTCTCAGAATTGCTGTCCCGTCGGGGCGTGGACGCTGTGAGGGGCAGAACAGAGGACGACGGCCATACTTTCTGTGCGGATTTACTGAGGCGGCCGAGGAGGGAATCGTTGGCCGTGGAGAGCTGTGAGCGTGATGAATCCCATCGCTGTGCTTTGTGGTCGTCTCTCAGATGGAGAGTCGAGCTCAGCGTCGTGTGCGTTTTCGAGGCGGGCCAAGACATATCCCGAGTCTCTTCCAGGTCACTGGTGGAAAAGAAAAAGAAAGTGGGGAAGAGTGTGGGTCCAGCAATCAAGGCCTGAGCATATGAGGGAGGAGCGCTGAGACAACACCTCTTTCTTGATTTCCTCACTGCCTGCCCATCCTCGGCTCCACACCGCCGCCGGCCCGCCTCCCCAGTTCAACTTGTTGCCAAGCGTGGGCCACCGCCACTCGCTCATCCATCTCCATCTCACGCCGAGGAGAAGCATTTAAAAAGAATATACGATTTGGCTATACTACTGTTAAAAATTCAGACGGGGAATACATGCATGAAATATGCAAGAGAGGAAGAGAGAGAGAGCAAATCAAGTGCGTCGTGTAGTGCTAATAAGTAGGTAAAAAGTAGTGAGAGGAGACAGGCAGAACACGGGCAGTGTCAGAACCAAGAACAGTACAGTACAAATGGCCATCATGACAGACCGAGCATTCGCACAGCGACGGGCTCGGATCATAGGCTGGCCGGATGGGGGAATAGTGTACTGAAGGTCACATAATATAATACAGAAAATTACAAGTATTGGATGGGTTGGTTGATGGAAAGAGGCAAGAATGAGGATTCGAGAGTCAGATGAGGTGAAGAGAATAGAAAGAGACGGAGACGGAGAGAGAAGGAATGTCAGTGAGAGATATACTGTGATTAAGAATATACTGCACAGATCAAGGCGTGGATTAGATGCGGAGAAGAAGATGTCAGAAATCGCAACAACGAAGGTGATGATGACGAGACGAGAACGAGCGAGCAGGGTGATGGATCATGTTCAGATGCAACGAGACAAGTACTAGGGTATCGTGAGTCTACTATCAGTACAGGGTGGGTGACACTATGCTAGTCTGTGGCGGTACGAGGCTTTCATTATACTTAGCGGAGCGCGAGTCGACGACGATTAGTTCACAACGGATTATCGATATAGCGGAATCAGGTTCGTTCGTTGCGTTCTTGCCTTTGCGCGCGCACCAGCGAGCTTGTCGATCGACGCCAACAGGTCTGCTCGCCGTAGTGGTTCTACAAAGGACGCCAGTCAGCGCCAAGACAGATTGTCCGAAAGCCGGAGATACTCACTGGTAATGTGGTCGTCCATGCCCTGCTTGAGACAACGTTCACGGTCACCAATCACTGCGAAGAAAACATATTATCAGATGAGGGTAACACGACAAATAAGGGAGGATGACGTACTAGCATGAGCGGTCAGAGCAATGATAGGCGTCCGCGTAAGGTTATTCTCGTCCTCGTAGACACGAATCAACTCCGTGGCCTCCATACCACCCATGAACGGCATCGACACATCCATCTAAAAGCCTCAGCCTCAGCACTCATCTTCCAGCAAAACGACAAAAAAAAAGCCCTCACAAGCACGATATCATACGGCTTCCCTCTCCGCACCCTCGTCTTGAACTTATCCACCGCAATCGCCCCGTTGTCCGCAATCTCGACATTATGGTTCCCATGCTTCTGCAACATCTGCACCGCGATCGTCTGGTTGACCGTGTTATCCTCCGCGAGCAGGATTCTGTAAGAAGTATCTTCAGCGGCGGTGACCGGGTTGACCGTACTCGATTCTAGGGCGGACGTTAGGGCGGAGGCAAGGTCCTGCTGCGTCACAGGCGCGGTGACCAGCGCGGTAATACTGTTGTCGAGGCACCATTTGAGGTTAAGTGGGAAGACGCCGTGCGACTGGAGTGAAATTTGTTTGTTAGTCCAAAAGGATAGGAGCGGAGACAAGAAAGGGGCGGACTGGAAGTATACGCACAGGAGCCATCAACACGATCGGGATGTAGCGCAGGTGATTGAGCTCGCGAACTTGCACGGTCTACATAGAAAGAAGAAGTCAGCACCTCCGCACCTCTCTGGAAAAGCAACTGCGACATAGCAGAAAGGGAAAGAAAAAAGAAGAAAAAAAACTCACCACCTCAGCCGAATTCGTCACAATCGTATCAATATGCGGACAACTCTTCTTATCCTTCAACGTCAACAGATCATGCACCACATGCGCCGTCAACCCCAGATCCTCAATGTATCTCGTGATCCCCGTCGTGTCGAAGTTTTTGTCGAGGAAGAGCACCGTCCGGTTTTGGAACGGCTCCATCTTCGCCCTCAGCGACTCGAACTCCATGCTCCCGATCTGCGACGTGATGGTGAAGAAAAACTTGGATCCTTTCCCGACGTCCGATTCGACCCACATGTTGCCTTGCATCAGGTATGCGAGACGTTTGGAGATGGATAGTCCGAGACCTGTGCCTCCGTATTCCTGCGAAACGACGAGAACTTGTTCAGGATGTGTTTGAAAGACAGATGAAAATTGAGCACGTACCCTCGTCGTCGACCCATCTGCCTGCGCGAACGTGTCGAAAATGAGGTTCAACTTATCCTTCGCGATACCGATACCCGTATCTTGCACACAGAATTCCAACGTCACAGCCTCATCATCCAACGCAAGCAGCCTACAGTTCAACGCGACCAATCCCTCTGGTGGTGACCTCGTCGATGGCGTGAACTTTATGGCGTTGCCGACGAGGTTAGTGATGACTTGACGGAGCCTCAGCGAGTCGCCGATGAGAAGATCCGGGATGTCTGGGTCGATGTCGAAGGTGAGGTTGATGTTGTTCTGGGTGGCGCGGACAACGAGAGTTTTGAGGATACCAAAGACGGTTTGGCGGAACGAGAAGTAGACCTGCTCCATCGTCATCCGTCCGGCTTCGACTGTGCAGGAACGCTGTCAACTTCGATCCAGAGGAACGAGAGCAAGAAACGACGGACTCTTCGAGATATCCAAGATGTCGTCAATAATCAATAGTAGTGACCGTGCCAGACTGTGCACTAGCAACAAGCTCTCTCGCTGACTGGATTGCAGCTCGCTGTCTAGCGTCAACTCGGTCATACCGATGATACCATTCATTGGCGTCCTACACGACACACAAACACCCTGCATCAGCACGACACGCACAAGAAAACCTTGCAACAAATGAACCCACCTGATCTCGTGTGACATGTTGGCCAAGAACTCCGATTTGCTCTTATTCGCCAACTCGGCAGCCTCCCTTGCAGCCGTGTTCTTTTGGATACTGTCCCGCAAGTTGAACACCATCTGATTGATCTGCGTCTTCAACGAGTCCATCTCTCCGCTCGCCTCGACGGTGATGAATCTTGTGAAGTCTCCATCCATAGCCGCGGCCGAGATCTGTGCGAAACCACGGACTTGAGTCGTCAAGTTTCCTGCCATGGTGTTCACGGACATGCTAGAATATAAATCAGCGTTAGCTTCCAATTTCGGGTATGTATATAAAGAGAGGGTAGGGGGAGAACGTACGTGATTTCTTGCCAGATACCCTGCACGTTACCGACCTCGGCTTGGACACCTAGTTTACCTTCAGTTCCGACCTCACGAGCGACCTTCTTCACTTCGGAAGCGAAAATGGACAATTGGTCAATCATGGTGTTGATGGTGTTAACTAGCTCCAGCATTTCTCCGGAGACGGGCACGCCGGTGACCTTCTGCGTCAAGTCTCCTCGGGCGACAGCAGTCTGTGAGAATTGGGGTTGTGAGCGATGAAACAAATGAGTGCGGGAATCGACTGACGGTAGCAACTGCGATAGTTCGCACTTGGGTTGTCAAGTTCGCAGCCATGACGTTGACATTGTCGGTCAAATCCTGTTCCAGGAAGGCAGGCAGACGTGGCGCGTCAACAATCATATCCCCACATTGCGAGCGAAGTATAACATACCTTCCAAGTCCCCCTCACGTTCGCGACATTGGCCTGTCCGCCCAATCTTCCCTCCGTCCCGACTTCCCTCGCCACCCTCGTCACCTCGTCCGCAAATAGACTCAAACTCTCCGTCATCCCGTTCACCGTTGCTTTCAAATCGAGCATCTCACCCTTCACATCGACTTCGATCTTCTTCGTCAAGTCACCGTTGGCTACAGCCTTGGTAACCTGTGCGATAGAGCGCACTTGGTCCGTCAAGTTCATGGCCATTAGGTTGACATTGTTCGCCAAGTCCTGTATACACGCAAAGAAAGCATTGTCAGCACATGCAAGTCGTTCCGCTAGGGCGGCTCTCAACAAAGACAAAGGAAGATCCATACCTTCCAAGTTCCTTGTACGCCAGGCACGACGGCTTGACCACCCAACTTTCCTTGCGTGCCGACTTCCAACGACACACGAGTGACTTCATCGGCGAGAATCCGCAATTGCAGCACCATAGAATTGACAGTCGACTTGAGCTCTAGCATCTCGCCCTGTACGTCGACATTGACCATCTGATCGAGGTTCCCGTTCGCGACCGCCTTCGTGACTTCCGAAATCGAACGAACTTGGTTCGTCAAATTCGTGGCCATTTTCTTTACACAAAAAAATCACAGGACGAAGTATAAAAATGATTGTCAGCGCTCGGACGTGCATTTGAAGAGAAAATGGAGCGAAAAGGCAGAAAAATACGCACGTTGACATTCGTCGTCAAATCGGCCCAAGTTCCCTGCACACCCTCGACCTTCGCCTGCCCTCCGAGAATACCCTTCGTCCCGACATCCAACGCCACACGCGTCACCTCCGAAGCGAACTCGCTCAACTGGTCCACCATGGAATTCACCGTCGTCTTCAACGTCGCCATCTCTCCCTCTACCGGAATCTCGATCTTGCGCGTCAAGTCTCCCTTGGCTACGGCAGTCGTGACGACGGCGATGGAGCGCACTTGATCCGTCAAACTCGAACACATCCGATTGACCTGTGAAAATATTCATGAAAACGTGGTCAGAATTAATATCGGGTATGAAGTAGGGAAATATGGAAGACATACGTTGCGAGTCAAATCGAGCCAAACACCTTCGACGTCTGGTACGTGCGCTTGACCACCCAAAACACCTCGCGAACCGACCTCAAGCGTGACACGGGTAACTTCCGACGCAAACTCGCTCAACTGGTCCACCATGGAGTTAACCGTCGTCTTCAAAGTCGCCATTTCTCCCTCCACGGGAATCTCGATCTTCCGCGTCAAGTCACCCTTCGCCACAGCGGTGGTGACAACGGCAATCGACCGCACTTGATCCGTCAAACTCGAGCACATGCGGTTAACCTGCGCAATGTGGCGTGAGTGCCTATTTAATGACGGGAAAAGGTATTTGACGCAGAAACAACTCACGTTTCGGGTCAAATCTAACCAAACACCCTCGACGTCCGGTACATGTGCTTGACCACCCAAAATACCTTGAGATCCGACCTCGAGGGTAACTCGTGTGACCTCAGACGCGAACTCGCTCAACTGATCCACCATGGAATTCACCGTGGTTTTCAACGTCGCCATTTCGCCCTCCACGGGAATTTCGATCTTCCGAGTCAAATCGCCCTTGGCCACAGCGGTCGTGACCACCGCTATAGACCGCACCTGATCTGTCAAGCTAGAACACATTCGATTGACCTGCACACCGTAAAGTCCCAAACGTCGGGTGAGCTAAACGTTGTCACACAGGCACAAAACCTGAGAAAAGGAACGGAGAAGAAAACCTACGTTTCTTGTCAAATCTAGCCATACGCCCTGGACGTCCGGTACGTGTGCCTGACCACCGAGTACTCCCTTCGAACCGACTTCCAACGTGACTCTCGTTACCTCGGCTGCTAGCGCTCTTAGTTGTACCACCATTCCGTTGACCGTATTCTTCAAATCGAGTATTTCTCCGTTCGCGTCGACCGTGATTTCTTGTGACAAGTCGCCCATAGCTACTGCTTTGGTGACTTTGGCTATACTCCGGACCTGGTTTGTCAAGTTTGCGGCGAGATTGTTGACGACGTTGGTGAGTTCGCGCCAGGTACCACCGACGTCCAGAACGACGGCTTGGCCTCCGAGTTTTCTATTGTCAGGAGTGTAGATGTGAGTACAACGGCGCGGAGTTCCGATGAGTAACTGGAAAGGGGAAACGGAGAGAAGCGAGGGCATCCAGTATTAAATAAGGGCAAACAACGCCGAGCATACGGGATGGAAATGCTTCCGAAACCGGACAAGGGGAGACGATAACGTTCAGATAGTTCCGAAGCGTTCATGCGACTGAGGCGACACCGGGAGCGTACCCGTATTGCCTGAGATGGTATGTGGTACTTCGGCATGTCGGACAAAAGAAGCCTCGCGGGACAACAAGATGAAAGGGCTTCAAAATATTACTGAGGACTCACCCATCTGTTCCGACTTCCTGGCTGACACGAGTAACCTCCAGAGCAAATTGGGCAAGCCTGTCAACCATGGTGTTGATGGCGTTCTTGAGCTGGATCATGACTTGGCCTTGTACTCGAACCTCGATCTTCTGTGAGAGATCACCGTTTGCGACGGCCGTACAAACCCGAGCAACATCCTGAACCTGTTGCTTTAGTAGTGAAAGTTCGGTGACGGCATCGATACCACTCTCAAAGGCAGCAGCCATGAGAGGACCATCTGGAGGGACGATATCGGGAGAACCTGAGCGTTGGCCGACGGGGGAGGGAGTGTGGAAAGACCGGGGGACTTGCATTACCCTGCCGCAAGACTGGCAGGTGGGAGGTGGCGGGGCGGAAACGGTGCGTTCGGGCTTAGACCTGTGAGGATCGCGAAGATTATGGCGAATGTAATCGAGAGAAGGACGGGACGAGTTCGAGGGCCAGTGAGGGTCAATATCCATATCGTCGTCTGAGGGGCGGTGGTGAAGGCCGTTCAGGCCGTTCGCGTGTACCATCGTGGCATCGACGTCAGTCGATCTGACGACGGCTGGTACGGGCCTTGGCTGGTGAATCGACTGATAGTCAAGATCAGCGGAGGGAGGAGCGACCTGCTGGGGAGATTGAGGCTTGAAAAAAAAGCAGCGACGAGTGGGTCGAGCCGAGGGACTTACACTGCGTCGCTTCTTTGTATCGGGGCCTCCGACTGTCCAGGTATGGGCAGCTTTGTAGGCAGCAAGCTCGTCCTCTGCAGTGTACATTCTCCGTACAATGGAGGAGATCATGCGGAGGATATCGCTGGTCTGGGTGTCGGCGGGGCCATCGTAGAGAGGGAGAGGGGCGTCGTGGGCGCCGGTCTGGTAGACGGACAGTAGGCTGTCTAGGTGGTTGATGAAAGGGTGTGTGGGCGAAGCCACAGCGGCCGTCATTGTGGGCGACGACGGTGGCGAAAACGAGCGCGACGGTTTGCGCGGTGAGCTCGTCCGCGGTGGCTTTCTTGAGGGCTCGGGATAAACACTCGGGGGAGCGGACTCCGGAGCAGATGCGGCTTCGGACCTCGTTGGCTCACACGTGCTTCGCCCTCCGCTCCGATCTTTAGGCTTGACGTTTCATTTACGTATTTCAACCGCCCCCTTTTATTGCCCCCGTCTCCCCGTCCTCCTCCTACGGCTTCGCTTCCCAGGAAATTCATCTGCTTTGCCGCAAAGCGTATCTTGTCCAACTACCCCAGCTCTCCGCATCTCTATGTCTCCTCTCGCGATGGGAAAACAGGTACGGCAGTCATCGATGTCAAATCGACGATCATGAACGCTGATGGCCTCGATGTCGAAACAGGACAAGCACCTCCCGCACCGCGGCGGCGATTTCTGACGCCAGAAAGAATTCTCACCCCGGGAAGTCGCCTACTTTGAAAGCTTATCTGACGGAAGCTGGCTATATTATTTCTCACAGGGGTTGCACCAGCGCCATGATGCTATCATGTGTTACCTGGGTCGGTCAGCGGATCACTGAATACTAGTACTTTATAGCTTGAGAGCCTTTTTCCTCTGGGCAAGCAGTCATTCCGACCAAGGCTTCTGACCCACGGTTGCCCCATCCGTGCGTGGTACACAACCTGTACATATGACCCCACTCAATCCCTTGCCGCGCACCGGAACATCGCCACCCGAGGAGGTAAGCATGCTATCCTTCTCATCAGCAAATCAGTTGCGTACGTGTATTTGCAGTGACGTTGATATCATCGCCAAGTGCCCCAGTAGCACGCCCTCGTGTCCGTTTTACTATAACAACGTCGCCGTGCGGTACCGTCCCTGACGCCGCTGCAGAGCAGGTTACAAGCATTTCGCTCCACAGCGTCTGCAACAAAATGCTGCCGATATCGCAGTCCTGCACCCATGAGGGTCACGCAAGGAATACTCACGGCGCGAATAATGGGGCCCCTTCAGCACGTTGAGCCTGCTGTTGTTTTCTCTACAAATCCTGACGCTCTCAGACCGCACGGTGCGTCGGTGCGTCCTGATCGTGTTCCCTTACACGATCGCGTACGCAAACATTTACCCCAGACTCCGATATATATAATTGCTTAGCCCCTGCAGCACCACTCCGCCGTACTGCGCTTCCCCCTTCGAACAGCCTCCTCCGCCGCACAAGTGAAGCATGGTCATGCAGGGTTTGAATTATATGTAGGCGGCCATGGCATGGGTAACTAGTACCTTCAAGTTCCCGCCTCCATCTCGCATCCTAAGCTCATCTCGGATCACGCTCGATCTCGCTAACCTATTTTTCTTTGCTGTTTCTTCTCCTCATCACTCCGGAACAGGCTTCCTCCCGGGTGCTCCACCGATTGGGTACGCGAACTTTGTATCATAAAAGTGCCACACCGTACACTGGTTACTCTTCCCTGCCGTACACCTCTCGTAAAGATACGTGCTCAATTCGGGCGGACGAACCGTGCGTCATCGTCGCTCGCAGTGACACAGGTCTGACCGATTTCGAACCGCAAAGCATCGTGTCGAGCGTACGATACGATAGCAGCGGATGGACCCCAGGTCCCCGCTACAAAACAATTTAAATTCACGACGAGCGGAAGTAAACCATGAGTACCGGCATTCCCACCAAGCGCGATGTCCATTGCAAATTGTCGGACTTTGAAAGCTGCCGGGCAAGCCGCATGTCATTTCGACGTGGGCCACCGGAGAACTCACCGAGTTGGCTGGGTGGCACCTATGTGTGAGACCATTGCACATTTTACTCAAGGTACACCATCCCATTAAATCTCATAAAATCTGAAATATTACTTTACATATATTTACTTCATTTGGTTGCGATGGAATTCTTGCACTCTGCTCGAGTGATTTGATATGAGGGTAAGGTCTGTCGTGTAGCTCGTTCACGCTGAAATTAAAACATTCTGTCGCAACCAAATGAAAGAAGCATAGTTTATATTATTTTATATGTAGCCATCTTAGATGTAAATATGCATACCATCGCAGCATTTTGGTTTGCGTGTTCACAAGTGACGGGCCAGCAGCCACTCGGCAGCTCGGCAACGGGAGTAAGCGAGACGCGTCACGGCGGACTTTGAACCTGCTCGCAAAGGGTGAGCGCCGATACTCATAAACCATTATCCCATTACATAAGACACATTTGGTGGATAAACAATGACGGCGACATCCGTACACCACTTCCACGAGTTGAAATTCTCCAAGGACGACGCTTACGGTACCTTCGCTCCAACACCCTGGCGATCTCGGACTCCGATTGCGACAGCCGGTTTCCATGCGACTAACTTAGCGACTATTAAAGGGAAGGCGTACACTCCGAGGGGCGGCTGACGATGCAAATCATTGCTAAGTTATCGATACGCCGAATTTCGGATGCGGATAGGGACGAGCAGGGAGGGATTTCTCAGCGCGGTGATAGGTAATTTCCGTGTGTTTCGCCGCTGTTTGGTTGGAGCGCGGGATTCAGACAGGAGTGACACAGCGAAGCTCGCATAGACTGCCCAGTCGGGCCAGCGTTTTACAAGCTATAGCGATTTTTTATTTTCCAACTGCGTAGGGAAATAGGTTGGCCTGGAGGGGATTCGTTTGACTTCCTCCCCATAATAAACCAATGATGGTGCTTCGAACCAGACGAAAGTTGACCGGTGAATATTTAGGAGTCACGATATCAAAAATCTGTCCCAAGCCAACATACGTATGAGCTCCACCCCACTACCGGATGCAAAGCTGTTCGATGAGACCGACTATACGGCGTGTGATTTGTGCTCGACCGGAGTCAGAGGGCTTGGAATGTGCGCCACTTTGCCTTCAAACCGCATGCCTCCGGCGCGGGATATCACGGTTGTTGTATTATGCATAGGCCCTTCCCTTATGCTGTTTCTCGCAAAACTTTTACGATACTTAGTTGTGTCACAATGTTCTTAATCCTCGGTGAGCTTCCATAAATCTCCTGATGTCTATCAGTGGTAGATTCACAAACAATTCAAGTGGTACTTCTATCATTGTGGACCACTAGTCCGACACGTCCTCGCGGGGACCAACTAATAGTTAAACACCACACTACACCTACGATCGTATGCAGTACACGGTAACGGTGGCGATCACCTTGGGCCAGCGGCGAAGTTGTGCCGCAGTAAACGGCGTGTAGTAAACAGAAATATCGGAGAAGGGTAAACGAATGTGTAAGTACTCGAGTATAATCCGGTAGGATGGTGCGTAGCGATGATAAATAAATTTGATGTGTAAAGTCCATCGATCTATAATCCCAAAAGAAAAGCACGTAAAACAAACAGAAAACCTTTGAGTATTCCAGTAAGTAGTGAGCGTCCGATATCGCAAGTATGTAGAACAACTATCAAAATAAAACACAGTCTCTGTATGATCTAGCACGAATCAACGAGCGAAACCAAAGGGTATTGCAACCTAGACGTCGGACTCGAAGCGTTTCATCTTGAAAGGTTCTTGGACTTGAGAGTATACATCGTCGTCTTCTGGGTGTGGTGCGAGGAGCATACCGGGGTGGAAGAAGTTGAGGGTGAAGATGGCGCAGACGATCATAGCGGCGTCGAAAAAGTCTGAATGTCAAGTGTCACATTGAGATACCCATGGTCAATATCATACGACATCAGGATGGTGAGAGAAAGAGAGGGACGCACTGAACAACCACTGCGTCTTCATGACAGGTCCTCCCCATCCATCTGCGAGTTCGATGATACGATAGATCGCACTACGCACGTAAAGCAGCATGAGGGACCGTCGTAATGACAATAAAACGACTAAGGCAGAATACGCACCGGATGAACAAGAACATTGTCATGATCACCAGCCCCCAGAGCTGTATCTTCAACCGCTTCGTCAGAGGCACAACAACGTAAGATCCACTGCCCTCCCGTCCAGGGAATGGCCGGTCCTTCAAGTATCGAGTGACAAACTCGATGCCGAGGATAGAGTAGATGACGATCGCGACTACATGTGGGTGAAACAGTCTATGACTCAATGACTGATGGCTGCAAGGTAATCGAAAATCGGAGGAGGAAGGCGTACCTGACTGAAAGATTATACCGACCAACATGATATCGGAACCCATTTTGCTTTTAGATTCTGTGGTAGCTCCAGAAGCGATTCCTCCACCTCCTCCTTGTATGAAGATAGCAATGATATCCTATGTCGACCAAGCCATCAGCCTAGGGCGGGAAAGACTGGACGCTGCATCATGAACGTACACAAGCAAGGAAAATCTTCGTATCTAAGAGGATAGGACCAAAGTATTAAGTACGACATGAGGGGTACATGATGAGGGCTTGGACAGAAAAGAAGACTTACACCATCTAGCTCTCAAACGGCTATACCGATCGCCGAGACGCATGATAATGCGGCCAAGAATGATGAAACATACAGCGAGCAACGGTGTTGGGGCGAGAACCGTTGCAGTGGACCTAAAGTACCAGCCAGCGCATATAAGTAACGGTGTTATTAACTCATAGACAGCACAGTCGAGTACTTACTGTATAATATACCACTTCTTGACTGTGGGGTCTGAACTGCTCTTGAAACGGGCATACCATCCGGCGACTTCCGCCACACCACAGAGAATAGCGGTGGGCCACACGAACCAGACGCGGTATCGGACGGATTGGAAAACATGTAATCCTGAAGACGAAACCGAAAACGAAATAAGAACGACAAGGTTGTGACATGCAGAAGTCTGGAAGAGATGATTTGGTGCGGTGCTCACCAGACGAAGTCGCGAACAAAAGCATAAGTATTATAGTGACGGATTTGGTTGGGGTATACCCATACAGATTAGTGGTGTCTGTAGTATCACCTAACAATCGCGAAAATGCATCAGCTCTGAGCACAGATAAATCGGGTTGGGGGAAGTTCTGCTCACTCATGATCACAAGCGTCAAGATTGAGATCCCGAGAAGTTCTAGGATGAAGAGGAGGTGAGAGAGTCGGAAGAAATTTTTTGTTTGTCCGTCGATTCGTCTCAGCGTAAAGGAGGAGAAAATGCCAGGGCTAAGTAAATTATGAGCGAATCAGACAAAAGAAAGATATATGAAAGAATGAGGAGGATGTGAATGTATGAACAGAACAACACGTCCACAGCTAGTGGACTATTTAACATCTCGCCTCTCACGACGCGTTTCCTTCCCGCACAGGATTACCGTCCCAAAGCGGGCCATATTTTGCCATTGTGGCGAGGCAGAAAAGGAGTAGTCATCTCCTTTTACGCCCGGCGGCGATTTTGAACCCGAAAGGTCGAGACGCACTCACGGGGTACAGCCACCGAGGGACACCGATCGTTCAACAGCTTGAGTTTATTGCCGGATTAGGCTCATAATGCAACGTCGTCAAGCGTCGAGCACAGCCTTTCAGGTCGGTAGGCCAAATCCAGTGCACGGAAACGGGAGAGAAGTGATCTGTATTCTTCGCTCGTTTGCTCTAAGATGGTTGAACAACATTGAAAGCGTGGAATTGACAATTACGTCGCGATGGCGATGATAAAACAAGGAAAATACTAGGAAATGAGACAAAGGACATGTTTAGACTTTATCGAAACCGATTCGTACCATGCATGCAATCAGACCGCCGCATCTTGCGCGTAGAGACCCTCTGATCCTCCATCTCCACCACTACCAGCCACCGGCATCTGGTTCATCCCCAACATGTTCGTAATATATGCGTCCCAGTCTTCGCCCCTATTGGTAGAGGTGTCATCATCGACAAAGATTGTGTTAGTCATTGTTTGATTTTCGGGCGTACTAATACGGCCGAAAATAAGGGGTCTACCGAAAACTCACTCAAATCCAGAAGGCACATTCGTCCACATACTCATGAAATCGTTCCCATCCGGCTCACCCATCCTCATCGGCATTCCTGAGTCCGATCCCAAAGGCATACCCGCAGTCCCATGTGTATGTCCTTGACCCTGCATCCCTTCGCCAACATTGTTACCGACCTGGGGACCATAGTGCTGAGACTGAGGCAGTGACGACGAGGAAGCGCCATTCCCTAGTATCGTATCAAAATTGAACAAATCGTCCATCTCAATGCCGTTCCCCGCCTCTCCTATTCCAACCCCGCTTATATACTGTCCTCCTTCTCCGTTTGCGGATATCGCTGGCATAGTTCCCCAACCAGAGCCGGAAGGAACAAAGGAAGAAGAAAAGTCGAAGGAAAGTTGAGGCTCGGTGTTCGTCTGCGAATATCGCTGGCCATCATGGTAGTTCGGCAGCCGCGCGAGATCATCGCTGTGCGTTGGCAAAGTCGACTGTTGATGTGGCTCCGGGGTGAACGACGGCGACGAGAAAGACGAAGGATTGTGGATGCCTGCATTGTACGGCGGTGAAATATCTAACGAGGACGATGCGGACTGATGGCGAGAGTAACGCTGCCGATCTATGTTGGATCCGGTTTGGGGTGACGAGGACGAAGCTACAGCGTTATGAGGCTTATGCTGAGCACGTCTTGTGCCTGCATATTGACGCGAACTATCTCCCGGTGAAACAGAGGAATCAAGCGGATAACTCCCAGATGAGCTGAAGGGAAGCGGATCGGGGGGAGAACCAGGACTATCGATATCTCTGCTTCGCTTGGAGGAGGGCGGTGGGGGCGGTAGAGGAAGATCTCCAACGGAGACGAGCTCACACAAGACATCCCTAGAAACATTGACGAGACGATTGATGTCAATTTTGAGAATTTACACACGAAAAAGTTATGTATTACCAGGATCTTCCGGCGGCATAAAACCTTATCATCAGAGCAAGTAAGTTAGACGGGAAGACTAGCCAGTAGAGACGGAGGAAACAGACATACCTATTCTCGTACGACTTGATGGCCTGCATGGCCTTATGGACATCTTGGATCTCTTTCGCCGGGTCGATCGCGAATCCCGCAAACTTGGCACCCCATATGTTCAGCAGCAGCACCAAGGCAGCCGTAAACGCAGGGATCTGGGCATAAAATCTCGTGAGTACACCATTCTGATTCGTATGGGATGGTGGGAGCAGGGGTATGTGCAAAGCTTACCGGGAAGAATGCACTCATGATAGACTTCTCTTTCCTCCGAGCAGTGTCCATGATCCGGATACATGACCTTGCAGCATTGGTACACAAAGCAAGGGAGGAGAACGATAGAGGCGATGCGTCACGAATAGAAGTTATGAAAGGGCGGTGTATGATGATTTGCAAGTTGTAGAAGTTGCAGTAGAGCATTGCAGACTGAGCGAAAAATGTAGAGTCCTCTCGGGTAGGGTCCCATCGCACTGCACCAATGAACAATTCCGGAAGCTGCCGTCAGAAAACTATAAACATAGCGCTGATATTCGAGGGGCACGCACGAAAGTCAGGTACAGAGTCTACCCATTTGTTGAGAGCTGAGTCTAGTTGAGAAACAATGTGTTGTTCCCATTGCGGGCCTACGAAACCCAGCAAAGCCTTTGATTTGTTGATCGAATACTGAAAATACGATATACGTGAACATCAGACTTGTGAACATGTCGGGAAAAAACTCACGATCGTCCTCAGCGCGAAGGCATGGATTTGAATGAGTTTCAGGTACAGTGTAAAATAGCAAACGGTCGACGGCTTCCCCTCAGGCTGCCGAAAGGCCTGGTCAGGGTCAGGCGAAGTCCAGTATTCATCGTCGCATTCTACCGGCATGCCGAGGTCGAAACTGAAATATAGGTTAGCGGGAGTGTAGGCGACGGCTACAAGAAATACCGCTCACTCTTCTTCCTAACGAATGCGAACGAGTTATAAAAATGAGGATACCACGGAAAGAAAGAGGCAGACCGCACTCACTTGTATTGCGCAAGGTCGACCCAGACCGGAGCTGATTTGCCGATCAAAAGAGACCAGATTCCTAAAGAGACCTAGCCATGAGCACTGCAAGTACAACAAGAAGGTGTATGATTCGCACCAGAACGCGCGCTTCCACAGTTCATCCTCAACAGTTGGGTGTGTATGATATACTTTGCGGCGATGAGCACCAACGTCCAGGGACATCCGAACGGCAGTACCGACTAGAGCCCAGCATGTTTGCGGTATCGAGCTGGACTGCAAGAACATAATTGCTAGCTGAGATACATAGTCCAGTGTAAGAATCCTCGTAGACATGGTATGTTCATAGAACTTACACAATGAACTTGTAGATCATACAAGCTCGGGGCGACGAGAAGGGACTTTCGCGTCAGGTCGACTTGACGGAACCATCTCCATCCAGCCGAATGACAGTCGTCAACGCCGTCAAGAAGAACGGCGGGATCGTTTGAGTACCGAGAAGCGGTGGCGCAAACGAGAAGGAAAACCTGACGAAAGCCATCATCCCTTAAGTGGAGACCGTCGGCGATAGCCTGACAAAATGTTGGACGATGCAGGAGAGCAGTGAAGATGTTAATATTTTCGAAATAGAGATCGACGAGCGAATCGAGCAGGTCCGGGGAGGGGAATTCCCATGGATGCAGCCAAGGATCGAACGCGGAGCGTTCCCACTATTCGATATTAGCACGGGTCCATCATGAACGAGAAATGGATGCTCACCGGAATTGCTTCCCAGTATTCTGGACGTCTCATCCTGTTTCCTTGGGATTTGGTTCCAGTATGCCGAGCTTTCAAGTTGAAAGTAGTACGAACTAAGCTGGCGCCACTGGACTTTCCTAAGAACCGATAAAATATCTCAGGGTTCAGTCGCATGTCGTTCAACCGCTCTGTAAGAAACTTTTCGTCGGGATTCTCCTCATCACTGGAGTCATCTCGGACCTTGACGGCCTCAGGGTCTGCAGGACTATTGGGATTAGAGTCGGAGGTGGGAGACACATGGTGGAGGGCTGTCTTGGCCAAGCTAGATGCATCTGACAGAGACCGTGTGCGAGAGGGCCCGGAGACGGTCAGGTTTTTCAAATCTTGTGCTTGAGAAGAATCGCCATCGGAAGGCAGGAGCTGGTCGGAGTACACGCAGGGACTATTAGCGATGAACAAGCGTTAGATCGTCAAAACAACTAACGCGTCCCAACAGCCCTTCCATCTTCTCCAGCCGGCTCTCAAGAGTATCGACATAGCTATTATGATGATCGTAAGTAGGTGCCTGGCGGTTCAAATGATGGTGACTGCATACGCTTTAAGCGGTCCACGTCTCTGCGTGGATGGTCAGCACTTGCTTCAACGCAAGTCGTCTGCTAACGTACCTTCACGGCTATCACGTACGTGCATTCTGAGTTGGTAGTTACACAATTAGAACACCTTGTGTCATTCTGCGGGCCGGCACCGTCGCCTGAAAATAAATGATAGGGGGTCAGGGGACGCTTTGAAAACGAGAGTGGCTCGCCACAAACATCTGGCTAGGGATTGGAAGCAGGTTAGTTACCCATAAGACATTTTATAAAATCAGAACCATACTCTTTCGTTTCCTGCAAGCATCACAGGCGCGATGCACTCGCCTCCTCTTTGGGCCGTCTGACTCCTGGCGGGAGTTGACTGCGGTATCTGATTCAGAGTCTGACGACATGGCTCGACCAAGTTGCCCAGCACAGTCTATCGCAGCAGACCAAGATGAACTAAGAGCTAGCAGAAGACACGAGTGCTGAACACGGAAAAGTAGCGACAAGAGGACAAGAAAGCAAAAAGTGAGAGGGGCAGATTTGAGGAGAGCGGATGCATCGCCACAAATATCCGCGTGCATCGCATTGCATTATTTCTCATTATTTGTGTCCCTTGGCACACGCCACACTGCACTGCTTTGCACCGTCTTTGGCATCAACCACCACGGGCTCGACCCCGCTCGACCTAAGTTATGGGCAGTACATATCGACTCAAGCGCAAGCTCAACGACGAGGGCGTCGAGCTAGGCGGCCGGCGCGCGAATGAGAACTTTTGTTTGGTACATCTTGCATCATTCTTCATGAATTTACCATTCATTTCATTGAACACCGTCAATAGATCGGTACCCCTCTTCCTCCTCTGGAGAAGTCGAAAGACTCAGGAGAGTTCGTACCAGTATGGAAGCAAGATGTAGGTGCCCTGCCTTGAGACTGCGCTTTGATCCTTGTCGACTAAAGGTGGTCTAGGTTCGAGATGAACAAGGGCGAAGGAGGCTGCATGGCGCGTTCACAGGCGGTTTCTCTGCGGGTTATTTCAACACGGTTGGGTCTAAGGAAGGTATGCATATTATATATCTGCAGTCGTCTTAGAGAACCAACGCACCAACTACATCTCAGGATGGACGCCCCAGACATTCGTGTCCTCTCGGAGCGACCGCACGAAGAAGACGGTTGCACGGCCGGAGGATTACATGGATGAGGAGGACCTTGCTGAGCTTCGCGAGAATCAGGTCAAGTCTGGCATTCAGGAGAAGATGGACCTCCTCGGTGGTACACAGGCCGAGCTTGGTCGACTAAGTGGTACGGGTGACGAAGAGGACGAGTGCGTAATAACACCTCATCTTTCACGTGTTATATACTGATTTTGTGCCCCGGGAATACCGCAGCTCTATGACCCGACGTATTGAGCGCACATTAATTACACCGACAAATGATTCTCCTGGTGCTCGGCTTCTCAGAAAGATGGGCTGGCGTCCAGGCCATGGAGTCGGGCCACGGGTTTCCTGGCGGCAAAGGAAGATCCAGGATCTTCATGCACAGGGAAAGTCACTTGAAGGCGTTGACATAGACAAACTCGAAGATGATGAGGAGGCAAAGAAGCACATGTATCCGCCTCGAGACACGCAGGTACCGAAAATCTCGCGGAAGGAAAACGCGTTTGGTCTGGGCTATGTCCCAGGGCTAGGTTTGAATCAGAGTTCTGGTAAGGGTGAAGGTACAAAGAAACAGTCGGGGCCACAACTATCTGGTGCGCCGTTCTGTACCAAGTTTGTTCTCCTCACGATCTGACCCGTCTGTCTGATTCACAGCGGGCTTCGGTCTCGGTGCTTTGAACGACGCGGAAGATGATGATATCGATGTCTATGAGTCAACTGTCCAGGCGGGTAGGACTCGTATGGCCTATGATGCCTCTGATCGGGATGCAGACGACACGATCAGTATTGGGGCTAGCGCAAAACGCAGACATCCTACGGAAACCGCACCTGTACGTATTCCCCTCACTCAACAATGAATATCACCTTACAGCCTGTGTTTTCGACAGGTGGACGCCAACTCTCGTTTCTGGCCAGACGGCACACCTGTTCTGAAGGGTTTCATCCCAGCGTCAAATCCAGTACAGACGTCCCAATGGTGCCTGCTTATTTATTCTCGCGTGGTTTTAAGCTCATTATCTGTGATGACAGGTTTTCTCTCCCCGAAATTCCGAAAGGCTGGAAACCAGATCCGAAAAGGGTCTGGGATAAGGCGAAGGAGAATGTAGCTCCGCCGCCGCCCACAGAAGTTGGCGTAAAAGGGCAGTCGAAGTTGACCGCCGAACAGGTATGCGTTCTTTCGTTCGACCCAAATAGGCTACTCGCATTGTCTGATGTGAACGTCTTGCAGCGTGGCCAGGCTCTCGGAGAGACCCCCCTCCCCTCGGCACCACGTTCCATCTTCGACTACATTTCAGCCAAAGATCGCGAACGAATCCAAAAACTCGCATCCGGTGCCTCCGAGACTGCCCTTCCCCCTCCTCCACCCACCACAACCAATGTCCCCTCCTTCCCATTCACACCTCCCGATGTCGCCTCCGCCGCACTCAAAGGCTACATGCCCTTCCCCTCCGACCCCGTCAAACAATCGCGCTACATCGCCTATCTCCGCTCCCAAGCCGATCCCTCTTCCTCTCTCACGCCAAAACCTCTCCCGAACCAAGCGGCCGACGTATTCCACAAAGAAATGGAAGAGTATGCCAAGAGCGCAGCTCTCTTCAAACCTATGTCAGGTGCCATGGCCGGTCGATTCACGAGCGCCGCTCTCGTAGACAACGGCCCAAAGATAATCGAAGGTCTCTACCAACCCGTGCATCCACCCTCGCCGCCCCCACTCAGCGAAGAAGAAAAAGCCAAGGCCAAGGAACGAGAGCGTCAGGAATTGGCAGAGAAGAGGATGGAGGAGGAGATGGCTGAGGGCTCGAAGGGGCATGCGGCGAAGATGGGGATGTATGGGGCTCTGACCAGGGAAGTCAAGCCGTGGCAGCCTTCGAAGTTGCTCTGTAAACGGTTTGGAGTTAAGGACCCGAATCCGGATGTGAGCACTGAGACGCCTATGCCTGGGGTACCTCCGGCTGCTTCTGCTTCTGCTGCTGGTGCTGGGCCCTCCACGGCTTCGGGGTCACAAGCTCAAGGCGGAAACGGATGGCAGCCTGAACAGGCGTTGGCGGAGGCAGGGATCTCGCTTGAGGAAGCTGGTCTGTCAGAAAATGCAGCATCGGGTTTGGGTGGTGCGGGCTCGAGTAGAAGAGGGAGGAAGGACCTGGAGAACGTGGGTTTGGGAGAAGATGAAGACCAGGGGAGGGATACTCTCACGTATGTGAGACCATCCATGGACGTCTTCAAGGCAATCTTTGCAAGCGACGACGAGGATAGCGGCGATGAAGAGGAGGATGCGGCCGAGACAAAGAAGGAAGAGAGGAGCATGAACGGTGATGAGGATGTGGAGATGAAGGTCGCCGAGTTGAAAACCCCCCCGGTAGCAGGGCCATCAAGATTGAAAGACGGCGATGAGGAACATCTGCCCATGGACGTCGACTCCACCAATGGTTCCAACGCCGCTCACGAGAAAGTGGACCTCGCTAGCTTCAAACCTACTTTCATTCCGCGTGCAGAGCGGGAGACAAAGAAATCGAAGGACAAGAGCAAGGAGAAAAAGCCGAAGAAGAGCAAAGTCATTGTCTCGTTCGACACTGAAGAAGATGGCGGTGGAGGTCTGTCTATTGCACCGAAGAAGAGTAGCGACAAGGACAAGGATGGGGAGAGCAAGAAGAAGAAGAGACGGAAGGACAAAGACAAGGAGCGGGAGAAGGGAAAGGTTCAAGAAGACGATGAGGACATGTGGGTTGAAAAACCGCCACCAGAAGCGGTGAAGACTTTGCAGACCTCGATGGCTCGTTCGGAGAGTCCGATGGTTATCTCTGATTCTGGTGAAGGTCCGAACGCCTCTGGACCAAGAGGGAGGAAGAGGGCCGTGGATTTCATGTAGTTGTACGCTTTGATTTTGCTTGTTCATTGCTATGCCATTTCTTCAGCCTCCAGAGCTGCGATGGGATTCGTGTCACACATATCACCACAGCGAGCCAGCAAACGTCAATGATACAAGTCAATACAAGATGGGTGGAAAATACACCCCAAAACGACAACAGATATGCTATGAACAGAGCGATCGAACCATCAACTTGTCACGTCTACTTGTGCCTCAGCTCATGCCTCAACGGCCATAGGCTCAAGGACAATCGACGAAGGAAGCGGTGACTCTGGCCAATCCAGGGAATCACCATCATCCTGAGTCTGCAGAAAGCCGTTATCAGGAAATCATCGCTCATGAGGCGTTACTTGGGAGGTAGAACAAGCACTCACGTCGTCCGCATTCCCATTTTCCGCAATGGTAGTTTGTTGCGACTCGTCGGTCTCTGGCGGCTCGGCGACCTGAGTCTCCTCTGTCGTCGCATCGACTGCATTCGACTCCTCAGGTTCCGGAGTTCCCGCCACTAGAACTGTCGAAGCCTCGGCGGTAACATTGGCCGCTTCGACCTCGACAGCCGGACTGGCAGACTTCGCCTTCGTGGCTGGCTTACTGAAACCAAATAGAGTTTGCTGTTTGGTCTTGGCTGGTGGTTTGGGTGGAGCTTTCGGTTTCGGTTGACCGTTTGATCCCTCTGAAATATCAAGCAAAGCAGGTCAGCTGTCAGAGAAAGCCACGAAAATCAACAGGGGCAACAGACGCACTCTTTGGTCTGTTGCCCGTCTCTGCGTCTTCGACCTTGTCGTAGAAAGTCTCGCTCTTTTGCAGGGATTTCTGGCGCCCGAATGGATTACCACTTTGTGTCTTCTTAGCGAAGGGATTGTTAGTTTCTAAAGGAACAAAAGCGTGAGCCATATGGTACATTAGGAAATATCGATCTCAGCATCCCACTCACTCAATTTGGTCGGGGCAGGCAGGGTCGTGTCCTCGTCAGCCTGGGTCTGAGTCTGCGTTGGTTCCTCATCCATCCTTCTACGCTTGGCTCCATCCGGCGAGTCAGCGTCAACAACCATTGCATCGTCCTCAGACGTTCCCTTTCGCTTCCCTTCTCCATTCCCTTCTCGACCACGGAGAACCCAACCAGGGCCGTCCTCGTTCTCATTTTTCTTTGGAACAACGATCGGTGTCGCCTTCGCAAGACCCGGTCGATGCGCCGCTGGCGGTGGTGCAAAATCCTGGAGCAGATTCGACCTCCCACCTCTAGAACCATTCGCATCAGCCGGGGGTAATCTCGGCGGCGGAACGGCATCATGATCGCTCGTCCATCTCCTTCGTTTATCTCTGGCCTCGACCAACCGATCTCCATCCTCTCGGTCGTCCTTCAGCACCTGGATCTTTTCCTGCAACCCTGTCTGGCGGTAGAAGATAGCGACTTTGATGGCCATGTCGAAGGAGGAAGTGTGGTGCAACATCCGACAGAGTTCGAGGACTCGGGGGTTACGGTCGGATTTGCAGGCGTTTTGAATGAGCTTGATTATGTCTTTGTCGAGCTCGAGCTCACGTCGAGAGAGTTCGTCGGTGTAGAGGTCGTCACCGAGAGAGTCCAACACCATCTGGATCATCATAGATTCTCGAGCAACACTAAACAGGCAGATTAGACTCATCCATAAAGCGGGCCCTGGTCATGAAAATAAGCACTCACTTCTCTTCAAGGGGTCCTTCTATTGGGTCCTTGCGACGGAAAGGCAGACGCAGAGGTAGCTCTTGAATCAGTGGCCGAGGGAAACTTGGGTGCTCTTGCCGTCCCTACTCACATATATTGTGAGATCATATAACGCAGAATATAAGACGACGGCGCTCACCTTCAAAATCAAGCACATGAATGTATCCTTCGTCACTCCAACAGGCCAATACGACTCGTCTTTGCCCTGCTTCCTTTCCAATTTGTTCGTGTCCAGCAGACGAACCCAAGTGGCACGCAGCGGTATGCGATATCGAGGCATGATATACATCACACCAGCCGAGTCGTACATGACTGGTGCCTACAAGCAAGGGCCTCATTAGCATGAGTGAGGGTGGAAAGGGAGATTACGAACCCCTTCGTCAGAAATACCGATCCATTTCAATGTGAGACCCTTTCGCAGAGGGAGTTTACAGTTCTGCAACACCGAAAGGTCTTCAAAGTCGTACAGCGTGCACATCAAGCTCTGCGAACCTGTGAACGAATGAATAAAGCTCATCAGTCGTCCCGCGCCACCCATGTGGCACTTTCGCCCACACCAGAACATGAGAAAAACCCACCATCCATCGTCGTCGACCCATCCCTATGTACTACAAACACCCACTCCGGTCCCGCCACCATGCTCAAAAAGTCGCCGTTCAAGCCTACCGAACATCTCTCGATCCCACTGCCGCTCAAGAACGTCAGCTCATTCTCACTCGTCGCAATCACCACGTTCCCATTGCCCTGTAAATCTGAGTCCCGTAAAACGCGGTAAGATTTTGTGGGTGCTGGCCCTCCGGCTGCAATTCCTAGGACGTGAACGTCCTCATCGAGTTCGTAAGTCCATTCGCCTTGTGCGGCCCAGATACCGTAGGGCTTGTAGTGTACATGGGCAGCATGTTGACCCTCCGGTGCTGAAGCATAAAGGGCTCCACGCTCGCCTGTAATGAATCGATAAACCTGAGTGTCCTAGACAACTTTAAGTGTATCTGTGTATACCTAATACTCCTAAATGGTATTTGTTGTGGTCTGTGAAGTGGTATGCTTTCCGTGCTGACCGGTCGTGAAATTCGACGTTGACAATGTGGTGTGTATCTTGGTCTGTAACCTCGATAACACCGACCATATTGTATGCTGTTAGAAAAAAAAAGAAATATATCAGCAAAGGTCAGTCAGAGACGATAAATTTATGTACTTAGGTAGCGTTTTTTGTTATCCATAGGCGTCGACCCCGATTGGAAAGCAGGCTGTGCCTTTGTCACACTCACTGAATTGGAAGAAAAAAAAATGAAGTATCGTCAGAGGGTTCTCGGGAGAAAGCAGAAACATAGAATGAGTCCCTACCCATCTCCCTGACAAATCCGCCCCTGCTCTTTTCCTCTCCAGCATCCGCCATTCCATCCCCAACATCATCCAATATCCAGTCGTCATTCGCAAATGGATCGTCCATGTCCACATCGTCTGCATCCTTTTCAACTGGGGCCGCACCGTCGTCATCAATGTCAGTAGCAAATAAGTCTAGCCCTGTACTGCGCTTGACCGGACGAGTAGTGGCTGTAGATGATACGGTCTTCACCGGACTTGGTGAGGTGGAAGGAATGGTGTCAGCCCATCGGTAAAGTGTACCGGTGTTTGTCGTCCAGGCCAAGAGGTTGGTGGTAGGCGACCATGCCATTTGGTTGATCGTGCCTTCGATGGGGTGTTTGGACCTGATTGTAAAGCTACGATAAGAACTACAATGCCAAGGAGAAGGAGTTGCAGGCCTACGTAAAAAGCAATCTCCGTGTTTGAGTTGACCAGATGAAGACTTTGTCGTTGTTAGCTGTGGCCAAATAAACGCCGTTCGGGGACATGGCGAGTGCGGTGGTAGCCCCCGTGCAAGTATCATCCGAGAAAGTAGAGGTCTTCTCCCACGTCTCCTTCGAGATCGTGACAATGTCTGATGTTCAATGAGTATTAATGTTCAATCTCCTACAAGATGACGGATAAAGAGACTCATACCGTGGGTACGAGTTGCAACGACGAAGTAGTCCCCGGACGGGTGCCAAACAGCCGAGCAGTCATGGTAAAACTCCGGGGCACTGCAGCAATTTAGACAACTTCTCTCTTAGATCCTTATGATAGGATAATAATAAGACTCACGCTGTATCTCTGATTGCGGGAATGATGCCCTCAATAGGCTGTATCTCTTCCGGCTCATCCTTTGTCACATCCCAGACGCATATTCTTCCATCACCTCCACTTGTTGTCTGTCACCCCAGAACCACCACAACCACGTCAATAAGATTAGATCTGGTCAGTGTAATGTCTGACGCGTACCAGTAAGCTCCCTGAAGGATGCCATGTCACGCGTCGTACGCCCGCTGTATGTCCTGCCAACAACTTGATGTTCGTTGCGACCTCGATTTCAATCACCTTCACGGCTAGCTCGCTAGGAGCCATTCCTCCATTTCAGTACATGCCGGTGTCCATCCTAAAAGAGAGCGACGGAAGTTTGACGAGCAAGAGAGAAAGACTCACTCAGATGTTACCGCAATCCTCTCTCCTTTCGGATCCACAGCCACACATCGAATCGGCACGCCCGCCGCACCAGTGACATGTTCCTTCAATTCCGTTTGTGCGCCGTGATACTCTCTAACATCCGAATCACCACTCCCCGAGAACCACGTCTTGTTCTACGAAAGGGCGCGTCAGCCCTTCAGTGTCATGTAGAACAGGATAGGTCTGAGGAAACGTACTCCTGCTGCGAGACAAGTGATAGTATCACAGGCTTCAATGGCCGTCTCTGGCTCCTGCTCTTGCCCTCTGCTCGTCTGCCAGAGTCGAACGATACCATCTTCTCCACCAGTATAACATACTCTATAAAGCCAGACGCGTCAGTCAGTGTTTCATAACTATGTGGCGTGTCGAAAGTGGTGGGCACTAACTTTCCGTCACGCGAGAACGCAAGATAACATGGACCGTCACCATGGGCGGTATTCACATAAGGTTTATTTGTCGACATCGCAGTCGAGTTGCGGCAAGCTTGTGGGGGTGAGAGGCAAGGCAGACAGAAGATCGAGCTCAAGTCAAGCCGTGCGATTCAACGCGTCCCGCGTCGCGTGACAAAGGACGCGTTCAGTCACGCTTGTGACAGTACGCCACAATACCCGTAGCACCGGCCTCGCCAAAGTTTGCTTTCGAATTGAGATAGTTTTTGTTCATACACCTGCCCACGATTCAGAAAAGAAGATCTGGTTTCCGCGCTTCTATACAGTAATTCACAAATACAATGTAGCCTAAGACTTGGACAAGAGCAGACAGAGATTGAAGAACATAAGAAACTGAAGTGGTGGGGGTTTGGGGAAACGGGCAGGTAAGGAATCTTGGGATAGCAAGTTGTGCGATATATCAAACAATTGCGACGACGACGACTACAATCCAATAAAAAACCCAATATCACCATGATGGCACCACCTTTCTCGTGGCGGTATGTACACGTTGTGTTACAAGGTCCTTTGGGCCATGCACAACGGCCGTGCGAACGTGGTGAGAGGGTGGAGAAGGAGAGCACGCTAGCCTTCGGACCCGGATTCGTCTTCCGCGTTATCTTCGTCGTCTTCTTCGGTGTAGTCGTCCTCATCTTCTTCGTTCTCGTCCATGGACTGTTTCAACTATGCGTACAATTACCTAATCAGCGAACTTGCCGCAGAGATGAGAGCAGAAAACGTACCATTTCCAACAGCTCATGACATTCGTTCAAGTGGGCCATGACAATGCCCTGGCCCTCCGGTACTGTCCCATCTACCCCGATAAACTTCCCATCTTTCCGCATCGAATCAATCTGGTATAACGCTAGTTGATACTGTCCACCAGAGTAGGCGTCGTACGTTAGCGACTACTAACAATGATGAACGGTAGTGTAAGAAGGCGTACAGGGTAAAGATCGCGAGGGCTAAATGGCCCGCCGTATTTGAGGACTTCGTTCAAACACTTCTTCACAGTCGAGAGTTTGTTTGCCTGCAGCCGTAATAAAATGAACAGTCAGTATTCCGCATCATATCACTAGCGTCCAAAGTACGTACTATTGGCATGAGCTCCTCGGACACTGGCTCGCTCGACGATAGCAGCCGATAAATAACACCATAACACCGTCGAAGGAGATACAACAACACCTAAGATACCAGCACGTATCAGTACCATCTCTCCCCTCAGTCAGAGACAGAAAAGAGTTACTCACATACTGCCCTCCAGGCTGATTCCCCTCCAAATCTACAAACTTCCCATCGATTCTCATCTTGTCTATCTCCTGCAAACTCAACGAATAATTCCACAGATCCGTCTCCCTCAGACTCCACCGATGCGTCAACGCGAGCCCCTCCAGTTCCGCTCTGAGCGTACTCAGCCTATCGTGTATCGGCTTGAGTGACGACGGGACGTTTTTCGACTCTTCCTGTGCTCGGATCTCCTGTGCGATCTCGAAGCAATTTTCGAGGAGGGAGGAGCAGATGGCTTGGGAGGCGGGGATCATGCCTCCGGGACCGAGGAATTTGCCGTCGACGCGTTTACTGTACGTCATTTTTTGTGTTTTGGGTAGCGAGCGGGAGAGCGAGCGTGAGGTAGAAAGGAGGACGGACATGGAAGTGAAGGTGACGGTGAAATAAAGAAATGAGAAATTAGGAGGGGGAAAAGAGGTGGGTTGACGACGGAGCGCAGTGTGGAAGCGATTTAAATGGAGAAGCGCAAGCGGAACACGATATGCGCGTAGGGAATATTATGACCGATTAACCACGATGGTCACGCGAGTGGCCAAAGACAGTCATGAGATCGGAAAGCGAGCGTAAAGCGCGTCGAAATTGCGCCAATGAAACCAAGGGGAAAGGCCACATGAGCGGTTTGGCCACGAGAAGACGACGCAGAACAGACGTCAAGGGGGCGTAATGATAAACGGGGAAGAGAAATAGAACGGGCCTCGGTCAGCTATGACAGTTGCAAACGAATCACGGCCAAGAAACGGAGAAAGAGATACTCAACGAGTCGATTTTTCTCAGTTCGTCCTGAAGGGGTTTTAGTTCTGCCTTATGCGAACCTTCCTTGGCGGCCAAGGCGACAAGCTTTCGTCGGATGTTGACTAGCCGTTCGTGTATAGGGATTAGTTCGACAGAGAGAACGGCCAGCGAGTCTTGTAGCGAGCGCAGTATGGATTCTGAGGGCCAATCAGGTTTTGTGGGGCAAGCACCAGCGGCAATAAAGAGAGCACATGTGAATGTGGATGTCAGTAACGTTAACCTCGAGGTGTATTTAAGAATAAGGCCAAGTGGATAAGGCATGATGACCGGGGTGGGCACCGGAACGCATCCTCGGAAGGGCCGTCGGCGGGAGCGAAGTGGGATTATGATAGGAGTGACCGAAGAGAAAGTGATATACCCACCGCATTCGCCTAATTGTCTCTCAAGCAGCTTGGTCATAGCTACTGGGTGTTTCCCAGACTCCGCGTCATGCTTGATGATATTTCGGAGTTGCTCAAGACGTCGTGTGAATGGGGCGAGGTCGGATTCGTTGTAAACGGCAGACTCATTCATGTGGTCTAATATTTGCTGTGGGGACGACACCAAAGGGTGAAAAAGAGCAAGATATGATGTGATCAGCATTGCGGGTGATCTATCTCATTCAGGACAGTCGAAGACCATGGCGTTATATATGAAGGTGGAAGAGACCGGGCCAAGAAGGCACGGCACTTAGAATGCATGTGAGAAGGAAGTGGCCAGATAAAATAGGATGGACAATAGAAAGCGCAGGGTTCCGAAGTGTGAATCGCCACTTCGTACCCTCGAAATGTGGCGCTATCTTGGGAGGAGACGCAAGAATGCAACGACGTTCTCGACTTCCCAAGGTACGCTCTAGAACACGACCCAAACAAAGCAAGCTCAAGAATACAACGAAGACTCACCCGCATGCTAGCCAATTGCGAGTATGTTGCTGGTGCCTCTTTCGTCTTTCCGATCGTGAGGAAGAAGAGTGATAGCAGATTGAACACATCTGCGAGAGTTGTATCAAGGCGGTTATTGTAGACAGTGTCATCGTCTCGGACATCGTTCAGTTTCGTTACTACGTGAGCCACCCAAATAGTGATCAGAACATAAAAGACATTTGAGACATGCAAGGGAGGTTACAGCGTGCGGTGAGCAGGGACAGGGGCCGAACGGACCTTGCTTGATGGTTGCTTGGTAGATTGAGTTAACGTCCGAAGCCTTGATATATTCTCCTCGATCTTTCTTGAGAGCAGTGAGTCGATTACGGAGACTGGGGGGACAATAGATGAGTGGGGCGGAGGGGCGCTAGCAGTAAGAGACGATGCGCACTTGATGACGGATTCAAGGATTGGAAGTTCTGAAGATGGATCAATACCACATCTCAACTCTACACTCTCCTTCCTAATTTCGACAGTTAAGATCTACATTACCTTCTTGGGATACAGGCGCGGTCATCCTGCAGGAAGGTCGTCCTTACAGGGAATAAAATGGAGAGAGGATAAGAAGAGCGTCGAGTCAAATGCTCGGAGTGTGGATGAAGCTTAAGTCGAGTGGGTGCCTCGGCATCTCCAAGTTCAGCACCCTTGCCCCACGTGGAAAGTTCCCACGACCGTGCAGGCGCGGCTATTCCCCTGTATAACTCAGTCCCCTTGCCCAGCTCGTTGTTCCCGTTCATCACCCTCCTCATCCTCTACAACTCTTACCACATCCTCTCACCGCCACACCAACCGTCATAATGGAGAAGATCAAGGAGGTTCGCAGCTTTAGGCCGTAATCCTTGTCAGATCATTGCTCACACTACAATCACACCCGCGTACTCAGAAACTCTCGTCCCTTCGTCTTGAAGCCGACAACGCTGTCCAGCGTGCTGAGGATGCTGAAGCGAAGAACAAGAAGTACGAGCAGCTCCTCCTCGAGAAGGACCAGGAGATCACTTCTCTCCAACACAAGCTCTCTGTTCTCGACGCCGATCTCGAGAAGGCAGAAAGCAAGCTCTCCGAGGCTAAGCTCCATCAGGAGGAGGGTGAGCAGTCGAAGACTACGAACGAGGGTCTCCAACGCAAAATCCAACTCCTGGAGGAGGAGCTCGATGCTGCTGAGAAGAACGTGAAGGAGACCGTCGAGAAGTGCGTTCATTATCCTCGCTTTCACATACCCTTTCCCTACTTCCCGATATGTCCAGCTTGGGCTTTCGTTGAATGGGAGCTAACTGCCTTAATCTTGATCTGATGAATAAATCACGTGCTCACGCACTGCAGGCTGAGACAAGTTGACGTTAAGGCAGAGCACTTCGAGAGGCAAGTTCAACGCGCCGAGCAGGAGCGCGATGCAATGGAGAAGAAGTACGAGGTGCGCAGCGTACCCCTGGCCCTCCGACCCACATCTGCTCGTTTCGCTGTGTTCACCAACTCACCAATGTTGTCTCCCATTCACAGGAAGCACTGGAGAAGTACCGTCTCTCGAAAGCCGAGCTCGACGAACTCGTCCAGACCATGGACCAGATCTCCTAATCGCACCGCATCTAGCCCCCTCGTCCCCCGCGCCCTTTCTGCAAGCATCGCCGCGTCCTCGTCCGCGCATCATGTATATGTCCCACCATACCAATTCTTTAGCCTACCTCTTCTACCCGATCAGAACCTGCTCCGTTCGATCTTCCTGTATATCGCTTACGTTGCCCTCTCACCTAACACCCCCAAGCATACCGATAGTCATCCATTCCCTCTAGTTTCTTCTTTCAGCGTCGTTGTTTGGTCGAATCGAAGTAAACGGAATATATCAATACCAATCTCTTGGACCTTTTCATTAGCTGCAACTTCCTACCTATGGGCATGCAGCCCCATCTGCGCTGCGAACTACAGTTATGGGATATAAGGCGACCCCCGATGAAACCGAGACACAGTCGAGTCGTATAGCAGTTCTGTCTCGCTCTCGTGTAGGTACCACGATCAATGAGGTTCTGACACAAGATCTTCGAATCGAGAGACGCAGTGTGGCTCTGGTGGCCCCTGTGTGGCGCACGTTCTGTCCGATACTGTCCGAGCGCGTACTGAGTACCGGCACTCACCCATTTCGGGCTGGTTCAAACTCCGCTGTGCCGCGTCTCGCTTACTCCCTTAGCCGAGTGGCTGCAGGCTGTCACTTACGAACATTGCAACACAACAAAGGCAACAATGCGCATGGTGATACTCAACAAAGCCATGCATAAATTCATATAAAATATGTTTCTTTAATTTGGTCGCGGCAGAATTTTCTAATTTCAGCGTGAACGAGCTACACGACGATTCATGTGCTCATATCAAATCACTTGAAGACAGCAGAAAACTTCTGTCGCGACCAAATGAATTGAATGTATGTAAAATAATATCCTAGAATTTATGAGATTTAATGGCGGGGTGTACCTTGCCCTAACGCGCAATGGTCTCGTACATAGGTGCCACCCAGCCAAATCAGTGAGTCTTACTGTGGCCCGCGTTGAAATGGCGTGCGGCTTGCCCGGCAGCTTTCAAAGTCCGCCAATTTCCAATGGACATGGCGCTGGGTGGGAACGCCGGTACTCACGCGTACGTAGTAAAGACCGTGCCGTGGGCTCCTAGTGCTGACGATCGTAAGGACTCGGATGCTTGGTACGTCGTCAAGTATGGTCATAACGATTCTGATCAAAAAGATACGCAATGATGAAGCGAAAAGTGGCTCTGGACGACATCCAGTGCGAATTATGATAGGGAGAAATGGAGCACACTGTCAAATATAATTATACGAGAATGTCCCATGCAGACCAAGTTCTGTCATAAGCAAAGGAGGGAAGGAGGACGAGCTACGCAGTAATCGTCCGATCGTATACTGTGTCACATAGTACTAATGACCGCCACTCAATCATCATACCTACGCTCGTCCCGATACGTATCATCAAGTCGGCCCCTGTCGCTAACGCTCGAACCTTCCTCCTTTACCCTCACAGGTTCGTAAATCGGCGCGCTTCGCCTGCCAACCCCAGACAATGCGGTCTGATTAACATTGTCATCTGTATCACTAGTATGGGGGGTAGAGTCTGAACAGTAGACATTCGCAATGCATTGAAGAAGCTTACGAGCCTTGCGAGTTCTTGTGGTCGTAAAAGAGAGGAACAATGGTCGTCGACGGCGACTCCGCCTTCCAATCGTCCGAGCATTTGGCGCTCGTTCTACTTTGTGGCGTAAGCGCGTAGGGTCCGTATTCAGCTACGTACTAATAACCCTACAGGGAACTGTCCATTACTATACAATCCAAGCCAATGTCCACAAGTGCGTAGAGTATGTAGAGATGCGTCGCAAACAATAATAGTAACGATGGTGGGGAACGAAGTCACAATGAGAGCTCAGACACTAACGTGGCAACCAATATTAAAGAAGGAAAATCAAGTGAACCCAGACCACCAGCAAAATGGATCGAGTACAGTTCCTCAATCACTATACCTCGTCTCGTCGCGATAAGCTTCGCCAGGATGGCTCCCTCCTCCCACGCTCGACCCGTTATCCTCCTTAAACCTCACCGGTGCATAAATCGGTGCATTCCGTGCTGGGCCAACCGACGCCCCCCTCCTGATGCACACCGATATTCCTATCGCGCAGAGAACGATGCCGACCAATAAGTTTCCGGCGAGGAGGCCAACGATAGCTGGTCCGTAGGTGTTCAGCTTGTCGGTTACGGAAGCGCTGTCCGAGTCATCGCCTGAGGTTACCGCGTTCTGAACTGCCTTGTCATTCGACGTGGACGAGGACTTCGTTGGGGACGAGGCTTTCGCAGAGGTGGAAGTGGTGGTAGGCTCGTTATCTTCCTTCACCCATCCTTTGATCTCTTCGAGGGTGGCTAATGGTGGAGACTGGGCAAGAGCAGCTGAACGACTAGTCTTGAAGTCCGAGAGTGCGTCCGATGGATCTGTAAGCGCTAGCAGTTGGGCATAGGCGTTCGCGACCTGGTCTCCTTCCTCGCCTGTGAAGTCTCCGTAGTCGAACAGAGAGTATGCGTTTCGTAGGAACGAATCTCCGAGGAGCATGTCTTGGTCACTGTCGGAGCCCAGGGTGCCGAAGGTGGAACTGCAGTATGTGACGTCCTCATTATCATCGTTTGTCCCGTTATTGAGCTGCGTCAAGTCGAGCGGATGTATGGGGATCTCTTTGCCACTGTTCACGATACGTAGTTAGCAGTGAATGCATGAAGGAAATCGACTAAAACTCGACAAGAAGAAGAAGTGCTTACCCGAATACGAATCGAACGTCAGCAGTAGCGTTACACGGCACAATCCAGCCATCAAGCTCATCATCGTAGAGCGCGTTCGGCATCACGCTGTACATCGCCGTCTGCACATACTTTGGCACTCCTGCTGCGGAAGTCCCCGTATCCAGCACCACAATGGCCTTGCCCTTGTCCACCCCACCTATACCCGACTTCAACGACACCTTCTTCCCATTCACCGTCATTGAATCCAACGTGACCGCCCAAGACGTGCCCGCGTCAGTCACCTGTATCCTTTCCAACTTCGTCGTATTGAGAATATCTTCATATCCTTCGATGACTTCCGATATGGTGAAGGCTCCTTCTGATTGATCGTCCAAATCTCCAGAGCGATCAAGGGCTACGGTGATAAAGTTGGGAAGAGATTTGTTCTGAGAGAAAATGTTGGCGAGGGGGCTCTGGCCTAGCGTGATATTGTTGTAATCCTTCTCGATGTTGGCAGCGACGGTGGAGGCGTCATCTGTGCTGAAGCCTAACCCGATGAGTCCGAATACGCCGACGTCGAACATGCTGTCCATGTCTATCGGCTGAACGGAGCATGAGACAAAGCATAAAGTATATATGGACGAGAAGCACTCACGTCCGTCGTGTTGATGAATGCTGAGCAAGACCAGGCGATAAATTTGGGCAATTTGATACTTAGAAACGTAAAAACACACCTTGAGATGGGACCGAGTAACTTCCGATGGAGAACTCTGCGAAAGCAATAGGACCCGAAGCTATACACGCCATGGAATTAGATCTGAATGCCCTTGGGAATGAGAACAAAAATACCTTACCCGAACTTCCGTCAAGGTAGCTGATATTGGCAAAGGACATGGACGGGCTCATTTTTGGAAGAGTATCCTGAGAGTAGACCCATAGATCTGAGGATCCAGTATCGATCTGAACGGTATAATCTAACCGCGGAAAGGATGGTGTGAGTTGTTCATAGCTGTGAATCAGAGAGGAATGGAAACGCACTCTGGCCGCCGACGTTGACGATCGTCGTGTACTGTGTGGATGGCGTCAACATAGGAGACGTTGAAGAATCAGATAGAACTGACGATGTTGTCCTGGACATCTCCGAGCGCGGGTTGAGTCTTCGTAGACTTCGAGACCGACGATGCTCCATACTTGATTGGTATCCCAACAGGCGAAGACGCCCGTTTTTGTACGGACATAGGAAGATGGAGACCCAGTGACACTGGGGCCAAAGAACACAGGACAGGAATCCAGGAGCCCTTCATCGTAGCGAGAGCGATTGTATGAGAGACGTGAGGGGTTACGACCTAAAGTTTGGCATCGATGCAGATATATAAACCCCCTGGCCTCCCTCTGGCGGGCCCTTGTACTAAGATTGAAAGTTGGTCGTTTAGCGTGTCTGAACCTCTAGTGCACAAGCGATCGAAATTGATGCTGTGATCATGTACAGCCCGTCGTACATATTGCATTTGATCCTTTCAAAGAGCGCGGAAGCAGTCAGAGCCCTCGCATGATGTCCCTCGAGCCGCCCATAAGGGGGGAGGCATGGACGGTGATATGATGGAAGCACACCCTCCCAATTGGAAGTCGAGGAGTACCTGATTTCGAGATGATTTCCCAAAAAAACAAATAGAAAGATAACATATTGTCTACCTACGTACTCGTAGCATCGACCCAGGACATCTTGGGGAGCCAGTTGGAGCCAAGCATCTTACCACCCAGAGGTAATGTCCTCCTCAGAGGGCATGCGTAACTACACGACGAGCGCGGGTAATAGCAGCAATCCTCCCTCGACAACGGGCAATATCACGAACTCAAGGCTGATACATCAGGAAACAAGGCGCCTAAACCAGCGCCCGTTACCGCCTACGACAGCCTACCTCCAACACTAGTACTCACAAGATCAAATTGTAAGTGAATCAAACGAAGTGCAACGTCTCATAATAGCTCACATGCCTGCACGTCGAGCAGAAACAGGCGAGGCATTTGGATGCCTTCCTCACCCTGCACAGCGAGCGCCGAGGGCACATAGCCCTCAAGCGAAGATTTGAACGCCGAACAACGGACAAAGAATTGACACCAGAGATACCACATGCTCAAGCACCCCGACCACGATTGATCTGAGCAAATCCCGGAAGCGGCCGATCGCATCATCATCATCGGCGGACGAGAAGGAAGAATGGCAGGGCTATTCATTGAGGCGGTAGGAAGCTAGGAAGGAGTCCATATGTGAGGACATTTTGGACGTCAGCAGTTGCAGGTTGAGTATACCATGAGCTATGAGTAGTGAGAGGTGGTGGTGGTCATGAGCGATGCCAGTGCTGATGCAGTTCGATAAATGAGTATACTTAGGCGACAGTTGGGCGACAGGGCGGTGTAGTAGTAAAAGGGCACGTAGATGTCGGTTCGTGCAGATCGCATGTCATCAGAACTGGATCCGTCTGAACCTTACCTTACCAGAGATTTGCGTTTGCCGCCGTTCTCGGAAATCTTTGAAAAAAGCAATGTAGAAAAGTCGGTCAGATTGGGCACGCCGGTCCGTCATCGGCACGGGGAGTGTCAGGAAACTGACTGACCTCGACACTTTGAACGTCCTATCTTCAACACCAAGGTCTGCCTGTGGGAGACTACCGACCTCAAATAAACCTTCCACTCACCCGTCAACTCACAGTGAAGCCGCAGAAGAGGAACATCGTTGACGGCCCCAGCGATGACCGTTTCCAAGTCAAGAGATTCTTCCAAAGGCAGAGTAAGTAATAGAGGTACATATAGACGAGATTTCAACCGGGCAAGCGAGGAAAGGTCAAGACGGCCTTCGGGTGTGCTCGGAGACCAATCCGGGCGCGCGAGGATTTGGCGCCCGTTCTACATTCAGTGGCGCAAGCGCGTAAGGTCGGTACTTGTCAAGCATTCGTTCTGATACATGACCCAACAAGAAATGTTTATTATACAGACAAAGCGGATACCCAAGAAACGTGCAGAGCTTTTTCAGAAGCAAAAATCACGATTATGATGAACGAAGATGTGATGTGAGCGCATGCGCGTCGGCGCGACTCACGGTGATTGGGAGCCTGAGTTGTAGTACAGTCAAGGTCAGAGTCATATGGAGATACAGTCGATCACAGTGGACACAGACAAGTCCACATGACGGTACCGCACTGAGCTAGATTAGGCATAACAAGCAAGCGTACTGAGTGACGAAACCACTGAATGACTCCACCCGTTACGCACCTTCACTAGAAGAAGGCTGTGAACACTTCAACGCTCACACTGACAACATAGTTCTTCCAGCCAGAATAAAGGGCCTTCGGAATTACAGACAATACGCTCCCGCTGGAGACACTGTTGAACCATTGAAGAGAATCAGGTGAACGGTCTTTGTACGACCAAATGTTGGTATGAGTGCGAGTTGTGGATGATCCCGCAATATTGACTTGAATACGTCTCCGAGGGAGGCTGATGGTACCTGTGTCGACCCCGGCGTCGAACCATGTGTAGCTGCCGTGATATGTTCCTTGCAGTTCTTCATAAAAGCTCATCCAACCTAGAAAGAACCATTGGTGGAATGTATTCATACCATACGTCAAACGGAATGCATAAGAATAAGCATATGAGAGGGCTAAACGTACCTTGATCATGAGACATGGTCTTAAATCTGACTTCGCGAAGCGGGTAATCCTGTTGACCCACGATAGGCAGTGAGAGGTAGGGCTCGTCCTCGCTGACCTCGGTTACTTCTACTAAATCATTCCGTTCTTCGTGTAAACAGACCCAACACTCGGCAATATCGAAGATAGCACGGATCAAGTGTTTGGGAAGACGTCGAAGGGAGCGAGCAATGTCGAGAATGTCTCCCGGAGAATAGTACGTCCTCCGATTGGCAGAGTGGGTTCGGCTTGCGGAGTACACGTCTGTGTACCATGGCTCGTCTTTCGCCCAGGATATTTCTTCGTCCGAAATGAATCCTGCCTCATCGGCCCGCGCTTGATTATCAAGCAGGTACTGAACAATAATGATGGACTGGCTCCTGACAGCCTGGGACAGCGGTGTTGTGCCATTGAATGATGGTGTGTTGACATTGGCACCAGCTTCAACCAATGTGCGAACACAGTCCGGACTTGCAGGAATACTGCATGCATAATGAAGTGGGGTACCACCATTCCATGCTCTGATATTGACATTTGCACCGCGTGAAATCATTACGAGGATAGTATCGGGGCGATTGGCACGAACGGCAGAGTGAAGGGCTGTATGTTCCGCAACGAAAGACGGCTCATTCTTCAGGTCTATGCTGCGAAGTAGCATTTCAGCGGCATGGAATTGGTTGAACCGTAGGGCTACGGTGACAGGAGGATATGTCGGGGGCAGCTGGTAATGTGGGCGTACAACATCGACGAGATGTATGCTAGGGGCGTAATCGGTGATTTCAGCACCCATACTCATCAACGCTTCGATGGCTTCCAGGTTCCCGTATTGTGCTGCGACCATGAGAGGTTTGCCCAACTGATGTAGCTCCTGGCGAAGTAGTTCAGGATTTCGCCGAAGAAGTTGGGTGATAACGAAGTGTGATCCATATGCGAGTGGCCATGTGAAGGGCGAAGAGATTTCTCTGTCACGGTCGATGACCAAGTAATCAAAGTGCGCTCGAGCAATGCGCTGACAGAGGTGGAGTCGAGTGGAGAATGTCGGATGAAACAAAAACTTGTCAAGAAGAAGGATGAGTTCACGTCCAGGAGTGTCATCCTCGCAGGCCGCCACGTAGAGATGCCAGCTGAACGCTGCGTACGAAAGAAAAGGACGTCCGGGGAGGTCATAGTCGTTATCCGAGTCGTTATCCCAGCGGTTATCCCAGTCGACGTCGTCATCCGAGTCGTCTATCCCTTTTACACCATGCCCTGCCCCGCCCTCGTCGTCTTCCTCTTCCCTTATATCCCCATTACCAACATCTCCATATTGAACTTTCCGATGGCGTACCAGCTGCCCTCCCCCTCCCGTGGTGTGACTGTGATTGCCTTCATCGCTGTCCGTTTCGCTAGAGTCGACCTCTTCGGTCCAGATTATCCGTCGATCATCGCTACTATCGTCATCATCCCAATCTTCATTACCAATCTCGCACGCTCCACTGTCGTCAGGGAATTCATCGACGTCCAGAGGCTGCTCGAGCGAGCGATGCAGAAGGTAGGTGAAAACCGCCAGCCCTTGTTGTTTCTGTAAAGTGGATAGTGACCCAAAGAAATAGTCCCTCAATGTCGTATGCTCCAGATGATGGGAGAGCAAAAATTCCTACAGATAATCGAGTGAATCAATAAGCATGTGGCCTTCGAGAGCAATCATGAACCATCCCAACCTGAACGGTAGAGTGTGAAAGACTCAATGTGTCCCACCGATCGTGGCTGACAAGACTAGAACAGATCCGGAGTATTACCCTACGACTCAGGAAAGAGAGCTCCTGGTTCGGCTCGTCTCTGCCTACTTCAATCTTGATAGCTTCCTCGACCTCAGTGAGGGTGAGGGGACGGTGTGCGCCTATGATCCACCCCAGAACTCGCTGAGCCACCACACGAGACTCCTTCCTTTTGTCGTTGATGATTCGCTCCAGTATCCGCTCGTAGGTTTCGTGAAGGCCTTTGGGGAGGGATCCGAGAGCCATGAGCAGATCCGAGAGCCTGCTCAGAGTGTTCATGTAATCGAGCTGGCATTCCACCCATCTGAACCTGGTAAACTCGCACATAAGTTGTGTTTAATCTTATGAAAGATTATGGAACTCACATTCCCTGTGATTTCGATAGAAGGGTATCGCGTATTTGCTTTTTACGCCGTTTGCTCAAATCGGCAAGGTTGGCCCTATTACTAATTTCGGTCACAATATGCTTCCTGATATCGTCCTGGATAACACGTATTTCTTCGTTCAGGGAGATAGAAGTGACCGATGATAGGTGGAAGCGAATGTCTTCTTCTTTCCGGCTGGACACAAATACGGAAATATTATCCTCTGTCGCAAGCTTCGGGACATGCTGCAAGATCTTGTGTCTCTCCTCAGGATTGCATTCGTCGAGAGCATCAATCACCACTAGTATTCGAGGCATGGACGTGGAATTCGCTGCCCTTCGTATCAGCTCTCGCAAAGCAGGAATCGTGGACGGAGGTGATATCCCGTCGTGGCACATTTCCGAGAGTTCGTTGAAGAGGCCTTCAGATGCCTTTGCAATGGTTCGAATGAGCTGAGCGAAGACAGTGCGGAAGACGGCGACGGGATCGGTGCTTCTACTGTCACGGAAGTCAAAATAAGCATATGCAACGAGTTCGTCGTTGCCACCGGACTGTTTGAGATGGTCGACGGCGGTAGACCTGGTAAGACATTAATTTTGATATAAGGTGGGAAAAGTAAAATTAAGCATCATAGAAACGTACGTTAACACTGTCTTTCCACTCCCGGCTGAATCGTGAGGAAATTGAAATCGTCAGACCACCTTTCCCGTTAATATTACTATGTATTACTGACGGATTCCGTGAAGCCACAAGACCGAGCTGGGTGAATTTCTCCAATGTGTGAACCTTGCGTCCTCCAGAAACCAGCGGCACGTGTCCGTATGTCTCTGTGCTAATGTAGTCTGAAGCTTAGTAGCGAAGTCCAGGGGATACAGCCAGTTGATTATGGCGCCAATATTCTGGTCAATGGCCTCCTTTGCTTGATTCGCGGCGAAGACTGTGGTGGCATGTTATATCCTCAGCAGTTCCATATTATCGGATGAAGGCTCACTGGCAAGGTTGTTTTCTAACAGTTCGCGTATCGCCACTGTGTTCCTATGGGTGACTGTTTCAAATTCAAGGATACATAGAGTCAGCACCAGAAGTTTCGTTGTATACGGACCGTATACATAAGAGGAAGGCGACTTACGGTTGAACTCCTCTAAGGCTCCGTGTACTTTATCGTGTAGTGCTTGAAGGCTTACTCTTTGGAGCACGTTTCCGAATGCTTGACGCTCGCTATGGAAGAATGATAATGTATGTTACCACAGAGAATCCTCTAGAATATACTAGGAGTGACATACCTGAGGTCAAGGTTCAAAGCCAACACTAGGATGAGCTTTTGCTTTTCCAGCTTGTCCACAAGCTTGTTTACGTCTGCAGTAGAGAACGGCCATTGTAGTCTGCCTCTAAGTGTCTTCGTCTTCTGTATGGTTTCGTAGACAGGTTGCAGCCAGGCCTCGCACTGTGATAAGGCATTCTGCATGGTCTGAACGGTACCAGAGGAGACAGGTTCAGGCATATCCTCGCAGCGCTCTACCCATAGCTTCGTGGTATTGATAAGAGGAGTCCACGCTTCGAGACTCTCCTTCAAACGAATCGAGTCCCTCTCTGCACCAGCAACATCCAAGCAGTACTTGATAATTGGGGTGATCAACTGCGGCAAACTCACAAGAGCGGCGATATTCGCTGCGTTCCCAACATTGTCCATGACGGGTAGAGGAGGAGGGGATGAAGACGACTGGGGCTGAGGGCTGAGTGCGAAGACGCCAGAGATAAGTGTGGTAAATATACCCAAGATGACACGCGTAAGCCTTGCAGCTTTGCAGGTTCTCAGATCCCGCATTTGGTCATGACATGTTCCCTGCATAGAAAGCAGCGGGTTTATATCCATATAAGACTCTTTGTCAACCATGAGGCCATGATCGAAATAAATCCGACCAAACAGGATACATAGATGTTTTTGCAGGACCTGGGTTTAGAGACCTCTGGTATGCGTGCAAAGAAGCGTTTACATTGGAATGGCGTTTGGTGGCCGTAGATCAAGCATCGCGAAATGGTCAATTTCGTCAATGAGCCAGAACTGGTATATAACCCGGCGTCTCTTTCTTTGATGCCCAGCACATATGTTACGCGCATCAAGCATTGGCACATTGTCGCAAAGCTCACGCACTGTGCATATCGAAGATACCTGGTACAAAATAGAAGTCTGCAGTCCTCTCGCGGAGTAAATATGAGCAGAACGAAGTAACGAGCGACTCGTACCTGTCAATGTCTCTGAAGCACTGATGCAATATTCTTCACAGCAGGACGTGACGGGCTTGGACTTGTAAGCAATACCAAAACCGCCTCATCCTGCTGATAAACCGTCTCAAGTCACGAGATTCGCGCTGCGTCGAACGTCCGGGTGGCGCATTCTGAGTGTACGCATGCATTGGGAGGAAGATGATCGAGTGGTCAACGACTTTCCAACCATAAAATACGGGGATAGCCGGAGAGCCCAGGGGCATGGCGCTCTTCTACGTTGTGGCGCCGGCAGTGTTGGCACTTGACCGTGCCAGACCCGGGGTCAGGCTGACGGGTCAAGAGGCCGAGCCGGGTCAGGTCAAGGTTTTCTTGACCCCCTGCAGCCTACCTTTTATGGTGGCCGGCAGCGTCGGCTCTGGACCAAATGCTGGCACATTCTGGAAAATGCCTTATTTTGGTATATTTCGGGGCCACATCACCAAGTGGCGCCGCAGACTTGACTGGGTCTGACCTGGTCTGACCCCGCCGGGTCGGGTCGCTCGGCTGACCTGACCCCGACCACTGGTCAAAGGTCGAGTGACAACACTGGTGGCGCGGGCACGGGGGCCCTCATGTATGCACAGATCATCAAGTTGGAACGAACGAGCTGGTGTAAAAACCCAATCGATCCACACGGGATATATAGAGATGTTGCACAAGCGGCCAGATAATGATAATACGACGCAAACACAGGTACGGCAACCAACATTGTAGAGTCGCGATTTCCTCCCCACCGCAGTTCCAACATTCCCACCCGGAGTCACATACAAAGCTAATCTGCAGTAATAAACTAAAATGATCGAAAGCCATGAATCAATCGCCATACCTGGCCTCATCCCGGTACGCCTCGCCAGGATGACTCCTCTCACTCAAGCTCGACCCATTATCCTCCTTGAACCTCACAGGGGCATTGATCGGTGCACTCCTGCTCGCGGAACCCACCGACGCACCCCGTCTGATACACACCGATATTCCTATCGCACACAGAATGATTCCAACCAGTAAGTTGGCAGAGAGGAGACCAATGATGGCTGGTCCGTATGCGTTAAATTTGTCGACGACGGAAGCGCTATCTTGAAGATCGCCCGTTTCCACCGCGTTCTCGACTGCTTTTCCATTGTATGTGGATGTAGATTTTGAAGAGGTGGATGTAGTGGTAGGATTGTTATCTTGCTGCACCTGTCCTTGAATCTCTTCGAAAGTGGCTTCCGGTGGAGACTGGGCAAGCGCCGCCGAACGACTGCGGTTGAAGTCCGCGAGTGCGTTCTTCGGATCCGTAAGAGCTAACACCTGTGCATACGCGTTCGCGACCTGGTCACCTTTCTCGCCCGTGAAATCTCCGTAGTCGAATAAAGAATATACGTTTCGCAGGAACACGTCTCCGAGGAGCATGTCTTGGTCACTGTCGGAGCCCAAAGTGCCGAAGCTGGATGTACAGAATGTGATTGTCGAGCCATCGTCGTCCGTACCGTTTTTGAGCAGCGTTAAATCGAGAGGATGGAGCGGAATTTCCTGGCCACTATATACAGCACAAAGTCATTAGCGACTCAACGAACAAAAACTTCAACATTGAAAGGCTTACCCGAACACGAATCGCACATCCGCAGTGGCATTACATGGCACAACCCAGCTTTCGAGCGCAGAATCGTACAGCGCGTTCGGCATCCCACTGTACATGGCATCCATAACGTACTTGGGCACTCCAGCCCCAGTGGTCCCAGTATCCAGTACAGCGACAGCCTTGCCGCTATCCACGCCTTGGACGACCGATTTCAACGGCACCTGCTCCCCATTGACCGTCATACTATCCAACACGACCGCCCAGGACGTGAATGCACCCGGCACCTGTATACGCTCCAATTTCGTCGTCTCGAGTATATTTTTGTAGCCATCGATGACCTCGGAGATGGTGAACGCACCATCTGACACGTCTTCGAGATCCCCGGATCGGCCGAGGGAGACGGTGATGAAATTGGGAAGGGATGTGTTTTGAGAGAAGATGTTGGCGAGGGGACTTTGTCCCATGGTGATATTGTGGTATTCCTTTTCGATGCTGGCCTCGACTCTGGACGCGTCATCCGTGCTGAAGCTTATCCCGAGGAGCCCAAATACACCGAGGTCGAACAGGTCGTCCATTTTGATTGGCTAGATGGAAAATCGGTAAGTTGGAGTTTCAGACGGTGATGAATAGGAGTGCCCACGTTGGTCGTGTTGATGAAGGCTAGAGAAATCAAAATTGTAAATAGAGACCATCCGATACAGTAGAACACAAAAACTTGCCTTGGGACTCGACAGAGTAACTGCCTATAGAGAACTCCGCAAAAGCAACAGGGCCCGAGGCTGTATATACCCCAGTCAATCTAGACATCAGCGGCTCCCCTATATTCATGAGTAGTAGTTGATAGGGGAGCGTACCCGAACTCCCGTCAACGTAAGAAACATCAGCATACGCCTTGGAAGGCGTCATTATCGGAAGAGTATCCTGCGAGAATACCCATAAATCCGATGACCCTGTATCTATCTGGACGGTATAATCTGCAACAATAACTCGTGTGAGCCCATCATGGTGATCTACTAGGGAAATCATTGAATTCACCTTGACCGCCTACAGTGACGACTGTCGTGTACTGAACGCATACCGTCAGCGCCCGAGGAATATGAGACTTGACGAGGAAAGGCCTACTATGATATTTTGGACGTCTTCAAGTTCTGGCTGACTCGTTGTGGACTTCGATACCGACGCAGATCCATACTTGACAGGGATTCCCACTGACGAAGGGGCGCGTTTCTGTACGGACACAGGAAGGTGAAGACCCAGGACTATTTCGGCCAAGGAGCACACGACAGGAATCCAAGATGCTTTCATTCTAGAGAAAGTCCTAGAAAAGAGGATGGGGTGGGGGCAGAAAAATAAACACCTATAGCCTGGTATCAACCTCAGCCTGGGTATTTGAAGCCTCATGAGCTCGGACAATCGATATCAATGCTGTAAACGCGTACAGCCAGTCGGGGACAACGGTGTTGATCCTTTCACATGCCGGTGATAAACCCAGTCCGAGGGCGATGTGGTCGGCTAACAAGGAGGCGTGGCCAGAGCGGCAATTAGAAGATGGTAGCAATTCTGCGTGACCAAATTGAGGGTATGGCTACCTCTGGCCACTATAAACGAACGGAAAATGATACAAGCAAAATTTGGCCATCTTTGATTTATCAGGCCGTCACCAAATCGCTGAATCAAATCGACGCCGGTGCCCAGCTGCTATGCAGAAAAAAATCAAAAACAGCAATCCTCCTCGGGTTGCGAAATCATTGCAAGGACTCGCACGCACCACGAATCAAAGGCGTCAAAACTAGCGCTGTTACAGCCTACAACAACCTGCTACCCGCACGTCCACAACGCACCTCACAGCTGGATTAATTCGACGCCGGTGCCCAGCTGCTATGCAAAAAAAATCAGCAATCCTCCTCGGGTTACAAATTCATTGTAAGGCCTCGCACGCACCACGAATCAAAGGCGTCAAAACTAGCGCTGTTCTGTTACAGCCTACAACAACCTGCTACCCGTACGTCCACAACGCGTCTTACGGTTCAATCAGATATAACGAGATGAAACGTCCAACCCGTCACTTCCGTCTCGTACTGTGGAAGCACCACAGCCCCCAGGATGAGGAGAAATCAGGACCAGGCGCTCACACATGTCGATCGTTGAAACGATTGTCTTCTCCCGCGGAACAGACGACGCAAGTATCGAACGAGGAGCACTATATGCATTGCCTTATGCAAGAGGGATAAGATAATGTAAACGTGAGCGAGCAAGGCGTGTTATAATTTGACAAGTTGAGTAATATCCCGAATTGTGAGTGAGTGGTGGTGGTGGTGATGCTGGTGCAGTCTGATGATGGGTAGTTGGCGCAGCGAGGTGTGAAGAATGCGAGAGCAGGGTAAATAGGGGGTAGGGCTGTGTGGGGCGAACGCCATGTATTTTGGATGATGAATCTGGAAACGAAGCGTCTATAGGTATGCGCGTGCCGATCTCCTGGCCATCTGTTGACAAACACAAAAAGAAGCAAGTTAGTTTTATCAAATCAGAGCTTTACACCAGCCAAATAAGAACGCAAAGGGAACACCGACCTCAATAACCTTCCACCCGCCCGTCAACTCGTCGTCAATGTCCTCCTCAATTTTCGTAATCACCGCCGCATACATACACTGCTCCACCCTGTTCTCTGCACCTACCACTACTTCCCCTGTCTTTGCGTTTTTGAACATCAGGACCTCCTGCGTGGCGAACGTGATTACGAACACGGGAACATTGTTATCGAGAATCTTGCCCGACGAGACATCGACTTGACGGATATCGAGGACCTTAGAGTCGGACACGAGGCCTTGGCGGAGATATTGCTCCATTGTGGCCCACAGGACGTTATATGTCTATTCATGTAAATGTGAGACGCGAAGCACACAAAGAAAGAGGGAATGAAAGGCACGTACGGCCTCGCCACACCAAGCCCTCAATGACTCCTGGTCCGCACTCAAATACGCATCTACCACCTCCGGCACAATATACTCCCTCAACTCCCTCTCGAAGCCCTCCATAGTGAACGTCGGATCCAGAGCCTTCATCATCCGCATCACCTGCGCCGTCTCGTTCTCATCGAACCAGCTCGCAATAGTAGACGTCACCGAGCGCATGGAGGAAACCACAGGGTGTTCTGAATCTTGATACTGCTGGTTGAGCTCGGAGAAGTAACGAAGGACCGGGTTCGTTTCTTTTATTTGTTGCCAGCGTTCTTGACGCGGTGAGTTGGCGTGGAGGACGAGTGCTTGTCCGGCTCTATTATCCTCGTAAGTGTACTGTTATATATGTCGTGGAAGTGATATGAGACGCACTCGGCATTAGCAGCCACCCTCTGTTTTATCCGGCCTGACTGCCCAGCTTTTGCTAACCGCAAAGCGCGTCTTTTCCGCCGTGCCTCCTTTTCCTCGAACCCAGCATGTTTTGCAGTCCCTGAATCGTCTAGTGCGTCTACGAGGGTCTCTGCGAGAGTTTTGTAGGCCGCAGTGTTCCGTATGGGTTCTGTTGTAGATGCAATGGTAGAGGACACGGCGGCGGAGGCTCGTGAGATCTACAGGACATTGTTAGCGAAATGATATGCACGTAGTGAAAGGAGATATACATACGGCACGAGCAAGATCAGACTCCTCCATAGACTTAAGAGCCTCTCCGACCGCATCTCCAACTTTCATACCTGTCTTCTTCAACTCCTCCGCGGCCGCTCGCAACCGTGGGTTCTCCTTGATACTCGACGTCAACTAAACGACCAACAAAAACACACAAAGCTTGTCAATACACATTCCGGTATAGAAGAGAGAGAAGAGAGAACGCACCCTCGCACGCTCATAAGCCGCCTTCGCCTTCTTCATAGCCTCCGAGTCCTGGAACTTATCCACGTCTCCCTGTAGCTGCTTCACATTATCCTGTAACTCCCTGTTCTTCTTCAACTCGTCCTTCAGCACCTCCACGAACGTCTGGAACGGAGACTTCGGAAGCTCGTCATTCCGACGCGCAGAAGAGTGGAAACCCGAAGACTGTTGGATGTGTGAACTCGAAGGGACGGCACTAGCACCAGCTGAGCGGGGTAATCGGAGCGCGTTGGAGGTGCCAGTGGTGCGGTTGGCTGCTATACGAAAAGCAGCGGGAGCGGGGATGGCGCGGCGGAGGTGTCGGGGGAGCATAGTTCCTATGAGGTTATGTCGTCGCCGTCGTCGTGAACGGTGAGGAAAAGGCGGTGGAGGATGTTTGTTGAGGACGTGGACGGGCTTTGCTCGACGTGCCGAAAGCTCGCGAAGGGATGTGAAATTGAAAGCTCAGAAATTGTTGGCGTCACGTGGTCGGGCGGCTTGTGAGTAATGACGCACTGCCACCCCCTCTGCATCGCAATAATTCCTCGGGTTCACACAACCAGGTTGTGGTATAAAAGCTCGGGTCGACCTGGATGAACATTCGTATCATCTCTCGCAACACCCTCGTACTCGCATCAGCTCTTTCGCCTTTAGCAGCAGCTCGAACCGCTACAGCGTCCGCGCATCATCTAAATCGTAGAAGTATGTCTGATTCATCCAAGGCAAAGCCAGAGTCAGAGTGGCAAGCTGTTCTTTCCCGGGAGCAGGTACGTCGCATCTCGTGTTCATTATTCATATTAACGTTGATGAGGCGTTCTCTTCAGTTCCGCGTGCTCCGTGGAAAGGGTACAGAGGCTCCTGGAACAGGAAAGTACGACAAGTGGAGTAAAGAAGGTGTTTACAGTTGTGCAGGCTGTGGCACTCCTCTGTACAAGAGCACGACCAAGTTCGACAGTGGATGTGGTTGGCCTGCATTCTTTGATGGTACGCTGCCTCTTCGTCATCACCGCGGTGCCTTTCGCACGCTCAACAGGCCTCATCCTATGACTGTGACCAGCCATCCCCGGCGCTGTCGGTCGCCAAATCGACAGCAGCCGCGTCGTGCCCGCGACAGAGATCATTTGCAACGCTTGTGGAGGGCACTTGGGCCACGTTTTCAAAGGAGAAGGTTTCCCTACGCCCAGTGAGTGCAACAAACCACCTTACTGTAGTCCTGCCCGAAATAGAATTCATACTGATGACCGCCCTGCAATGCAGCCGACGAACGTCACTGTGTCAACTCCGTCTCCCTCAACTTTCATGACGACGAGGCTTCAAAGTGAAACTGGTGAAGGGTGGTTCAACCTGCGGCTCGGCGTGGCGTCTTTGTTCATCGTTGTATTTTGTGTATTTTGGATGTGGGCGAGGAGTCCGGATGTATGATTATAGGCTTTGAAGGCTCGGAGAACATAAATCGGCCAATTCGTGACGATGGAGCGGAATGGTTTCATGGACAAAATAAGACTTCCATAGATCTCGGTATTGAACGAATCACAAACACAGCACATGTGGGAATAAGAACACGAATCGCATTCCCCGGTCTTCACCGCATCTTCCTATCCTCAAAGAAACGCTGCAAAGACACAAAGACATCAGCATCAACATCAACAGTACCAGCCGGACCGTCCGTAGCAACTCTCTAAAAGTTTCATCAAAAGACCACACTCACCTTCAAATGCCTCAACTGCCACGCACACGTCGCCAACAACGCCACGATCTGCAACACACTATACCACACCGCCTTTGAATTCGTCGCCTCACTCAAATTCCTGAAATCCGCCTCCCTCTCCCTCTGATATTGCTGCTCCCTTCGCACGTCCTCCAGTTTAAGGTTCAGCTCCCGCACCTTACTCGCGATCTCGCTGATGTGCGTCCTGTCCTGTTCAACGTCGGGCTTGGCGGCACCGACGACGATGTCGAGGTAGAGACGGATGTGGGCTTGAGGGCCGAACCAGGAGGAGGAGTAGTTTGTCGAGAGGCAGATGGAGTGGTCGCCGGCTTCGTGGGAGGTGAAGGTGAAGCGGGAGTCTGGGGGACCGCGGGTCTTGACGACGGCGTGGTTTGTTTCCATTTCCTGTGTGCAGGGTGAAGGTGATGAGTTTTTGGGTGGTGGAGGGTGTCCGACGCGTGTGCGGCGAAAGAGAAGGTAGGGAGAGCGACTTACGTCTACTTCGACAAGAATACCAAGCTCCTCGTTAATGAGATATGTCTGCTCTTTCTCGTTCCATTCTAGTGCACGATAATGCCCTGTACACAAGCACGTACCCAACCACCACCGCGAACACACAGCATCAACACCTAACTTCCCTACTATTTGATGTAGCAAAATCGACGCACCTTCAACTACAGTATCCGTAGGTAGCTCCTCAATGAAACACCTGATCTCATTCGAGTCCAGGTAAAAATGAAGTGCATGCGCCGTCTGAAGCGCAACCAAGCAAGAGAACAACAAACATAAAGGGAGCCAGAGCGAACGAGGAGCCATTTGATTTAAGTTCCCCGCGAGAGCTCAATTCGTGAAGTTTAAGCGAATAGTTTCACGTAGTATGCCCGGTCCCGAGAACGTATGGGGGGTTTCGTGCTGGCGAGAACCTGCTGGCCTTTTGAGGTGAGAAACGGCGAAGGGAGAACGCGAATGTCGTGGCAAGACGAGAGACGCGCAGGTGGCGTTGAATAAACCAGCGTGGGAACCTTGACTGGATTTTGATTTTCCTGCCAACTTTTCTCCTGGTTCGCCACTTCCACTTCCACATCCTCTCTCCTCTTTGTTTCTTGTGTCCTCTAGGTCAAACAAAAATGCCGAAACGCTTCGAACCGTCCTCCGTGAAGAACAAAATCAAGCGCGAAGAGCTCGCGCATAAAAATAAAAAGGCGAAAGGCCAGGCGAAGTTGCAGAGACGACTTGCGCTCGCGAAGGAGGAGGCCAAGGATCCTTCTGCAAAGAAAGTTCGTCCCTACTATCAACACCTTTGTACCTCTGCCTCTAAGTCGAAGGTATTATACTGACACTAAATGTCGTTTTTCGTCTTCATAGAAACGTCTTGCAGAAAATGTGCCCCGAACGCTAGACAACACACGGGATTTCGATCCCTCCTTCCTCACCGCAGACCCCTCATCCTCTCACCCATCCACCCTCGAATCCTCAGAACCAGGCCCCTCAACACAAACACAAGACCCAACAGCCGAATCCTACACCGACATCTCCTCTGACCCCTTCTCCTCCTACTTCTCTTCCTCCACCACCGCCGATCCCTCCATCCCTCCAAAGGTCCTCATCACAACCTCCGCAAAAGCGACCCGTGTGACATACGACTTCTGTGAAGAATTAGTGGGAATTTTTCCGGGTGCGGAATTCATTAGGAGGCCGAAGAAGGGGAGGGGGTTCGAGTTGGGGAGGATCGCGGGGTGGGCCGCAGGGAGAGGGTACGGAAATTTGATTGTCGTCAATGAGAACATGAAGAAACCTAGTACGTTTTTCAACATTAAAAAGAATTGATGTTTTTTAACGCATTTGGACTTCCAGATGCTATTACGATGGTACACCTTCCCGATGGACCGACAGCATACTTCAAACTCACATCTATAGCTCTCACAAAACAAATATTCGTACGTCTTCTATCTTTTACCTTCCCATCTCTATGCTTGTTCCCTGTATCTTCACTCAACAATTCTAACCCTTCTCCTATGTAGGGCCACGCCCGTGCCACAGCACACAACCCCGAACTCGTCCTCAACAACTTCGTCACACGCTTGGGCCACACCGTCGGCCGGATGTTCCAAACATTCTTTCCCGCGCTCCCAGAGTTCCAGGGCAGACAGGTCGTGACTCTGCATAACCAACGGGACTTTCTATTCTTCAGGCGGCATCGGTACGTGCACGCCCCTTACACCCCTTCCTCTATTCTCAGCTATTTTACCTTTACCCCTCAAATGCACCTCTGTTTACTGTGTGTGGGATGATACGACTCAGATACGCATTCCGCACCCCCGAGAAAGTCGCCCTCCAAGAAATCGGACCCCGCTTCACGCTTAAGCTCCGATCATTGAAGAAGGGTCTTCCTGCCGTCAAGGCTTTGGGCGAAGCGCCACCCGCACTCGAGTTTGATAATTTCGACGATGTGGATGAGGAGATGGCCGCGGAGGAGAAGGCGGCCGCAGATGCTGTTGGTGCTGGCGACGGGATGGAGGTGGGGGCTGCGGGGGCTGTTGCTACGGCGGAGATTGGTGGCGAGGATGCGGAGATGGGAGAGGGAGAGGAGGAGGAAGAGGCTAAGGAGGAGGAAGAGGCTAAGGAGGAGGAGGAGGCAGGGAAGGATAAAGGGAAAGAAGCGAAGAGGAAGCCACCGAAGGGTGAGGAGTTCGAATGGGTATGGAAGGTATGTCATATTCCTTCTCTTTGCCCTAAGTCATTGATTGTTGATGTTATGGCTTACTCACTTTTTCTTACCTTTTCATTTATTTTTGCATCTCTGCAGCCCGAGTTGGAGAAGACGAGGAAGACGTTCTTTTTGTAGTTTTGGTGGGTGTACGTTCATGCCTGTCTACCAGACAGCGTCTCCGCCCTGGGCCCTGGACCTCGCGATTCAGAAATTATATGGTTGCTTACGGCCACACATCTACTTTCCTGTTTTCGTCTGGCTTGGCATATGGTCGACATGGGCAATACGGCTGCGTAAGGTAATCGAGGAACAGACAATCAAGAAATCGCTCCCTCGCCACCGCCACAACGTGGAGCCAACCGCCACCTGCTGTAATTAATCCTGTCGCTGCAACCCCTTCACTAACATACCCTCGGCCACCCACATGATGGCACTATTATTTCTAAACTACACCGCTACTTATATGAAGCATCCTACAGGCTAAAAGATCTAATCATCAGGTTCCTCCACCCGCAACAAGACCTTCTTCCCATACTTCCCCTCCGCCATCTTCCGCATCACCTCCCTCACGATCCCCGTCGCCTCCTCATCGCCATACTCCTTCTTCAACGTCACGATCTCATGTTTCGGCTCGCCCAGCTACACGCCACAAGTGACCCAGCGCAATCATAAGTATACAGTACCAAACAAACAGGGGCTGAGAACGGCCCAACGAATTTTCAACTAAAAGCGAGGAAGGAAAACAAACATACCTTCCCCTGCACAATCAACCCCACCAACTCCCTAATCAACCCCTCTCTCTCCCCCCTCCCTTTCTCCTTATACCACCTACTCTGCCAAAACCCATGACAAGTCAACCCTTTAAAAATGAACAGTGACGTCGGCAGACTGAGCGGTTCTTTGCTCATCGCGCCGTAGGAGACGAGGTGGGCGTCGGGGCCGAGGAGACGCGCCATGAGGGAGGTGGGTTTGCCGGAGACGCAGTTTAGTGCGAGTTTTATTCCTTGGGAGGAGGAGGAAGTCCATGATTTGATGAGGGATTTTGTGGAGGGGGAGGAGAGATCGGTGTAGGTTAGGACGTGGGTCGCGCCGAGAGCGGTCAGTTCCGCTTTGAGGGCTTCTGTCTCTTCATCTGAAGAGCTGGGTGAAACGGATGAATTGAGGTTAGTTATACTTGGAATTGGAAGGTCAGGGGAGGGATGGAAAGAACGAACCGCGCGCGGATGAGGTTAATGGTGTTTAGACCTCGGGATTTGGCTATTTGTATGACAGCTTGTCCGACCTGCAGATTCATATATATATATGTGTGTGTGTTTTGGAAGAAGGAAGAAAGAAAGAAAGAGAGGGGAAGGTCCTACAGCACTGTTCGCCCCATTCTGGATGATCCAGTCTCCTTCTTTCAAGTCTACATAATCCCTAAGCATATTATACGCCGTCGGATAATTCACCTAACATCCCATCACCCCAAAATCCCATGAATATAAAATCACTCTCAGCAACGCTACAAAAATACACGCAAAATACAGACACAAGAGCGAGCGAACGCACAGTGATCGTAGCCGCATGCACCTCGCTCAATCCCTCTTCCCTCCCAATCCTCACCACATCCTCCACACCAACATTCACCCCGCTCCTCCACGTCCCACTCTGCGGCCTCGTCAGAATCACCCACTCACCCTTCTCGAACCTCTCCCCTTCTCCCTTCCCTTCTCCCTCCCCTTGTCCCTGTTCACCACTCTCAACGACCTCGGCTAAGCCCTCATTCCCACTAACGAACACGTCCTCTCCGCTTTCAGACTTTGAAAGTGACGGGTCTCCGGGAAAAGACGCGGGAGCTGGTTTGGCGGGGTATACGCCCTCGATGACGTTTATGTCGCTTGGGTTTATGGGTGCGAGGAGGAGGCGGAGGTTTAGAGTGTTGGGAGGTGGGGGTGGGAGGTTAGGGTAGGTTCGGGATGAGAGGACGGAGGATGGGGAGCCGGTTTGGGAGTAAATTAGGGCGCGGTTGGCGTTGAGCGGGAGGGACGACGAGAAGAGACGGGTGCTGGGGACGGCGATAGTATGTGCTGGGAGCCTTCGCAACGAGAACATTGTCGTCGACGATGAAGGACGCGAGAAAGTGCGACGCGTCGAAATGTGTATGTATTCCGTGACGTCATCATCCTAAGTTCGAACATGCTCATGCAGGGCCACAGTGGCGTAGCTAATTACCCCTATGCAGAATTTCAAGAAAACAAGAAAGCGATCACCCCTCGCAGCCAACACTAATCGTACAATCAGACTACCGCACGTTCTACTCCTCCTTCGATCCCTTAAGCTCGAGCTTCTGCCCCCACACCAGTTCCTCCACCTGCTCCTTCCCGCCCGTCAACTTCAACAAGATACCCCACACCGGAGTCAACAAAGGCACAAACATCGAGACTCTCTTCCTGTACGCCCCATACGCTTCGGGGTACTTCGACATGGAGATGCTCTCGGTGAAGATAGTAGAGGATACGAAGAGGGCGCAGAGCGCCAGCGATGGTGCGAGCGGCGCAAGAAGTTGTAGGGCATCGCTCAAGGTGGTAACTTCAGGATGTACAAGAGGTCCGGTGGGCGAAGACAGCACAGGAAACAGAGTGATCACGCCCTAATCATCGTGGTCATTTTCGGTGAATATCAGCCCAAGTCCCACGTAGTTGGAGTCGATCGACGTACCCAGAACGTTTGTTCACACCAGAAATTCGGATGCCTCGACCAAGCCCACAGTCCCTTCGTGCAGAACCCCCTCCTCCGATCCGCCTCCGTCCACTTCAACCTCGCGCCAGGCCACTCCACAGCCTTCCCATCATACTCACCCAAAGCAGGGTCAGCGTGCTTGAATGTCTGGTATGCGAACTGTTGATTGTCCGCGGTGAATTCGATGGCGAGTAGAGTGAGCGATACGGCGGTAAGGACGTAGTCTGTGATTGTGAGCTCGCGCGGAGTGGATAGTGCGCGGTGGGTTGGGAAGGCGAGGAGTAGGAGGAGGAAGTTTTGGATGCCGGCTGGATAGGGGTTAGTCAGTAAGTCGCGGTGTGAACAAAAAACGAGCATACCGATGAAAGTGAGGTTTGTGACTTGGAAGAGCCATGGAGGAATTTTGGTGCGAAGAACTACCCAACGATAATCTTCGTCGTCACTAGTAGATGTGGCGTGCATCAATACGAGCGAGCACAGAGTAGAGAAAAACGAATAACCTACAGACGGAACAATCCTCTCCTCCAAGTGTTATACGACAATCTGCACATCCACAAAAACTGAAAACCCCCGGTCAGCCAAATTGAAACCCAGGTATAGCCAGAGAATGCTCACAGTCAAAGCCAACATGAGCACCGCTCTCGGATGGAACGCCTCCACCACCTCTCCGACCACCCTCTCCGGCACATACGGCGCCAAATACCCAATACTCTTATTCTCATTCGGCCATAACGGTAAGAGGGCCCAATACGCGGTGTAAATAGTGGGCAGGAATGTCCATAGACGGTCGACTTGCGAGACGTTGCCGGTGATGAGAGAAAGGACCCATGTGGTGAGAGTTGTGGCGAAGCAGAGTTTGAGGGGATATTGAAAGGTGGGCGGTATGAGAGACGGTTTTCGTGAGCTGAGGGGCGGCATTTGTCGTTGGAGGTGTCGTCGTTGTCGTCGTTGGAGGTCAAGATGTGGTCAACATCGACCGTGAGGACGTCGTACGCGGAGCGTGGTTGATGGTGATGTCACCCGATTCCGGACGCGACGCGGTTCGGAATCGCGCCACGACGACACCGCGACGCCGACTCGGGCCAATCCTATGTTCCTCTTTCTCTTTCTCTTCCTTCTCCCCTTTGCTGTGCTGTTGGTACGCCAGGTAACAGGCGTCAACCATCGCCAGATCTTTATGTCCCCATTCAAAATATATTTTTGATGATGCAGTTCACGATAGGGAACACTTCGCTGAAAAAAAGTCTTAGGTCTACGGGTTTCTTTCGTTGAAATCTCTAGAAATATGTTGCACTTGCAGGGCGTTCTCGGTGAGATCTTGTCGCCTGTGTGCATGGAGACTGTACAGGCTTCGTTGAACCGGCCATCTGGAACAACGATGGCATCACAACCCAGTCATCGTCTCAATGGTTACTATGCACCCGCTGCATATAACGAGCTGCCTTTTGTTCTCTCTGTACACAACGTGTCCCATTTCTGTTGTTCAAGATCATCGGGGACTGATTCTCACCGACTCGTGTCACAAGAGGAACTTAATGGCTGGACAGACGTTCCTCAGGCTCCTCTATGCGCATATCGAGTCTCGAAGGATTTGAGTCCCTACTACCGTGACTAGCCTCGGTAACGCTCGCCCGACATACCCCTTTCCACAGGAACCAATCCTACCGACGAATTATACATAGAAAATATCTAGCAGGCACTCTTCTACCCGTCTACCTATCCCCTAGACCTTCGTCAAGCCCCCCGTTCCTGTGCGGCGTCATCACGTCGAAGTGTTTCGGCGGCTGTACTGCCATCTTCGTAATGCTGATCCCAACTTCAACCCGCCTTACTTAAATGCTGGCAGCGATGATGGATGTTCGGCGGTACGCCAGTCGTCCTCTCCCCTCGTTCTTCATTCTTCACGAACGCGCTAGTCGCGTCTTTTGACTCTCTTTTGGCTCGAACTTGGACTTAGACTCGGACTTTTAGAGTGCTATTCTACTTCTGAAGCATCTATTTCTATTCTTACGCTTATATTTTCTCGGAATGAAGCCCTCGACGTTTTCACTCGTTTGCTCCTTGGTTAGGTTGTCCTCGGCTCTTTACGTCCCTGTCACCGTCGAGAGACGGGATAGCAAGTCACCTTCTTTCGCGCTTCCCTCCGACGTTGGCATCCCCTTCACATCTGGTCAGAATTCCCTGGCCACCACCACGTCGAATCAGCCAACCATCCAGAACGATCATAATTTGTTGGTAAGCGTGACACCAAACTGTTTCATCTCGCACTGTGCGCTGATCTCCGACGGGCGCTGGCAGTACCAAACGCAGATTAATATTGGTGGTCAAGGTCAGTTGAATCTGGCTGCTTTGAGCCGATGAATGTACTCTGATGTTATGGACAAAACGGTACACAGATATAACGGTGCAGGTGGACACTGGTTCATCGGATCTATGGGTGTTCTCAGAAAAACCTATCAATAACTTCAACCAGTCGGAGGCACAACCTGTCAATATCTCATACGGCTTGGGTTCAGGTCAGCTCACTCATATGTTCATTTCCGGCATGTATTGACGAGAAATAGCTTCCGGTCCTGTTGGTTTTGCTCCCGTTTCGTTAGGATCCTACACCGTAGAATCCCAAGGTATGATTGTTGCCCGATTTGTGTTACGGTCCTATATTTACGAACGTCTTTCACAGCCTTCATCAATGCAACAAGTGTAAGCCTCGCTATCTCCTTTTTCATCGCATAAAAAATCTGACGATACCTCTAGTTCACCGTATTCCCACAAAGCCTCTTCCCTCAAGGCGTCTTCGGTATACTCGGCCTTGGCTTCAACACCCTCGACGGCATCTCTCCCCTCGCCTCCGCAGTGGCCAAAGCTTATCCAGACACACTCACTTTGGGCCAGAGTACCATCGCCAACATCTTCCAACAAAACTCCTCCCTTCCCAACTACATCTCCATCCTCCTCGGCCGCGCCAACGACATCGACGGCGTCACGAACGGAGTCTTCACCATTTCAGAACTCGTGTCCGGCTACGAAAACATCACGCAGACGCCGAAGTTGGATCGGTTCGTGACGGATGGGGCGGGGTCGAGGTGGTCGGTTCTGTTGGATGGTGTGTCTGTGAACGGGCAGAATGTGACGCTGAGTTCGGGGACGGGGACGGATAAGGGTGTGGCGCAGGGACAGGCGGTCGCGGTGCTGGATACGGGCGCTACGGATGGGAGTATTCCGAAGGTTTTGGTGGATGCGATATATAGCGGGATGCCGGGTGCGGTGTTCAATGAGACTTCGAAGCAGTGGATCGTTCCGTGTAACTCTACTGCAGATGTGCGGTTCGTTTTCGGGTGCGTTCACATCCCGTCTTTTCTTTCTTTTGCGTTCACCGTTCCTTCAAACTGATAATGGTGTCTTTATTTTTTTCGACTCAGCGGCCAAGAAATCGCCATCCACCCCCTCGACCTCGCAACCCCCCAACAGATCTCCACATCCTCAGGAACCCTCACAACCTGCATAGCCTCCTACGTCGAACTCGACCTCGGGTCCGGCTTTGCAGGCTTCGACATGCTCCTCGGCGACGCCTTCCTCCGTAACGTCTACGCCCTCTTCGACTACGGCCAGCTCTCCTCTTCCGCCACCACCGTCTCCGACGCCTTCATCCAGCTCTTACCACGCACGGATCCACAGCTTGCGGTGCAGGATTTCGAGAGCAGTAGGCAGACGGTGTTAAAGACGGCTCCGAAGGAGGCGACGGCGGAGCAGGTGAGGGAGAGTTTGGGGTCGGCGGCGGGGAGTGATGAGGGTGCTGGGGATGGGGATGGGGATTCAGGTGCGGGGACACCTTCGGGGTCTGGATCTGCGGCGCCGGAGCCTTCGTCTTCATCGGGGGCGAAACGGGTGGGTGCGGGGAGGGGGTTTGTTGGGGGAGTCGGAGCCATGTGGTCGGTTTTTGGTTTGGTCACCTGCTTGTCGTACTTTGGATTTCCCTAATTGGACGCGGACAACTTGTGTCACCTCTGTCTGTCCTCCGACCGTGCCGGGTCTGACTTCTGTCCGCAGCCCTTCTTGCACCGTCATACGTCTGAGGCATTGCTGTTGCTCCGTGTAAGATCGCTCTGCTGCGACTATCTGGGCGACGTACCTACTACCCCCCTCCCTTTGGGAATTGGAGCAGACACTATTTTATGAGTTTCGCCGGGATCTATTGTACTACTCTATTTGTAGTACTACCAGGCAGACAGTGATTTGAATACAGCACAGAAACAGAATATCCTGCCGGTCAAGAGATTAACAAGATGAATAACAAAACCAGGGACTGTTAATGTCTATATTGAGTCCGACGTATCCGTACGTGTACTAGTAGATCACCATCTTCATCGTCTATGATATTCATTGTAAGAAGCAAACGGGGTCCAGTTGAATGAGACGATTGCATGAGAATTAACAGCCCCACCGCCCAGACGCTCTGTGGAAACATTCATCAGTCCGAGTCGGTCACTACTGACTGAACCTCCCAGTTGTGGGGAGTTGGAAATCCAAAGGACGCACCAAGTGGCCCCTACGCAAGAACATCTTGAGGCCTCAACATAACTGTCCTAGTGCGCTTTATCTCGCCGCTCTGAGAGCCAAAATATCTATGCACACAACGAAACGTCAAAAATTGCAGTCTCACACGACGAAAGTGGACAAATCACTCACCTCATAGATGCGAACGACCATTCCAGATTCCCAATCGGCCAATTTTCCATCTTGTCCACATACTTCTTCACGGCCGCATCTAGTTCTTTCGACCCAAAAGACTTCGACACTAGCTCTGCCTTTGCCTCCGTGTACTCCTTCATTAATCCTGCGTAGACATCCCCGACGTAATCGCTCGCATCTTGTAGGTCGATGTTCTTGGCCGCCATCAGAACAGACAAGATATTGTTCCCGGCAAGGCCCTTGGCTTGTTCCACCTTATATGAGTACACATCCTATCGAATGGAACCATCAATTAGTCGCCAGATCCCGGAGAGATATAACTACTCACGTTCGCCCACCATACCATATCCACTGCGGCCCAATAAATTCTCGACAACGCCGTATCCTCAAATACTACGTCTGGGAGATCGATCCCAAGCGTATACTCTAGCAGGCCGAGCATTAACGGGACGCCAGAGTTGTCCCTCCTGAGGTGCTTGAACGACTCCATGTCAAGGATTTGACTTCGTTCGCGGTACCCAGCCTCTTTCGTTACGCAGTCGATGTAGTCTTCGCTGACCTTCAAGAATCGACGAAACGACTGGGGTCCGGCTGACCGCAGGAATCGGGCACGAAAGCTTTTAATAATACCAATAGTAGAGGGTCAGAAAGGATACGCTTAAATGACAGTCCAATGCGGAAGCAAAATAGTGCTCACTCCCTTGTCATTTCCGCGAGAGCAGACCCATCCGTCCACTCCGCATCGCGCAATGCGTTTAAGAACACGTCCCCCGTCTCTCCGGCGTCCTCTCCATTCTGCATATCAGAAATCTCATCTATGGCGAAAATCAAGTTCATGAAGTCGCAGCATGTCCGAAAGGTCTCGTAATTGGCGTGAGGATAGGCATATGCGACAAGGAGTTCGACCTTGCAGACGGCGAACTCTGTCAGCTCCTGGTCCGAGAAAATGCTGTAGCTGGAGAACCAAGCCGAGGACTCTGAGGCGGTTGTGGCCCAGTGGGGATTCATCGAGGCTTTGAAGGGACTTGAAAGGCGAAGGAGGTCTGGGAGGATGTAGGACTCGAGAGAGGTGGAGTGGGGGATTTGTGTCGTCGAAGTCGCTCCCATCTTGGAAAAAGTCGAATACTGCTGGTAGACAAGGAAATGGTCGATGATATGCTTGTGAGGACTATAGTGTACAACGTCGCCCTTTATATTTCGAGAGTAGTCATATTTCCGGTGAAATCCTGCCAGGGTCTCGAGTACGGCGAAGCGCTGAGGATAGCCCTGAGTACATCTCATCCTTGAGTGCAGCCGCATCCGGAGAATTAACTCTCGAAACCGTATATTTCGATTCACGCCGTCTGCCACTTTGTGACGCGTTTCAGAATGCATTATGATGGTCCTCAACCACATACTGATGTTGAGTACGTTTATCCACGTCGGTGTGGAGAAAAGGAGCGGCGAGATAACATAAAAGTCCATCGAAATGCCTAGTGTAGACCAACAAGCGCGATCCTAGATGTCCGTATTGGGCGTGGGGCTCTCGAGTGGATAGAAAGACGCGGCTAGAAAAGTTCCAACGGGTTTGAGCATCAATTACGGTAGTCCTTCAGTCGCCTGTTGATGTCGAATATGGCACCGAGCGGACACCAGGAGCGGCGCGATCCTAAATGTCCGTATTGGGCGAGATGGCTTTCGAGTGGATAGAAAGAAAAGTTCTAACGAGTTTGAGCGCCAATTATGGTAGTTCTTCAGCCGCCTGTTGATGTCGAATACGGCACCCAGTGGAAACAAGGAGTGGCGCGGTCAATTGTGTGGCGTTTCTCAATGATATGTGCTTAGCGAAGAGTGGAGGCCATAGGGACCGTGCTGTCGTGTTCTGTCATCTCTCTGTATTCTCAGGGTGGATTATTGGTGGACCTACCTGTGAAGCAATCAGTTGAATCTCTTTTTGACCGGCTTTAGTGTTTGAACAAGATCCGTACGTCGACTCGTCACCGAACGTGAATTCTTGCATGGCACAATATTCCCTCGCCAGGTAAGAAGGGCTGGTATATCGGATAAGATTTGAAGACAAGGAAAGCTGCTTACGCTCGCCCAGCACTTCATGTCAACCGCGGTGCAGTATGTGCTCTCGAACGTCGCATATCCATACGACGGATCCGGAAGAGTGAGCCCACACAAGTCAAAGGCCAATGAAGGGCCCCCTTGAGGTGTTTCAAGCTCCATGCCAAATATTCATCCTGTGTCGCGATATCCTACCCTCTTCACTACAAACCAATGTAGTCTTCACCATGCTTCACAAACCGGAGAATTAGAGCCCGATTATTTTTGAAGTGCTTACAAAATCTATAGGCAAAGAAACGATCGAAGGCGAAACGATAAGTTGTTGTCAGTATAGCCGTGTGGGTTGAAGTGGAATTATAGTTCCTACTGTACTTAGTTGTTATCATTGCAAGAGCAGAGCCGTCCGTTTCAGGATCCTGTGTTACGTTGAGATACGCTTTCCTGCGCTTTCCCCATCAGCATTGCATCCTTTCCACTCTCACAGCCGCCGGTTTCATCACGAAGGCAAGTTGAAAAGTCGTAGCAGGTTCGGGATGTGTCGTAACTGCCGTGCGGGTGTATGTGTGGGTTAGGTAGCTCGTTCGATCTCCGTGGATGAAATGTAAGTAGCTGGACACCCGGGTCAAGGACTCTAAACTGGCCCAATCCAGTGAGGATCCGTGGAATTTTGGAGGATACAGAGAGACGAGAGCAAGTCCCAGAGAATATACGATCCAATCAAATGGGTGGATACAAAAGCATAGTCGGAGCTGTCATCGCAGTACCTATGACCAGAAAGTAGACAGAAGCGCGAAGTTCGGAAAGAACTACGGCTGCAAAAATGAGACGACTGGCATGGTCATTACGATGTTAAGAGCGGGTCGTAATATGCACGAAGAAGGTCTGCAAGTTGCAACAATCGTGGCACAACAGTGGAGGCCGTTCTCGCCGCCGCGTTCACTGTAGTTTTTCGACCGTATGTTCGTCACGCATCACGCAGGGTGCGCCGGCGAACATATTTGCCCCGATGGTCACGCATATGCGCGGGCCCACGAACAGCAAATCGTGACCGATTTGCGCCAAAAATCGCCCAAAAATCAAATTTTCGGTCATTCCGCGAACAATTTCATTGATTCGTCACGCGTGGCCCACCCAGACGAACCTTGGTCTGGCGAAGGTCACGTCTGACATAATCTTCCCACGAACCTACGGTCGAAAAACTACAGTACATTGGGCAGGCGAGTCTTGTAAAGAATGATCCAGTTTACAGCTGTTACGGTGAGTTTCTTCATAATAACTTGTTGATGCTTGGGGACAGGGAAGAATGGCGAGGCCGTAAAGATGATGCGTGGTCGACGTCACGGTGTTTTCTAGTAAGAGCAGCTCGGGCAAATTCGGGCCAAGTCTGCTCAGAAGCTGAGTCAGCAGTCTACGCTCTCAAGAACCACCACGGCACCCAGCGGCACCCCTAGCGGCACCCACCGGCGTGACCCCGCCAGCGTGGAGGTCGATGAGCAAGTCAGCTCGACTTTCGATGGACTTGTCTAAGTAAATTGCTCTGATATCGTCAGTATATTTTGGTACTCGAACATAGAAACATTCCTCAAGTCAATGACCTTGGATCATACTGCCATCACCACAAAACACCGGTACGTCGTCACTAGTAATATTAATCCCCTGTCACCGGTGTCCCCGTCTGCGGTGGATACTATGCCATACGGTGATTACAAGACTATCCTTCGTGTGCAGGAGTTATAACCCGTTGCGGTTTCGCAGGCGACAGAGACGAAAACGCGTCATGGATAAGTCCAGCATAATTATGACTTAGTGGTTTACACAGGTCCGTATTTCAATCGCACTGCGTCACAGCCTGCAAGAGCGCAACTGGGGTAGTTACTGGGACGGCTGCTTCATATCCCTCACCCCATGCCCACATTTTGCACCATTAGAGGGATTGTCTCGGGGAGGACTAGTTCCTTCAATTCGATCACGCTAATTTCTCATGCTGCTGTTTTCGGTGCTCATCACCGCCGACAAAGATCGTATCCTGCGCGCTCAGGACTGCGCCCAGTGATGTTGATCCCTCCTCTTAGCTGCTGGTCTATATGCGTGGTCGATCAATAGGTTTGCTACACAAAGTTTCTCACAAGCATCGACGAGAATTCGGCGCATCTGTTTCCCAGACTACAGATATCTGCATCTAATAGGTCGTGGGCTACCACAAGTAACTCCAGTCATGAATTGTCCTGCGAAAGTGGGATGCACCGTTTTTGAGCAAAGCTAACCCGCAGGAACTCCCGAATGTTTCTGCTCGAGACTTGTTTGCAGACCACACACGACAAACAAAATTGCCATCGGCCGACATGCTCATCACAGAATTCATACTTGATGCCTATAACTACAGAAAGACGGCCGCCGTAAGAGACGCCTGCATACCTAGCCTATCCTCTGTTGTGAGAATACATCAAACCACACCAATGATTGGTTGTGTCGATTTTCGTCACTCTGTTTTTGACGCTCACATCCACCATTAACCTAAATACAACTTAGTCTAGTCGCCATGTCAAGTTAGTCGCACTGCTTTTACAACACCTTTCGACGAGTTAAAAGTCGGCTGATGTTTGCTGAAGCACTGCACGCGAGTCGTCTCCCCCTTTCCCTCTTTCATCGTCAGGAATCGCGCTAGTCGCGTTATTCGTTTTTGTTTCGAGTTTATAATCAGCTTACCCTCTTGATAATGAAAACCATTCCTTTGTATCTCTTCTCGTGTCTAACTCTGACCTCGGCCCTCCGTATCCCTGTAACAGTGGAGAGACGTGCGGCTCCTCCCAGCTTGGGCGTTTCTATCAAGTCCTTGGGTCTATCATCGTCATCTGCATCATCATCCAGCCAGCCTGAGATTGCTAATGTCAATAATGTATTGGTGCGTCTTTATGTTTGATGTCAGATATAAGCCTGCGCTCTTACCTCGTTCTTATAGTATGCGACAAATATCACAATCGGTGGCCAAGGTATATATATTTGAGGCCCTTGATGTTTATCTGGCGTTGAACACACTGCACAGAGATAACAGTACAGGTCGACACGGGATCATCGGACTTATGGGTGTTCTCGAAAACCCCTCTAACGGGTACCACACCTGCTAATATAACGGGCAACCTCACGTACGGCGTCGGTTCCGGTTAGTTCATTCTGTAGTCAATCCTCTAATACAAGAAAAAGGACTGACAATCTTGATAATGTCGTCAATTAAACATGAATATAGCTGCCGGGCCTATTGAATTCGCTCCTTTCACCATGGGCTCCTACTCGGTTGCTCAACAAGGTATGTCTTCGGTAGAAGTTGTCGTAAATAAGCACCGAATCCTTACTGTGACTATCATAGCTTTCATAAATGCCGCCACTGTGCGTCTCATCCCTACTCTACTGATTTGGGTTTGTGAGATCTCTCATTCTCTACCTCTAGACCACAGCATTTTCCGAGAATCTTTTCCCAATAGGCGTCTTCGGTATTATGGGCCTAGGATTCACTGTCCTCAACGACATTTCGACAATCAACAATCGCGTTGCACAAGCCTTCAACGACGATACCCTTGGTCAGAATCCCATCAACAACATCTTCTCTCAGAACACCTCCACCCCAAACTTCATCTCCGTTCTCCTCGGTCGCGGTGATGATCTCGACGGTGTCACAGACGGAACCTTCACCGTCTCCGAAGTCATCCCAGGACTGGAGAACATCACAAGCACACCTCAGTTGGCACGACAGGGTCCTGGAATCGGAAGGTGGACGGTCCTTCTGGACGGCTTCTCCGTGAACGGGAAGGAAATCCCTCTAAATTCGAGCGTGTCGGGCATGCCGAGTGGAAAGTCCCTAGCGCAATTGGACACGGGAGCCACCGACGCGGCCATCCCACCCTTCATGGTGACCGCGATCTACAGCAGCATGCCGGGCGCTATATTCTCAGAAGGGGACAACTTTTGGATCGTGCCCTGCAACTCCACCGCTGACGTGCGGTTCACTTTCGGGTAAGCAACAAGTCTTCAAACTCTCATCTGCGCGTCTGCATAGTCTCAAATTGGTCTGACCTGCCATTGAATGGCTCTTCGCAGTGGTCAAGAAATCGCGATACACCCTCTCGATCTCTCCGGTCTCCTGCAGATCGGGTTCGACAGCACGACGAACCTCACAGTCTGCACCTCGAACTACCAAGACGGCAGCGCCCTGGTCGGCTCAGACCCAGAGTTCGACATGAACCTCGGGGACGTCTTCCTCCGCAACGTCTACGCCCTATTCGACTACGGCACGCTCGGCATCCAAAACAACCAACAAGTCGTCGACGACGCTTTCATTCAGTTGTTACCACGCACGGACCCCCAGCTCGCACTCTCGGATTTTACTTCTAGTCGCTCGAAGCAACTGTCGAATAGTGCGCCGGAGGCTACTGAAGATCAGATCAAGGTGGTGCTTTCTGGTAATGCGACGGCTGCTGGGACGGGCGTTACGACTGTCACTGGAACTACGCCATCTTCGTCCCCGACGTCGACCTCGGCGTCTAAGAAGTCTTCGTCCACCAGGAGCGTGGTCACTGCGGGGTGGTGGTCGGTGATGAGCTTAGTGGGTATGGCCGCGTTCTTTTCTGTAGTCGCGTAGAACGCAGACGTCCAATCCTTTACGTCCCTTCCTCACTATAATTGTGTCCAGCACACTAGTACTGTCTGCAGTAGAAAGGCTCACACTGCATGCTCATAACTGTTACGTCCTCATCTTTCGACGCTTCCATCCCTGTCCTTCTCTTTCTCTCACTCAACGGCTCTGATTCCGCATACACTGGCACGTATCTATATTATTCCTTAAGGTAGCAGATCGCATAGCCGTGGTATCCACTCGCATTTTCTTGGGATTTGCATGGTCATTATTACTATGTATGTAATGTAGGTCCCCGAGCTGACAAACTATGGAAGCGTTTGTCTCCGTTACCTGTTGTGAATCTCCTCGATGTCGCGGAGATGCAAGTCCCTTGAAAAGCTATGACTGCTGCTCGACGAAATATATCCCTGGCCCTATCGTGCATCATACCACAAGTCTTGATGACAAGGAGTCTCAACCAACAACCGCAAGAAAGCTCGACCGACTTGACACGTATTCCAATTGTTTGTGTAGCAAGGGACCATGAAGGGTACGATTGGTGGCTGGTTCGACAATATCAGGATGCTCTGGCGTTATGGCTTCACTTCGCCCATGAATGCACAAAAGCTCTGTGTACTGTTCTTATCCACTCACGCTCACACACACAGAACTCAGGCATTATCACACATCTATAGAGGCAATAGAAAGAGTAAAGAAACCGTATTATGCATTTTGAGTCTCCACCACCACCCAACGAAACATCCAACACGTCCAGTCCGCCATCCGTCCTCACCCAACAGCTCAGCAAGGATAGATATACTCTACGCCAACAGCACACAACCAAGCTCGCCTCGAAACAACACACCACTCAGCTCCTCTCAGAAATCACCGCGCAAGCGGGTAATTTAAGCGTTGAACTGTGAGACGTGCTCCTCGACGACCTTCTTGATCTTCTCCTCAACGTCACCGGCAACGTTTCCGGTCGCGATGGTCTCGAGGAGAGCGACCTGCTGGGTGGTGAGGTGCTCACGGAACTCAGCCTCCCACGTGGTGATCTTATCGACGGGAATAGAGTCAAGCTGTATCACGAACGGCCATGAGGACAAGTTCGAAAAATACAAAAACAAGACAGTACGCACGAGACCGTTGACACCAGCGTAGATGATGGGGACCTGGATCTCCATGGACATGGGCTGGTACTGGCCTTGCTCTGTGACGAAGTTCAGTTAGACAAAGGAAACGCGCAACGATTGGCGGTGGACAACGTACTGAGGAGCTCGGTCAGACGGGCACCACGAGCAAGCAAGAAACGGGTGGAGGCATCGAGATCGGAACCGAACTGGGCGAAGGCAGCAACTTCACGGTATTGAGCGAGGTAGAGCTTCAATGAACCGGCGAACTTCTTCATGATCTTGCTGAGAACGTGGTATTACGTAAGTTAGCAGAAACTTCCCACGAAAAAGTTCGAAAGAAGCATGACTGACGTCTGGGCAGCGGAACCGACACGGGACACGGAGAGACCGACGTTGATGGCAGGACGAACACCACGGAAGAAGAGCTCGGCCTCCAAGAAGATCTGACCGTCGGTGATGGAAATGACCTATAAAGCACTTATATTAGCCCTGTCCACTGCCCCAAATGAAGGTAAAACATACGTTGGTAGGAATGTAAGCGGACACATCACCACCCTGGGTCTCAATGATGGGCAGGGCAGTAAGGGATCCTCCACCGAACTTCTCGTTCATCTTGGCAGCACGCTCAAGGAGACGGGAGTGGAGGTAGAAGACATCACCGGGGTAAGCCTCACGACCGGGAGGACGACGGAGAAGGAGGGACATTTGACGGTAAGCGACGGCCTGCTTGGACAAATCGTCGTAGATGATGAGGGCTAGAAAGGAACCATTAGTTTCACAGTCTATGTATCGAGCGGATACTGGGACTTACCGTGCTTGCCGTTGTCACGGAACCACTCGCCCATAGCGCATCCCGAGAAGGGAGCGAGGTACTGGAGAGGAGCGGCCTCGGAGGCGGTGGCAGCGACGATGATGGTGTACTTCATGGCATCGTTCTCCTCGAGGGTCTGGACGAGCTGGGCGACGGTGGAACGCTTCTGGCCGACGGCGACGTAAACACAGTAAAGCTTCTTGTCCTCGTCCTTGCCGTCGTTCCACCTCTTTTGGTTGAGGATGGTGTCAATGGCGACGGCGGTCTTACCAGTCTGACGATCACCAATGATAAGCTCACGCTGGCCACGACCGATGGGGACCATGGCGTCGATGGGCTTGATACCGGTCATCATAGGCTGGTTGACGGAACGACGGGGAAGGATACCGGGGGCCTTGAGGGAGGCACGACGACGCTCAGCGGCGTCGATGGGGCCCTTGCCGTCAATGGGGTTACCAAGGGCGTCAACGACACGGCCGAGGAGGCCAGGGCCGACGGGAACGTCGACAATCTGGCCGGTACGCTTGACGGTGTCGCCCTCCTTGATGAGACGATCGTTACCGAAGATGGAGACACCGACGTTGTCGGCCTCCAAGTTCAAGCACATGCCGCGGATACCAGAGGAGAACTCCACCATCTCCTCGGCTGTGCAAAGCAAAGGGGGCGGAAGAAGTCGGTAAGCAGCGCGCGCGGGGCGGAACAGGAGGCAGTTGAACGTGCTCACCCTGCACGTTTCTGAGACCCCAGACGCGTCCGATACCGTCACCGACGCCTGTGGTGGATACAAAGTGAGCTGGTGCGAGCAATGAGACGCTGAGAGCGCGACATACTGAGAACGCGACCGGTTTCCTCAACATTGCTGCCTACGGAAGAGCCAGCTATCCGGGACTCGAGGATGGAGGAGACCTCCGATGCAGCTGGTATGACGTGTAGCCGTGGACGCACGCAAACGCGACAAAAGGCAGTGACGAAGGACTCTCGTCAACGGCCGTCGACGGCGAGAAGGAAAAGAAAGAGACTGCACCAGGCTTCGCAGTGGCATATGTGCGTGCAACCACGGGTGCGACGCGGGCCTGCGGTTGGGGAAGACGACAAAAGTGAGAAAAAAGCGTATAAAATGCGGAAAAAAAGGGTTGAAAAGGGGCGTACGTTGTTGGCGGCGAGCGCGGCTGCGCGGCTGGAGTTTCTGAGGGCGAGTCTGTGCATTGGAGGGAGAGGAAAAGGGGGAAGCGGAGAGAAAACTGAGTGGTGGTCGTCGTCCGTCGTCCGAACCGATTCCACTCTCGGGCACCCTCGCTCAGCGGAGTTCCAATCCCCGCCCACTCCGACTTTGGCCGGCCCGTCCTCCCAACGGACGCGCCCCCGTCGACGCGCAGGACCATGGCCGCGCTGCACAGGCGTATGTCTTCCTTCTCGTCGTCGTGCGCGACATTCTGCTGATTTTATGTCCATTTTCTTGCAGTAAAAAGCCTGTTTCCGCCCGCTGTACGTGCGCTGCACTCGCAGGCCACGCCACCCACACCGTCCTCCACCGCACAGGCACTCAGTCTCATCCGCACACAACCATCACAATATATCATCGCTTCGATAGCAGGCCGGAAATACCTCCTCGCCCCGCGCGACCTGCTCACCGTACCACGGCTCAAGGACGCCTCAGTCGGCGACGTCCTCGCCCTCGACCGGATTCACGAAGTCGGCTCGCGCGATTACACAATTCGCGGCAACCCGGAGCTTTCACCGGAAACCGTCCGCGTAGAAGCGACCGTCGTAGAGCACACGAAGGGGAAGATGGAGCACATCTTCAAGAAGAAGCGGCGAAAGGGGTACGAGAGGACGATCATGCACAAGCAGACATACACTCGTCTGCGGATAGGGCCACTTGACATTCATCCTCCCGCGTCTTCATAGCATTTTCCTTGCTTTTTTTTTTTGCGTTCTTTTATTGTACTTTCAATCATATTTTCGGTGGCTCGATGGACATAACATGACATTGCGAAGCGATGACGACAAGAAAAAGCAGATAACTAGCATGAGACAATACATCATATCTCGCCCTCCTCAGGCGTCTCCTCCCGCTTCGGTGGCTCTGGAGCCTTTTCTTCCACTTTGGGCGGCGGCGTGGGTTCACGGTCCACTCTGGGCCTCTGCAAGACATGAGTGCGTTAGAGACCATGAAATGAAAACATAAGATATAAAGACAGACCTTCTCCGCCCTTTCCTCCAGCCTTTCGTCCGCGAGGACTACCGGATCCCTCGACCTCCTCCGCTTATCGTCTCTCTCAGCAGCATACTCCCTATGGTGCTTACTCGACCCCGACCCCCTCTCCCTATATCCCGCATACCTCTCCCTCTCCTTATCCCTATCCCTATAATCCCTCCCAGAATCCCTATCCCAATCTCTCTCCCTCTCCCTATCCCTCGTACTCTCCCTCCCATACTCCCTCGACGACCTATAATCATCATGCGAACCCTTATGATGCCCATACCTCGACGACCTGTCCCTTTCTCTCGGATCATACTCCCGTTCCCGCTCTCGTTCCCGCTCGCCGCCGCGGTCGCGGTCGCGGTCGCTCCTGTCAGTATGGCGATCACGCTCTCGCGCGCTGCTGTCTCTGTAGTCACCCCTACTGTCCCGGTCGCGTTCACGTTCTCCACCACGGTCCTTCTCCTTCTCCTTTTCTTTTTCTTTCTCCTTGACGGGCTCGCGCTCGCGTTCGCTGGGCCTTTCGCGCTCACGTTCGGGTTCTCGGTGAGGGATTGGTTCTTTCCGTTTTCGACTGGTAGTGGACCCTCCGTCTTCCGATAATTCGCGCAGTCGTTCCTAGAAGGCATCGCTATCAGTCTAAGGGCGGTAAGAGTAGAAAAAGGGCAACTTATGGCATACCTTCTGGCGTTTGGCGAACTTGGAAAAGGCAGCGCGGCGGCTTTCGTCATCCAGAGCTTTATACTCGGGGAGGTGTTCGATGAGGGGAATCGCCTATGGCGAGACGAGTCAGTTTCAAGGAAGAGGGCGAAACAAAAGTCTGGAGAACCCGTACCTCTTCATAGCCCATATTGACGTCGATGGGGTCGGCCAGCTTCTTCATGGCGTAGCGTAGATCATCCTGCATATGCCTCAGCTTCCTCTCCGCGCGGCGTCTCTCGTCAGCTTGCCGTTTGAGCGCCTCGTCGTGCATCTGTTAGACGCCAATCAAAAGATCAGAATCATCCAATGCTGTAAGATTGGGCACATAAGACAGGAATGGTACACTCACCGTCTGGAATACTTCCTCCAACTCATCCTCCTTCATCCTCAACAACTTCTCATCCTCATCCTCCCGGATCACCTTCATAAACTCCTCCTCCGTCGTCTCCGGCAACACCGCAAAATGCCTCACCTCCTCTTCCTCTTCTTCCTTCTTTACCCGATCCTCACCCTCTTCTTCCTTCTTCACCTTGTCGCCCTCTTCCTTCTTAACACGCGCCTCTTTCGCACTCGCATCCAATTTCGCATTATACCTCCGAATCGCACCCTCGACTATGACCATCTTCGCGTCCAATCGCTGGTCAAGGTCGTCGACGACGTCCCAGAAGAGCTCGAGCGGGTTCGAGCCTGGGTTTCCGAGTATGTCGAGGTAGCGGTTGTCGTCCGCGAAAGACGGATAGACCGTCTTCCACTTCGTGCGCGCCTTGATGGCGCCGGAGTCGACAAGGCCTTTCAGAAGATCCTACAGCACATGCCATATTTCGTCCAAGTTAGCTCCACGGTCACTTCCACGAAAGAATAATAAAGGAAAGAAGGAAGGGCGGAAAAAGGAAAAAGGAACGAACCTTGAACGCCTCCCTGGCCTTCCTCTCTCTCCTCGTCTTATCGATCTGCGTCCTTCGCATCTGTTCATCGAACTCCCTTTCCTTCACACGACTATAATCCTCAAAAGCCAACAATAAATCGAGGTTGGGAAGTTTCTGGAGCTCTTCGTCGTTTTTCCATTCTTCAGACTCGAGGACGAGCGCGTGAGCGGAGCGCCAGCGGGTAAGGACGTCAACGTCGAGCTGCTTGAAGAGTGCTACGAGTTTACCAATAGCACGACCGTGCGCTGCCCGGGCGTCTTGCTACTCGAAACGACATGAGCCTGGGTAATGGCGCGAGAGCAGAGTGAACTGTAAGACGCACCACTTCACGTTGCTTGAGCTCAGCGACGTACTCTTCAAAGATGAGCTTCCTCTCCGCTTCGACCTTCGCCTGCTGCCAGATCGGATGCTGTGCGAAGAGTTTGTCGGCGGTCGGGAAGGTCGTGTAGTGGAAGACGTTCGGGTTGCCCTTGAGCATGTTGCGGATAGCGGGACGCGTCTTGGCCAGACGAGCTTCGCGTTCCTCTTGCTCCTTCGCCTTCAAGTTATCCACATACTAGAAATACAGCGATAATGTCGCACCATAGTTAGCAAGACCAAGCAAAGAGGGACGTGTGATGGGGCGAACCTTCTGCCACGCAGCCTTCTTCTCTGCCAACGAGTTCAACGCCTTGTATAACGGGTCCGTGATGATAGCCCTCATCGTCTGGTCCCACGTCCAATTCTCATCTACCCCGGCTTTCCTCAACAAATAAGTGAACGCCTTCTCTCCCTCCTCCACCGTCGCAAACCCATTATGCGGTATCGTAGGCTCATCCGGCAAATTCGGACGCGCAGGCAGAATGCTCGCAGCATTCAATGGCAGTCCCGAAGGGGTACCATTGTGGTTCAGCCCGTCCATGCCGGGGTTCTGAGCGAGTGGGTCGTTGAGCGAAACGAGCGCGTTGGATTGGGGTGTGAATGCGGGTGCGATCATATGTGGGGCGGCGGGGAGACCGGCGGATGCGGGTGGTGGGGCGGCCAGGTTGGAGGGCTGTGGAGGGGCGTTGGCCATTCCGTCTTTCTCGACCTTTTCGAGGAGGAGGAGGAGTTCGTCTGGCATTTCCCATTTTGAGACTCTGGTATCCGTCTATACGAGCGCTTGTGAGTATCGGTTCGTACTATGATGAGGAAGGAAGGAAGGACTCACGTTGTAGTAGTACTTGCGTCCTCCAGAGAAGTATTCTTTCCATGGGGTTTGGTTCAGAGCGCGCTGTAACGGGTCAAGGTGACCGAGGGCGTACATTAGCTCTCATTCCTATCGCAGCAGCGTAACCCTTCCTTGATCCTCGCGCGTACCTCGAACGGGGTCTTCAAGTCTAAGTTCACGACGTGTCAGACCAGGATATATAAAGAAAGAACGAAATGGGCGCACCATCTGGTTTCTCCCAAACACTCTCCTTCGTACCAGTATTGAACCAGTAGGTACGTCCTTCCGGATTCCTATGTTCCGTCTGCGATACCCCAACATCAGAGTCAATGTTTGGGCCAATGAGTAGACTCTACATACCCAGATATTCATGATCGTATGTGAGTACAACTTTTAGCACCAGGCAGCAATGAACGAGACTCGAACAGGGAGGTCAAGTCGACGTATGAGAAGCGCGCCACATGTGCAGGTGTGAGAAGAGCGGAGTTTCAAACGCTTTCTTCTGTGGTTTTGTGTGGCGGTAGGCCCGCATCTCCTCAAAATGCCTCGTCCAAGACTTGGGATGATGAGAGGATATTATGAGGGTCGAAGCCAGTATCCGTGATATGTTATATATATTTTCCTTTACCAGTAGGCCTTTCGAAATAAGTACATCAATGCACGGTATAAGTAACAGCAAATTACAAGTATATTAGGAGGATGAATGGCTGGAGAGGTACTGGGGACAGCATTATATAACATACATAGAGAACAAGTGCAGCGTTGGTACTGAAAAGCATAACGATACAGAACGTAATGAACACATTATAATCATAAAGTAGTCTTACATATAGCAAGAGAAAGCATGAGAGATCGAGTACGATGAGGATGAGAAATAGTGATGGTCCAAGTCCGAAATGAAACAGCGGTGGCCTGGTAGAGAAGGAATCGATCAGCATCCTCTATGGCAGCGTTGTGAAAAGGAATCAGACATACCGAAAAGAGGTCCGATAACTCATCAGAACAACAACCCTCTGAAATACCCATCTTCCACCATTCGCTTGCCCACCACATCACCATCTCCCTTCGATGTCGCCTTCCGCTTCGTACTTCGTCCCCACCCGCCTGCCCAGAAATTCTCGTTCGAGATCGAAGACGGCAACGCTTGCTTCGGCTTCGGCACTCGCGACCTCTTCTTGGGCTTCGAGCGCGACGCTGCGTCCCCAGAGGCTTGCGACGACTTCGCCGTCGAGCCTCCTCCCTTTCTTGCCAACGTACTCATCCTCGAAGCCGTAGACTTCGCCATCTCCTTCCGATACGATGTAGCTCTTTCGCGCAACTCCTCCTTCGAGCCCGAAGCTTCGCTCCGTGGACGCTCCACAGGCTCCGGTTTCGTCTTCTTCGTCTCAGTAGTCGCAGACCTCGCCAGGTAGAGTACGGCATGTGAGAATGGAGTGAGCGGCCCCACCATGCTCAAGACATCGAGCTTAGCCGGCTTTTCAGGCTCGAGCGAGAACGGCTTGTCGCCGAAGCTGGGGAGTGGTCCGAATAGTGTGGACGCGGTGGATGTGGTGGGTTTTGTAGATGTAGATGAAGACGTAGACGTCAATGAAAGGGTCAGGTTGGGTTTCCGTTTCGGCTTCCGCGTCGTCGTGTCAATGTGTTTGGGGGCGTGCTGGTCGGATATAGATGTGGATGTGGCTTCGCTTGTGTCGACATGGGATGTATCAGAGGCGCCGTTTCGTGTGAGGAGACAGGAAGGTGGGGTTGGGGTAGAAATATGAGGTTGAGAGGGGGTGCATGATGGTGATGGGCCTGCTGCGAGGGCGAGGTCGGGTAGGGAGAGAGGAGAGGGAAAGGCACAAGTAACATTCAGAGACAAAGTGCCCAAAGGTCGAGGGGTATTGTCCACTGCATACTGTGGTCGAGCAGCAAGGGTATCGGCTCTGCTTACAGAGGGTCTCACTCGCAGCGAGCCCGCTTTCCGGTGCGATGATATGGCCATGGACTGAAAGCTAGAGGCGAGTTTCTGGATATAGATTTCCGGCAGCGGAAATAAATACGTCGCCATATCGTTGCCCGGTCGAGGACTGTCTGTCGAGCGAAGCGACTGGAGTGTAGGACAGCTAGGGGAAGATCGTATTGACGGTCGATGCAAACTGGAGAACCCAGCATTGCATGTGGGTGTGTGGGTGGTTAGGGTAGTCTGAGTCTGCATCATGAATAGTGTCGACCAATGGGTCAATGTTGGTGAGGGTAAGAGACTCTGGAGGCCGAAGTGAGCTCCGGGGCTAGGTGAGAGATGATTTGTCGGGAAGAGGAAGGAGGCACTTTATATGTTTTACAAGGACCTCGAAGCGCCTGACTACCCGCGTCGACCGTCGGTCTAGTTCCCAATCTGTCAAGCTCGTCGAGAGAGGCGGGCAAGACGACATGAGAATGTAGAGTAACCTTCCGTCATACTGAAGTGAGCCTATCTTCAGCCGAAGGAGGATTAAAAAAGAGGATTGGTCCATCGAAAGCGAGGTCAGTCGAGAAACGGGCCTAGACTGGACTTCGGCTCAGCTGAGTGTCACTGCGACGCGAGGTGAGTGGCAGCTCTTTTGAGGCGCATAGGCGAAGGGTAAAGATGATGTATGAATTCATATCTTTGTAGAGGACTCCATCCAATCGTAGCAAAGAAGAAGCATAATTATGTGTTGAGCAGTTCATGAGGTTGAAGCAAGAGCAAATCACCGCTTGAGCCGGGCCAAACGGGCATGGAGGATGAGTGGGGCGTGAGAATGTTTGCCCCTAACCCCGCTGACAATGTATACTGACCTCGTGTGGACGCTGGTGTTTATGCTCAAGAACTGCTGCATAACGATGGAATACCGGGTAGCTTAAGCAACGCCTACCGATTGGCAGTGTGTCTATACTAGGGATCAGTTCGATGACGTCTCGTCAAAGTACTTATTCGGGCTCCAAAAGTGCTTGTTAGGTCGTGTCCGACTCTGAGCAGCTCTTATTCACCGTGACGTCGGAGCTTCTAGTACGCTCAATGATGACTTGTAGTGTCCCCATGTTCACAGTGAGGCAGTCCGTAGATCGCAAGGGAGGAAGTAACCCGAAAGAAGATAGATATATAACGGAAGATTCAAGAACAGCTCATTCTTCCAGCGGATTCACCAGTGCCGCCGAATGCTGAAGATGTTCTCTCGACAACGCCACCACGTCCGTCTTGCATATCATGCCCGTCAACGTCCCAGCCTGCGTAAACATCACATGTCGCAGATTCTGTAAAATTAGCGCGGTCGAGTGACGTCGTTAGATTAAATGTACGACCTGCTATGAGCGGAGGTCAGTTGCAAGCACTCACGAGTTTGCGAAACATATTGACGACTAGTTCTAGGGGAACTTCTCTTCGTAGTTGAAGGACGTCCTCAACGAGGGAGGAGAGATCAAGGGTGTTGGTGCTGGAGGCCGCGGCAGATCGACGGGTGAGGATACATATTTTGTTCGCGGAACTTGGGTCGGATAGTAGAGGCTCTGTATGTGGACCACGCAACAACATGTTCAGTAGAGAGTGTAGTAGTTCAAAGGAGTGGAGTTACCGATGAAGGCCACCAATTTCTCTCTTCCAATGAAGCCGAGCAGTTTGTCACCTCCGATCACGGGGAATCCGTCATACTCCCAAGTTTTCACCAAGGACGCTTTGCGCGAGAATCCAGCCCAACTCAGTAAATGAATGAAACTCCAAGCAAGCAGCACAGGAGGGAGACTCACCGAGATGGCCTAGCTTATCTACCCCACTTCTCACTACCACTAGATTGTCCACAGGGATCATGACCTCTCCTGCCACCTCCCCTTTATCCTTATACTCGACGGGTGCAAGCCAAGGGTATCGTCTCATAGCAATCCATATTCCATAGATACCCTCCTCACCAAACGCATCACCGACCCATTTAGCAACCATGACAGATATCATGATAGGCAGGACGTGTGAAAGCGCGCCAGTAAGTTCGAAGAGAATGACGACGAGCGAAACTGCAAAGGATGGAAACCAGCACTCAGTACATGAAAGAGGCTAAGGTAAGATGGGGGTGATCTGCGTACTGGTCATTCGAGTGACGCCACCCAGCATTGCAGAGGCTCCAATGACGGCGTAGAAACCTGGCGACACGCAACGAACGGAAGGATCGGGCGGGCAGGCAGAAAAGATCCATGCCTTCGGGTACGTGCGTTGTAAGCCTTGCCTGATAACATTATTGAAGTAAGAGACTATGAGGCAAGGGATACAAGAAGAGGCAAGGTAGACGTACGTGATGAGGCCCACTGCTCTTCCGAGGGACGCTCCAATGGCAATGGTGGGCAAGAAGATACCAGCCGGGACCTAGGGACGTGAATCAACCTTGCGGACGAATGTCATCAATTTGAGAACTTGGAGTCATACCATCATACCGAAAGTCCAAGCTGTAAAACCAATCTTTGCCACTGCCGTCAACACCAGTAGGAAGATGTTTTCCCACAATGCTGATGGGCTAGTGTGTCGAGCCGTGTCAGGCAGCGGAAACAAAGACGAGTTTACGAGGACGTACTTGCATAAGCCGTGGAAATCACCTCGCGCGGGATCACATTCTTGGAACAGCTGCGCAACCAGTTCTGACGATTGCACCCTATGCGAGCGCCGTCATATAGCTATATCAGTTCCCAGTTCCCAACAGCCTCGTAGCCGGTACGTACCTGAGAAACACCACCTGTTACAGCGAAGGTTTGCGGTAATGAGTAAACCGGGAGTGGACTAGACTAGACGAATAACTAACCAGGTAACTGACAGCCGCGGTTATTGCTGTGGCACCCACGACCTCCAAGATCGGCATCTGGTGCAAGATGCTGTTGCGCCTGTATATCGCAGCCGCAACATTCAGCCTGATCAACAACGACCCAAGGAGACCCTAAAACCCGATTCAAGGCACAGTGAGGTAGCGGTCAACTTTAAAAGTTGGAGTACTTACGCCGAGCGCTGCAAGAAATAGCCATGGTATCTACGAATTAAGGCGGAAAAGGTAAGAAAGCTTACGCGTCGATATCTTACACGATGATAAATAGGAGAAAGCTCGGCGCGCTGACTTACCAGTTCGAACGCAAGCCACGTATCGCTTCCGCTCGTAACTTGGAACAGAACGAGCTTCGACGTGCCGAATGGGTCGACATATTGAAGTGCTACTGCCGCGATGACCGACGTGACGAAACCGCGCCAGATTACGTCGCTTTCATTTGCGAATGTGTCTAATTCTGTATAGGTCCGCAGCGGTCAAAGATCTGGATAGACATCCGACTGGGATGCTGTGGGATTACACAAACCTTCAAGCCCAAATAGGACACCACCAAGTGGACTACCAAAGGCGACGGAGACACCAGCAGCAGCTGCTGCTGCGAGGAGTTTGCGTTTCTGAGCTTGAATCCGGAGGATTAGCACTCTGGTATGAGTGCGGAAACAGGCAGAAAAAAGACGTACCTTCGTTCTTCCGGAATTGTTTGAATAATCGGGAGAGAAGAAAGGCCATGCAACACGAAACATGAACTAGAGGACCCTATTCGGTGGAACCATGTTAGAGATAGGGAGTGAGGAGAAATGGTCGCATTATGCACCTCTTTTCCCAGAGAAAGGCCGGAAGCGACGGAGAGTGCAAGACCTAGCGCCTTGATGAGAAGTGTCCACGCACTTAGGAAGCGGTCAAGTACATAACCACCGAGAATCTACGACAATGTGTTAGAGAACTACAGAAAGAGGGGTTATAGCACACTCACAGCTTTGATCTCTGGGACTACAAATATACGAGTTCAATATTAAGTGACAAGCACGAACTGAATAATGGCAGAGTTATGTACTTACTGCCGGTGTGGAAAGCACTGTACACGAACGATCAGAGGGTATTTCAGATTCGATGTGTTCAGCACGTACTATGGCGCATATGTTACCACAAGGAGGGCCGCACTGCTTGCGAAAGCTACCTTTACGGGAAGTCCGCATCAGAGGGCGTCTGAAAATGAAAGGTCAAAAGACCAACCGAAAGTGCGATGTAGATGAACGACTGCAATAGTGACTGGCCCAAGATAGTTTGTACGCCGAGATATGTGCTCCAAGATTTCCATTCACTGCAGACTTCGCCGGCTGATGAATTCAGTCAGATCGGTGGTAAGACCTTGGACCATCCTGAGAGAATACGCACGATCCAGGCCGCTACAACATGCGACTGAATTGTAGAAGAAGCCGTACGTGCACCTTCCCTCCTTCAAGTCACCAAGCCTGGAGCATCTTGAGAACAGTGTGCACTATGCATGACGTCTATGATGGCTCACCACTTGACCAGGACATCTAACCAGCCGCCAGCTATCCCCACACCGATGCCTGTGCATACCACGACGAACCACATCTTACTCGCTTCCACTAGCGGTCCAAACACGCCTCCAAGCCCCGGTCTTGACCTGATCTCCTTCCACCTCTCCCTCTCATTATAATCTTCGTGCCACCAGTCTATGGTGCTGCCGTCACGGTACTTTGGGCGTTCAGTGTTCGTATGGTGGCGAGGCCACTGCGAGATGTCTGCGTCCTCTAAGAGTTCATACTCCTCTGCAGCTGCCAAATTAGACAGTGAAGGCTTGAAATTATGTTTTGCAGCATCCCCATGTCGCTCTGCGCCTTGATAAGGGCCATGGGTAGCTGTAGAAGGGATAGAGCTATGCTTCATGAGCGGCCACGGTCAACTGCGGACGAGCGCGGCTGCTGTTGCTCACTGAATACTCTCCCACTCTTCCTGCCATGCATCCGTATTGTTGTTTTCTGCGCCTACTGGCTGATATGAGGCCATAGCGGCCGAACGAATGGTGAGCAGAAGCAAGAACGTCGTATGTAGACGCGGTGAAGGTCCAACCAGGTCCAACCAGAGGGCGCGTCGCGCATGACCCCAATCTCAGGTTAGGGCTCGCTTCTACACGACCGGATGCCCTGGAACTCGGCGAATCTCGTAGCAATATTTCGCGCGCGGTTTCTCCATATGGTTTCGGAACGCTGTTTGCACATTTTCTCAATTGGCTTCCCTGCCGGCGGGCCACGACAGGCGTGCCTTAGCTGCTGCTTGGTAGCAGTGAAGCTATAAGGCATATGTCAGATATATGTGCGATCAGGAGTACTTGTGAAACGCTGTAGGGTGCTGCCGCAGCCAACCGCCTCCGTAAGCTCTCCCATTCTTCGAGACGACAGCTGCCTAGCCTTGCTCACGACCGCCAAGAACGTCGACCGGGACAGACGCAGCATCAGACTCACAGTCATGCTGAAGCTCTTTGGATCCCGCATCCGGGCGGACGTGATTCTTGGCATTCTGTTATTTCATTTCCTATCCTTCTTCGCGTCCGTGACGGCATTGAGCATTACTTCACACCCTGCACAAGTAGTCAACAAGACGTTCACCCATGTCGTCGTTGGAGGAGGAACTGCAGGTCGGATTTCTGTCATTTTCTTAGAACTAACACGTCTGCTGATATAAACACCTTTTACTTTCGCGCCTTGTGTTTTTGTAGGATTGGCTGTGGCGAGTCGTCTCGCGGAGGATTCCCGTTTTTCTGTCCTCGTTATCGAGGCCGGCCCAGATGAGCAGAACAACACTATCATCAATGATCCTGCTCAGACTACGCCCGCCACCATGAGTTTCAGCTGGCAGTATCAGACCACCCCGCAGACCGTGGGAGGCAACGTCCTCACAATATTCCAGTCAGTTCCATACCCCTCGCCTATAAATAGCGATTCTGTCGGCATAAGGTCAATCAACTCACGTTGTTCTAAACAGAGGGAAGCTTTTAGGAGGCAGTTCTTCTGTGAACGGCATGCAATGGACGCGTGCGACGCTGGATCAATATGACTCTTTCGGGCGACTTGGGAACACGGGGTGGGACGCGGAGACCTTGTTCCAGTAAGTTAAAGTTTGCGAGGTACTTAGACGACCTAGCCCTGGCGAATAACTCATCCCAAATATCTCTGCAGGTACATGCAGAAGTCAGAGGCGTTCATCCCTCCATCTCCCGACCAAGTTTCTCTAGGGGCCACGGCTGACCCTTCCGTTCATGGCACCTCCGGGCCCGTTTCAATCTCCTATCCACAACCGTACCTCGCCACCGAGACCTTCGGAGCTTATATCGCCTCCATGATCTCTGTCTTCTCTTCTTCGCCTCCCCAATCGTCCTTCTCGAACAATACGACGGAAGCCTCATACACCCCACTCAAACAAATCCTTGACCTCTGTACGGGTGCGCCATTAGGTCTCGCGCGGTTCTTCTACAGTTTGTTACCTGGAAGAACACAGATCCCAGGAGGAAATAGGCGAACGAGTAGTGCGTGGGGTTATGTATATCCGTTCCTGGCAGAGCCTGAGGTCAAAGAGGGCTTGACGATTTTGGCGGGTCATCAGTCGACGGGTATTGTATGGTCCTCGGGAGGAAATCAGAGTGTAGCGACGGCTACGGGTGTCAAGCTCGTTGCCACGCCTGCTTCGACTATCATTGGGGATCCTCTCGCGAATGAGTTCACAGTCGCTGTGAGCGGGGAGGTCATAGTTGCTGCTGGAGCTCTCGGCGTAGGTCGTTCAACTCACCTGAGAATCACAGAGGCTGACGAAATCTCTCTTACTTTCGTAGAGCCCTCATTTCTTAGAACTGAGCGGAATTGGCAATAAAACGTGTGGTGAACGATTATAGTATGTTATATGACCAGACTCATTCGTCGTACAGGATCCTGGAACAAGCTGGTATACCCGTCAAGGTATGTATTGAAGACACTGCACCGAAGACTCTAATTAGCCGTGTTACAGGTTTCAACTGACTCATACTGATTATTTTACAAAGGTTAACCTCCCGTCTGTCGGCACAAACCTGCAAGATCAGCCTCTCACAATCTCCTTCTACGCCATCAAACCTACCCTACCATCTATCTTCAATGATACTACCAATGAAATTGGCGACGGCTCCGTAGGCTACCTCTCACTCTCCCATATAATCGGCTCCGACGCTGCTGCGATCGCCGCTGAGGAATTGTTAGCGAGCGTGACACAAAGGGCAGAAGAGATCGTCGGTATGGGTGGGTTTTCGAGTGTCGCCGGGATGGAGAAGGTGTTGAAGGAACAGGCGCAGGCGATTGCGAGGAGCGAGAGTCAGTTTCCGAGTTTCTCCATTTCATGTCGTGGGTGTGAGAGGACGATGAACTGTGAAGCTGACATCCCTCCGATGTTTGCAGCGCCGGTGATTGAGATGTCGTTCGCCACGAACTTGATCCAAGGAGCTTTTGGCCACCAGATCTGGAATCTACTACCACAGTCGTGCGTTTTCGGCCTCCTATCTGTTCTACTGCTTTTTTGACAGATATTCTATCTAACGCGTTCTCATAGACGAGGAACGGTCCATCTTCAATCCTCCTCGCCGTTCGTTCTTCCCCAAGGTCACCGCCATTTTCACGTCTGACACTGTTCAACTAATATCGAGTACTAACTCTCCATACAGTCAACCCTAACTACCTCATCACCCCCTTTGACCTCTCCCTACACGTCAACGCCACAAAGCTTTCCCGTCAAATCTTCGCCACATCACCGCTATCCGAACTCGTCGAAGCCGAACTCTCTCCAGGCCTCGTCGCGGTCCCACCAAATGCCTCTGATGCGACGTGGCAGAGCTTTGTGGAGAGCGGAGTGACGAGCGTTCAACATCCAGCGGGAACTGTGCCTATGCTGCCGAGAGAGGATGGTGGGAGTGTAGATGCGAGGTTGAAAGTTTATGGGACGGGGAATGTTAGGGTTGTTGGTACGTTTGCGTCTTCATTTCCCAGTTCGATGTCTGTCCTTGCCCATTGCAGTGTACGCGCGTCTGATCTATTTTCTCTATCTTGTCACCAGATTCTTCGATCATCCCCGTACAAATCAGTGCTCACTTGAGTGCCACGGTATACGGCATAGCGGAAAAGGTGCGTTCTTTGATAGCTTTCCGCGCCGCACAAAGTATAGCTGATACTCCGAGTCTTCATAGGCAGCAGATATGATCAAGGAGGACTTCTTAGACGGCGCCTGAGCGCGAGCTGTAGCATCCTATATGTTTGACCAGTCCATCTGTATCTCTTGCATCAACTTTCACCAGACTTTTTAGCTCATGCTGCTTTTTCAAGGCTCTTTCTACGTACTCTAATTTTGGGTGTGATCTTTGTGGACTAGTATATTTATTACTGTGTTGTGTTGTTTCTTTGACACTCGGAACTATCAGCCAAACCGTCCGAGTTCGAGGCAAGAATCTTTAGAAAAGGTCATCCAGTTTGTGTTGTGTCACAAAAGGTCACCGTGTCACACATCTCGTGAACCCGGGGCCGGAAGGACCCGGCCGCCCATCCTTTCCTCTCGTTATGACCTTGCGTTCTTGTCTCTGTTCATCCAGTCGTCAAGTCGTGAATTGGCCTATCCCCTTATTAGACTTGGATTCATCTCGTGCAACGCGAGAAGGGTAGCCACTGCCATAGCACATTTGACACCCTCAGCCTGGAAGGCTTGCATATTGCGACTCCCCGGCTGCGATGGACGATGACGAACCTCAATGCGCGAACTAGCAGGTTCTTGTGGGCTATATATCTTCTCAAACCTCGGGATCTTGTCTGCTTTCTGGTCATGGGTACTGCAGTGGTGACTCAGACTGCTCAGACTTTTTTCATCTACCCGTTCTCAGGGCCGCATATTTTCCCAAATCTGCTCTCGTCTCTCGATACCCTTCAAAGTTTCGACAAACCCGCACTAGGCCAGTGGCGATCAGTGTCCTCGGCCTGGATATCTAGCTAAAAAGGTACTCTGGTCGTTGAGGTAACAATGTGTGGCTGTAATGAAAGGTAGGGAATTCACCGCGTTGGCTAACTTGCCGTGCGCCTTCAAATCGTTCTCTCCCAGGCCCATGTCAATGCGCCATGGGTCCTCGAGCCCGCGCCCCACATATTACGGTGTCCATATTGCATCTACCTGATGGCGTTATCTGTTTCATCAGCTGTAGCTCCCCTACTCTCCCCTGGCTCCATTTCTCTGCCCCGCTCCCCACGACAAACGTTATGAAGCGGACCGAGCTTGGGTAAAGTGAGAAAGGCGCCCGTGTATTCTTACGGTCGGTCCTGAGGTTTTACAGGCTCCGAGCACTGCACTTAAGATGTGATAGACGGTTCAACACACCCTTGGTATGCCTTTGGGGTAATATGAATCGTAATTCAGCCTGTGAGTTCGTCTTCTGGTATTTTTTGTGCTGCAGAGAACAGCTTGCAGTAGCCAGTGGCTCTGGCTTCCCGCTTGGACAATCGGTACCTTTAAGCTTACTCATTACAGAGGAGCGCTAGCGCTAGTACTGGGTACCATGAAAGAACCTTCTAAAATTTACGCGTGACGTTTTTTTTTTGTGTTTTTTTTTTGCGTCATCATAATGCTGATCTTGTGTTTAGTAGGCCCGTCCAACTGTATGTACATATCCATAGCGTTTCGATCTCCGACTTGGGCCCACACCACTCACCAACGTGCCATTTATCTATTATGAGCCTTTCAACCAGTGGCGTAAATTAGAGAGTTTTGGCGACCGCCCCAAAGCTCTTTGGAGCGCCCCACTTACCCGCCATTTCACGCCACCGAGGTCTCTGGAGCTGCACCAGCGCCCGTTAGCCAAAACTCTCTACTGACAAGGAAGCCGCCACTATAGTGCTACACCCAGTGAAGCTCTTTTCGCAATTGGAAGCCTCGACCTGATCTAGTGCGTATCTCTAAAGGTGGAGTAAAATTTCTTCCTGACAAGGTAAGTGACGCAGCAGAGAAATCTTCATGTGACTGAACGAGAATATTCACACATCAGTAGGTCTAACTCTAGTCAAAATGCATCTCAAGGAAGGTGGTCCCTCCCGCCTGGTGCAGAATACGGACGGACGAGATGTATTAGTGCGTCAATGTTTTCGGCTGCTCAAAATATGTCAATATGGAATCACGTTTCGCTCGATACTGAGGTAACTTGGTTGACATATTAAGCCCAAAGGTTATACGGGAACAGTACAGCGGAGACCATACGTAAGATGCAGAAGATATCAATGGTGACTCAGAGTCTACCATTGCAATCAGAACTTGGTTGAAATATACAATGTCCTCCACTCCGATACACTATGCCGTTCCAAGTTAAATTTACCTGCCAGCCGTCACCCTCGAATCCACTTGGAGGACGGTAAAAATCAGGCGCCAATATGCAGAGCGGGACGAGGTGCGGGTCGGCCATATAGCATCGTGACTATTGTGCAAGTCATCCTGACTAACTTTTCTCCGTTACGAGGTACGCCCGAGGTTATAAAGGGAGGTGACCCTCATTCGATTCATTGCTTACGGCCTGAACTCATCTGCGTCATCCTCGTTTCTTCCTATCTATCTACGCCCCTCCAATAACACCAATAGTCATGCAGACTCCACCCTCTTGCGAATCGTATATCCTCCCTGATCTTCTCCATATTTCCCAGCCCTTCAAAGCCTCGACAAACCCGCATTGGCTCAAGGCCGCTCCAGAGTCCTCGGCTTGGGTCTCTAGCTACAGGATCTTCACGGACCGAAAGCGCATGGAATTTATCCTGGGCTCGAACGAACTCCTCGCATCGCACACGTATCCTCAAGCCAACTACGACACATTCCGAACATGCTGCGACTTTATAAACTTACTGTTTGTCATAGACGAAATTAGCGACGACCAGAGTGGTGAAGGTGCAAGGCTGACGGGGAAGGTGTTCTTGAACGCGATGCGAGACCCTGAGTGTACGGATGGCTCTATTTTAGCGAAGATGACAAGGGAGTGAGTAAATCTAACAATAACCTTTCTCCTAGAGACTTCGGTGACACTGTAATTCATCTTGCCTTCATCCACATGTGCCACCCACAGCTTTCGCGCGCGTCTTCTTCAATCGATCGGAGCCCAATCCTTTCGCCGCTTCTTGAAAATTCTGGAAGACTACATTGAATCTGTGACGAAGGAAGCGGAGTACCGCGAGCATGGATACGTCCTCGACATGGAGCAATTCAAGATTCTTAGGAGGCAGAACTCTGCGGTTAGGTGTGCGTTCGGCATGGTTGAGCACACGCTAGGCATCGATCTTCCCGATGTCGTGTTCGAGGATGCGACATTTATGAAGGTATATTGGGCCGCAATCGACATGGTGTGGTGTGCAAATGTAAATATGTTCCCTCCTCCCGGTTATCTCATTCAGGTGTGACGGTTACCCAGGCGCAATCTCAACTGACGCTCTCTCATTGTAGGATGTTTACTCGTACAGCATGGAGCTGGCTAAGGGCGACAATCACTCGGCGAATAACATCATGTCTGTTTTTATGGCTGCCAATGGCGTTAGCTTGCAGGCTGCTAGTGACTATGTTGGGCGTCACTATGCGAGATTGATGGAGGAATACCTGTCAGCCAGAGCGGAACTGGCCTCTAAGTCGTTCGGATCGCAGGAATTGGATTCGGACGTGCTTAAGTATATTGATGCGATGGAGAACTGGCCAATAGGAAATATAGAGTGGTCGTTCAAGACGTCGAGGTGGGTAGCTGTCTTCGACAAATGCGTAGTTGCTCATATCCTTTTTGTTTAGATATTTTGGGCCGCAGAACGATGAGGTGAAACAGACTCTGGTCGTCAAGCTGAAGCCTCAGGAAGTTCCTGCCTAGTGGCTTGGTACGCCCTTCCCATCCCCTCCTACTTATTTGATCCATGACCGTTACTGATAAGTGATTGAAGTGGCATTTTTTGACAATAATGTTGCGCATCATAGTAGTAGTTGTTAACCTCTGGATGTTTCCCATTGACAGCCAATTTCTGGGAATCGGAAAAGTAGAAGAAGCTGATGTGTACGAATACGCAGTCGATATAAACATGTACCAGTATCCGTTTTTTGCTCTTCAAATTTCAACTTCACTGCGTGCCGTATGGATGGAATGAGACGAGAGAAAGGAAGCGGGGGTTATAATTGGGTGAAACATACGAATACTACATTTCGATGATTGGCAGAGTTAGATTTTAGTCCCACCGAGACCTTGATAATACTACGCGCATTTTCCCCTCTCGATAATCAATGCGGGGTGGAAAATCCCTTCTTGTCCATCCTTTTCCTTCTGACCTCATGTCCTCGGATCTCATTGGCAGTTCGTACAGCGGACGTGAGTCAACGCAACAGTTCGTTGCCAGTTTGTATGGTGTCGCAAAAGGGTAAGGAGAAACGGGGAGGTAACGTTACCTTGCTTGCAAGGTCTCTCCCACCCCGGCTAACTAATTGCTCTCCGTCTGCTAACACAAACCGGAGAACTTCGGGCAGGGAGAGGGCTTGCTTCAACAAGCACAACTACAAGGTGTTTGGTTGTGAATGGGTGGAAAGCATGCCTCGGCCGAGCCAGGGTTTCCTCCCTGCTCGTTGAGCCATCTCCATGGGAAACCTCGGGAGATGCCGATGCACGCTTTGAGCTACAACCACGTGCGGGTGAAACGAACTCAAAGGAGAACACGAGACACCCACACGTGAATGCGCTACAGCATGAAGGGAGGCGGGCGGGCTGAAAAAAACACTGGGCGAGACAGCCCTTGGTCTCTCCTTGAGCGTGAAGATGGTGGGAGAGGAAAGGCTTGAAGTTTTCCTCGCCACTCGCGCTCGCTCTGTTCGCGCTCACGGCGTTTGCCGTCACTCCGACGAACCCGCTTACTTAGCTCACGTAAGAGCTATTTGCCTCGTTCCTCGGCATTGCTCTTACACCCGCTAACTAATTGCTCTCCGTCTGCTAACAC